TATAAATTACAGCTGTCAAATATATGTATACATAAAGAAGAGGTATGTAATTATAGGATCATTAGATAGTAATAATAGATCAGCTACCTCTATAACGGTGGGTACTAGCTTTATGTGTATCAGTACGGAATGGCGATACAATACAATACAATAAAAGGACAATAAAAGTTATGTATTTATATATATTTATCTATTTTTACTCATATGTAAGCTTGCCACTTTCTCGGAATCAAAACAGAATAAACTATAGAGACGCCAAAGGGTACAAAGGATACCCAAGACAAATGAAAACAAGAGTGACTTTCTTTACTTCTTTACTTTACCTTTTTTTTTTATTTTGTATTAATCCGCCACTTTTATTCTATAGATAAAAATAAAATTATTTTTCTTTTAAAAAAAAAAAGACTATTCTATTCTATTCTATTGTCTTACAGCACAGCCCTGTTTTATTTTTATATCTAGAAAATCTAAATCTAAATCTAAAAACATCCTCTTTATATATAAAATGGCTGAGCGATTTATATTTATATATAAAAATTTGCTTGTCACAATTGAAACGTGGCTTTGAGTGTAGAAATGTATACTCGGATACATATTGCATAGCTACAGATTACATGGATACAAATTGCATGGTTACAGATTGCATAGATACAAATTACATGGATACATATACTATCACTTTTACTCTTTTTAGACTGAATCGGGGGGGGGGGGTTTAATTATTAGCCTAAAAAGAATTAGTAGACAGCTTTGGTGTTCATGTATATATATATAATTTTGGATTCTAGCCAAAGGAGGGATAATGAAAAGCTTAGTAACAATATAAATAAATAAAATAAAATAAAATACAAGATGTTGATATTAGTATTAGTATTGATATTGATATTCAATGTTTGTGACGAGAAAGGAGGATGGGGGGAGTTGATAAGTTAAGGGGTAAAATAAGTAACCATGGGTTCAGCACATATAAAATAACCTCAGCTCAGCTATGACCACACAAAACGCATATATCATATCATATCTTTATATTTATATCGATTTATTTTGTGAAGCTAATATACTGAAGAAAAGAAAACAAAAAAAGAAACAGCAACGAAAATTAGGATTACGATTATGATTAGGATTACGATTAGAATTAGGATTTGAATTAGGGTTTTGATTGGAAATAAACCAGGAAAATATAAATTTATTTTATTTTATTTTATTTTATTGGGGGTGTGTATAGTGTAAGTGAAGGTGTAGGTGTAGGTGTGGGTGAAGTTGAAGGTGAGGTACAGAAAAGAAAAGAAAGAAGAGGGAAATGGGTAAAAATTGGTTTGCTGTGATGAAAGAACAAAAATGGCACGATTGTGAAATAAAAATAAAATAAAATGTCTATAACGGAAACGCCGACCGATGTTGGCTTTTGCTATACCAGTAAAAATAAACCGGACGGGAACATCGGGAGTACTATATATATTTGCTTTCATTATTTGCTTTGCTTCTTGCTTTCTTTATCTCTTTATACTGCTCTCTTAAGAAATATATATATTTATATATTTATGTGTGTGTGTGTGCGAATAGGTATATTGATCAATTATCAAAAAAAAAATCAATTAATTGCATTTTTATAATTTAAAGCAGTAAAGGAATTGTAGTGATCATTAAGAATAAAAGAAAATTTTTTTTTTTGGTCTTTGGCTACACAATAGACTTTTCCAATTCTATTTAGTTTGGTTACTCTAATTCCGTAAAAGGATAAATGAAAAATGCAACCAGAGTACAGGAAGTGTGTGTACAGATATATAATCATGCCTTGAGTAGCACTTGATATATTTTATTTTATACTATTTTATACTATACTGTATTATTATAATTTCTATATATATTAGGGCTAGAAGGAGAACAGAAATAAAGGGAAATAAAGAAGGGAGTAAAGGTGGCTAAAGAGCAGGTCAGATATATGAATAATAAGTCATCATCCTTGCCAATAGTATAGATTAGATGTATTTGACATTACTACTTTATTTTCTTTGGGTTATTTTATTTTGTGCGGGTTACTTTCTCCCTTTCTCCCTCTCTCCCTTTTGAGTAACGGCTGGATGAGCCGATGACGATACGTCAATGCCACAAACATGTGAAACGATCGCAAATATAAATATTTTATGAATATTGATGAAATCACATAATAAAATATTAACATGTATTTATTTATTTGTGATTTTATTCAAGCTAGTTGCGATTATCAAATACTTCTTTAAACGCATAATAGTCTTGTTAGAGAACTATGGTCATTAATACTCTCTTATGTATATAGATAGATAGAAGAACATAGTTGCCGATGTCTGCGATATCTTGAGACGAGAGAACAATCAAATTGTGATTGTAAGACAATGGGCTTTATTATATATCAATCATTGAACACAGAGATATACAGACAGATAGACAGATAGACAGATAGAATAAGAGAGAGAGAGAGTCAAAGAGTAATAGTAAGAGAGACTTGGATCATAATAAATACTCCTTTTCTTTATCTAACCATCTATTTATCTATCTCTTTGTATATCTCTTTTGTTTCTTTTCTTCTTTTCTTCCTTCCTTTCATTTTGCTTCTTTTGTTATTTATATAAATATTATTTGCAGAGGCATCTATCCTTGGACTTTTCAAAACATAATACATATTCTCCGGCTTGTAGATTTAATCAAATTATATTATATGTACATACATATATATTGATATCTTGATATATGTATTCAAAATCATATAATAGTAACATTATTTTCTTGTGTTTTAGTATACAAGGTGCACAAGCCAGTTCTACTTTAGATCGAACACAGAGATTACACACACACACATATAAATATGTACTATTATTATTTGGAGCTACGAAAATGTTGTGTAAAAAAAGGGTTGAAAGGATGTGATGATCCACAGCCGATACCTTTTTATTTATTTATTTATTTATTTATGTGTTTTATTGGTATATTTTATATTGTATTTAATGGGTTCCCTGGTGCGTGATGTGCTCCAAAGAGCACTTGATGGAATATCAGTCATGGACCATTCGGCAAACTTTCCGGACGATCGTATTATAAAGCTACATCATACACACACACACACACACACATATATATATATATATATATATGATCTTGGTATTCTTTAGACTACCAAAAGAAGAAAGCAAGTATATTCATTTATCTAATGTACTCTTAGACCAACGTCTTTTACACAAAATGCACATCTATGTACCTATGTATTTATGTAGGTACATATGCATATATGTAGGTATATTCTCATATATATATATATATATATATAAATTATATAAGAATCAAATAAAGGGGGGGAGGAGGTTACTATAAATGAAGTAACCGGGAACATTGTCCCTTGTTGAAACCACTTCAAAACAAGGTTTGTATTCTCTTTAGACGTTGCATAAAATATTCTTTTTTTATTTCTTTCTTTCGTTCTTTCTTTTGGTTGGCAACAGAAGATTCGAAACATTCAATCCTTTACATACACAATTTTCATTGTGTTTCAATTTCAATTCATCTTCTTTTTGACTATTTAATATACAGAATTTACTAGCTTACAGTAATAACAGTTTCTTGATTAATACATTTTTATATATATATATATAATTATAATTATTAATATGATATGATATGATATAAAATAGTAATAGTATAGAGTACTATAGTATAATTACTAATATAAAAGGCAATCTCAATACAAAAAAAAACATTGGTATAAGCAGACAGAGAAAGAGAAAGAGAAAGAGAAAGAGAAAGAGACACAGAAACAAGCACAGGAACAGGAACAGGAACAGGCACAGGAACAGGCACAGGAACAGCCAGAGAGAGAGAGAGAGAAAGAGAGAGAGAAAGAGAGGAAATAATGAGGGTGAATCTAGGCCACCTCAAAGTGAGTACAGGCTTGCAAGTTCAGCTGACATCTCACCTCCCCCAATCTTTCTTTTTGTTTGTACTGCCGTCACCCAAAAAGCCTAAAGAAAAAAAAAGTTTATTTGAATTTTTGTTTTTTTTTTTATATTTTATATTTTATTTTTGGCTTTTTTTTTTACTTATAACTAAATTGCATTTTTTCCTTTCTCTATTTCTTTCTTTCTTCTCATCAGCAACATCATCATCACCGTATTTTACTCTTCCTCTGATTCTGGCCATTATACTTCTTTATATACATATTTATTACATCAATCTCTTCATCTACTCACATACAGCAAGGCAAAACAAAAAGCAAGATGTCCAATATCTACACAAGCCATGGAATGAATACCTTAGACTGGATGGACCGTACCAGCCACTCTCATCAAGCTGCTGCCACTTCCATGTCTGGTGTTACTGGAGGAACTACAACAGCAGCAGGTCTTTCGGATGGAACAACAAGAAACCAGTCCATCTTCCATGCCCATCTTCCACCCATCAACGCGTCCTCTCACTCTATGATGTCTGATTCATTGGCGGATTACATTGGACACAACAACACAAACACAACAATTACTTCCTCAAATCAATCCTCACCCTCACTTCTATCCTCATCCTCATCATCAGCCGCGTCGTCATCATCATTATCGATCGCACCAGTCAGGGCCTACAATGGCTACACAAACCCCCAAGTTACCGAGTCCCAGAAGCTTACTGCCCAGACTGCCTTTACACTTTCTTCATCTGGTCTCACTAGCGCGCCCTGGACAGCAGCCACACAAAAACAATCTGACAATGATGACGAAGAAGAAGATGAAGAAGATGAAGATGAAGATGTTGGAGAAGATGAAGACAAGGACATGTCACAAGTAAACCGCTCCCAGAGCGGCCTTAACTCATCATCATCTGGTGCTGCTATTTCACCGTTGTCGTCATCACCTTCCTCTTCTTCTACCCCTCTTAAAAACACTGTCACTACCACTACTGCTACCACTGCTACCACTAGCAGCAGCAATACCAATACCACAAAATCAACCTCCAATGTTGTCCGGGTAGAAAAGAACACGGATGGAAAGCCACCTTACTCCTATGCCACTTTGATCAAATACGCCATTGAAAATTGTTCAGAACGCCGCCTCACACTCAGCCAGATCTACCAATGGGTCATTGATCATTATCCTTATTACAGCACTGCCGGAACTGGATGGAAGGTAAAAAATATATAGTAGAATATCAATAAATCTTATTAGATATCAACCACACTATATACGTTAAATTTTTTCCCTTCTTTTCCATTTTCGTTGTTGCTATTGCTGTTGTGTATCACACACACACACACACATATATATATATACATGTGTGTGTGTGGATGTATGGGCTAAGTACAAAAGCCACCATCTCTTTTATATTATATTATATTATATTATAGTATATTATATTATACTACATATACTAATACACACATCTATCTTTCTATCTATGGATCTATTTTAAACTATTAGAATTCGATTCGTCACAATTTGTCTTTGAACAAATGCTTTCTACGTGTACCGCGTCCTACAAATGAACCCGGAAAGGGCTCTTATTGGACCATCGACTACAATGCCTTGGATGCTGAGCAAAGATCCAAGAACTCCTTGACTACACGGGGCCGGACAAATCGCTCCCACAGCCATCCCGCTCTTTCCACTCCATACCATCCAGAATCCCATTGGAGCCAATCCGTAGCCGCGTCCGCATCCTCATCTATCCGTGCCGGACTAATCCGTGACTCTTCCCGATCAATGTCTTTTGATACTGGATCCAAGATGCCCAGACAAGCTACAGCTACTGCTAATACCATTAGTAACAATACTGCTACCGGTCTTATTACTACTTCTGGCTCTTATGGTAACATCAGTAGCATCAATACTGTTAACAGTCTTTCGGCTGCAATTGCTTCCTCTAGTCTTGGAACTGGTATGGGTGCTATGACTCCTGCCACTGGTGGTGCTTTTGGTTCTCTTGGAACTTCTGGTTATTCTACTTCTGGTGCCATGTTTCCCTATAAGACATCTACTTTCAACCTCACATCGTCCTCATCTGCAGCAGCAGTAGCAGCGGCAGCGGCAGCGGCATCCTCCGCTTCTTCTTCTTCGTCTTTGATGGGTACCTATGGTGTTAATGACACTCACTGTATTCATGGTCGTCCTCTCAACAAGCCCCGATCGGTCAGCCGGTCTGTTCTCAACTACTCAACTGATGGTTACTCTCGCCAGCCGGAATTTGGGTTTGATTCGATTGGCATGCCTATGAATAACAACACACCCTTGGCCATATCTACTACTACCACAGATGGATCATTCACTACACCCAGTTTTGATTTTGGTCGATCCGACAGAAGAGCCAACCCTCAACAGTACCACCATCATCACCAACACCATAATCACCAAGCCCATCACCAACACCAACACTATCACCAGCATAATCAGCAACAGCAATATGAGAGATTTGGTGAACCGATTCATCATGAGATGTATGACATCAACAAGCCTTACAGCAGTGCTTATAGCAGTGCTTATAGCACCACCACCACCACCAACAATTCAAGCAGCAACAGTGGACCATCGTCAGGTTATTCTATGGGCTGGTCTCTCAAGAACGCATATGGATCGCGTGGTGGCAGTGGGGGAAATGCTTATCTCTACGGTTCATCCGCAGCCCCAGGTTCCGCAGCCGCTGCTATTGTTTCTGGCTCCCATCCTAATACTACCGCCAATGGTAATGGTAATGGTAATAGTAATGCTTCGGCTTCGGCTTCTACATCCTCAATGTCTTCTCCACAACCACCGAGCCTTGGCTGGAGTACAAATGACATGAACTCAGCCTCTCTAAACAACTCATCCTCCTCGTCCTCGTCATCACCCATGGCTTGCGACGGATCGATCACTGGCGGAAACGCCAGTGCCAGCGGCAACGGCAACGGTGTTGGTATTGGTAACGGAGGAGGCCGGCCATCATCGCACAAGCCTAGTATGCATGGATCACATTCTTCTGTTTCATCCCTTGACAGCTTCACTACCCAGCCTTATCGCCGAATCCAGGACAGTTTTGGTGCAACCCCTTCGCCAGTACACTATCCATTTGTGGACCAGGGCTCGGTGTCTCCACTCACACCCATCTATAGCACAATTCCCGTACATCAGCAGCAACAAAACACCGCCAATATTACTACCAATACTGCCATGCATCCACCAAAGAAGAACATTTCTCAGATCATGACTCCAATCAGTAACGGTGCCTTTGAGTGGGACTCAACATTCTAAGAAGAAAGTGAGAGACCGAGAAAGGGGGTGGTGGAGCAATATATACATATAAAACAGCTTACATTTCACCCACCTATACATATAAGAAATATTCCTTTAGTTTCTTCTTTTTCAAAAAAAAAAACACTCTCACGCTACACACTCACTATTCACTCATTCGCTCGCTCCCTCACACTCACATTCACACTCACACCCACACTCACGCTTGCACATTCACACATACATATATATATATATATTCATACATACATTCATACATACATTCATACATACATACATACATACATATTCACACTCATATATTCACTCACTCACACATTCACTCACTCTCTCACTCACTTACTCACATATTCACACGGCACATTTTTGGCCTGTTAAAACTGTGTATATATTTACATTATATTATATTTATATATACGACCTTTCTCACCCCCAACCCCTCCATCCATTGACCCCCACCAACCTATATATCTATTCTTCTATATCTAAATTTATCTAAATATCTACCTATCTATTTATCTATTTATCTATATCACTCATACATACCTCTTTTTCTTTATTTTTCTTACTTACATACTTTCTTTATTTTTTATTTTCTTTTTTATTATTATTATCCTGTATTTTTTCCCAAAAACCAAAAACCAAAAACCAAACCAACCAATCAAAAAAAAAACACACACTATATATATACACATACATACATATTTATACATGACTCTATTCAAAGCCTAGCTCTTATTATTCTTTGTATTTTATATCTCATTTTTTTTCAATATCAAATATATAATGTATAATATATAACAGCCAAAGCAAAAGAAAGAAAATGGGAGTATCATGTGTGTATATGAATATGATATGATGTGTTAATCACTCAAGATACACATACACGCACGCACGCGCGCACATGCGTATGAGTATGATTATGAGTATGTGGGCACATGTAGACCCATGACATTATATATAGATAAAGCACATCTACTCTTTTTGTTCCCATTTGTATATAAGCTGCATATATAATTTATATACATGCTCCATAGTATAAAAATGTGAAACGCGCATTGACCCACTGAGCACAAGTAATAATGTAGCACACATATATATATATAATACTATATCAAATAAAATAAAATAAAATAAAATAAAATAAAAAGAAAATAAAAAGAAAATCAAAGGGGGTAAACAGGGCTGTAGACAGAAAAATATTACCAAGATTGAAGGCTGTCAATTTGTACTATCACACTACCAATAAGTAACCCATTAGTACTAATAACACTTGACAGAAACACAAAAAAAAATACAAGTGAGTATCAGATCAAGTGAAATGATAGACTCTAAAAAAAATAAAATTTTGGAGGGCTGAATACAACACAAACCCCCTTCTTTTCTGTCTCTCTCCTTTAATAACGCCACCAATAATAATAATATAGAAAGGCACACAAAGAAACTGTATACACGCCTTATACACGCCGTGTACATGTGTCTATGCGTGTGCGTGTGTGTATGTATGTATGTATGTATGTATGTATGTATGTGTGTGCTTGTACAATAGTGGATAATAAAGTACTCATAGTAGTACTAATAATCTACAGATACATATAGGTTACTTGCGCCTCTGGGCATCTTAATACATATATATATATATATATAAAAGAATAATGGGTAAATTGTCATTTAATTTTGAAACATCAAAGGAGGATATATAGATATACACACATACATTTAGTTCCCTTTTTCTCTTATTTCTAATTTGTCTTTATTGGGTTCGGTTTGATTCCGTATCTCTATTATCGGGAGTATTAATAATAGTATTAGTATTTAAATCGGTTGTTAATTGATTTCTGTCCTTTCATTTCGGATACATTTTTTTGGGGGGGAAGCCTTGGACTACAATCCAATTTCTCTGACAATAACCCTGGTACTCCTTTTATTATGTATTACTACTACACTTCCATACCCTTCAGTTTTACCGAATATTTTTTTAAAAAAAAGTACCATCTCTCACTTTGGTTTTCTTTTTCTTTTCTTTTCTTTTTTGGACATTTTTATATGAGGTTAAAATTTCCTAAAATGAAAATATATATATATAAAGTGTTTGAAACCAATTTGCCCCTACCACTTTTAAGAAAACAACAACAATAATAATAATTTGATAAAATAATATTGAAACAATTGCAAAAATACTCTTTATTAAAAACAATCTATTTGTGTTTCCTTATGGGTGTAGGAGGCAGAAACACATCGATCGAGTGTTCAGGATGAAGTCATTGGATTTGTTCAATAGGAACAATTTAGAAAAATCCTTCGGTTTACCCTTGAAGAAAGTGTTTCTCCAATTTGCTCATTTTTAAAATATACAATAGATTAACAGATACTTTTTATTATTAAAAGAAAAGAAAACAAACTGGTGCCTTGTATATCGGTTACTATGGTTATCATAAAGGAACAAGCGATCGAGATTTGGTATGAATAAAATTAAAGATGATATAAAATATAATATATACGTTCCCAAATAGCCACCATTACCGTCCACCCTTCGTCAAAGCACGTTTTCCAAAATCAATTCTATATTATTCAACAAACTCTTTTACCCCACTCCATATGTCTTTTTATGAGTGAATTTAATTACTACTGGCTTAGTGTATATTCGTATGCATGTCTCATTTGCGCATATACGTACTCATTTTTGAATCATTACCCATATTCTTCAATTTGCCTCGATTGTTCTTTTTTTCTTCACTGACGTCAACAATACTTTGATTGTCCTTTCCTTCATTTCGTATTTTCTGTTCAAAGTTCTACTCTGAAAATGTCATACAGCATCTACACTGTTGAATCATCCCTATACTCCAAAAAATAACCAGTGAGATATCTTGTTTTGTTTGTTTGTTAATAGATATCCGAGTGCAAGCCATCTCTGATAGGAATATGTTTCAAAATGTTCGACATTCTTCCTTTACTCATAAAACAAATTATGTTCTTGATCCCAACAGTCGGATGGCAATATTCCTTTTTTTTAAATAACGTGCTTTAGGTGCTGCAAAAAAGAAAGAATAAAAATATTGCTTGCAGATCTTCTTTACTTCATGTACGCATATGGTCAAAGCAGATTGGCTCTACATGGTATTTTATCAATGACATGTTCACAATATTTCATTAAGCGATGAATACAAATCCTGTCAAGCATATTCTGTATTTCTTCACTGACAGGCAGAAAAGCCTTCGTCGCCGAATCCTTAGTAGCGTGTATATAATATTTGAATGGTGGCCATCAAATCATTCACATGAAGCGTTAATAATAGATCTTAACTAATCAAGTCAATTCTTTTCCACTGTCTAAACTAACAGTCAAACTTTCGCCGGTGTTTAAAATTCTTCAACGACTTGTGTATGCAAAAAAAAATGTTGTCAGTTACTTCCTAATCTTAATATATTAAATATCGAGTTTGTTCATTTATGCTTACCCTTTATTTTATTAAAAAAATTAATACTACTGCGTCTCTTGATTTCTCAAAGCTTACAGCAGAATCAAGAAAGTAGTAATACAACATCCAGAACACAAAGGAGACGGCTATTCGGTTTCCGTTTCAATGACAGAAAGAGAGAATTGCAGTCGCACTGTCCTCTTGACGAAATATGCCAGCTTCCAAGAGTAGAAGTCACCAGAAACCTTTGGTTCGGCAATCCTGGCGAGCAGACATGTCTTCCGCAGATGTCTAGGCTATATGGTACAGTATATTATTTTGGAATAAACACTACGAATATTTCAAGAGGTTGTAGGATAAGGTTTGTGGTATTTGGATAACTCTAAAGAGAAAGAGTCTAACCCCAATGACGATTGAATTTAGTTAGCAAGACATATAGTATTGCTGCTGACATACGGAATATACAGCTGATTAGACTCTCATTCGCCGTGTAATGAAATATTGTGAACATATAATCGCTGATAAATATCATGTAGAGCCGATTTGATTTGACTATATGCGTACATGAAGTAAAAAAAAAAAGAAAGAAAGAAGACCTTCATGTCAGTACTTTGACAGCACCTGTAGACTACTTGATGACCAGAATTTGCGAAAGACTGCGTGTCAAGCAAATATTATATCGACAAGCTCAAACTAGCTCTTTTAACAAAGTTTGATTTAAACGTGCTGTTAAATATATATATATATATATATCGAGCGTGACCCCGCCAATCTGTATGTATCTTTTATGCAGATTATGGAATTTGTTTAAACTACAGTGGTCCCTCGATAATTTCAATGCACTTAGTTCCCGCCTTGGCCTTGAAATTATCGAGGGACTACTGTAGTAATTTTTTTTAAAGATAAAAAATAAAACTAGGTGACTTGTGTTAAAGTTACTTGTTTTATGTCTTTATATATGTTGGCTTGGGGAGTATATTAAAAATCAAGCACAAATCATAAGTAAAGCCAAGTACAACATGCCTACACGAGGAGAATCTGTTGGGATAAAGGCTTATAATAATAATAATAATAAAGAAAAAACAAAAAGCTTCAAATCATGACAAGGAAGTATTGTTTATATCAATAGTACCGTAAAAAAAAACTAGAAAAAGAATCCAGAATATTTATTATGATCCTTAATAGCCTAAGAATACTTTTCTGTGCTGTTTATTTAAATATAAGATCCATTCATAACGGTTAGTAACTCTAAAAATGCGCCCTGTATAGTCTGTTTTACTATATTTCCATAAAATTAGGTTCATATTAGTCGATTATAAAATGGTGTGGACAGACAAAAAAAAAGGTCAAAATTATTTTAACCAATCATATTATCATTTTCATAGCCACAGATAGACTTCACATCCCCGCGCCTCCCCCTGATTTTATTTTATTTCCCCTCCTCCTCTTTCTTCCTTCTTTTGTCTTGACTTCATTTTCCTTTTATTCTCTCTTTATCATGTACCCCCAAATATATATATATATATAAAGTCAAAATCAAAATCAAAAAGAAACGGAACCCTTGTTGTGCATAGACTGAAACTTGGCCTTATTAGCCCTGAATTTCCTAGAAAAGATCGACCTTGTTTTAAATATATAAACACAATTGATCCGGGTCCATGTAATATGATGACATGCACAAATTTATATCAAGCAAGCAATATTGTTTGATCTTTCGAATATCAATACTCACCAACGCACACTCACATACCCAAGATGCTAATATAACATATATATTATAAGAAATCAAAAGATGACTAAATTAAAAGGTTACTTGTGATAATAAAAAAGAAAAGAGCTTTATTGAATAATGTATATATATATATATATATACAAAAGATTAGTTGAACCAATTGGATAATTATATTCTTCTAGGCTTTGTTTAGTAATTTTGTAATTAACGGAAACCTAGTGATAACTGTTATATCTGTATTCATAGAAAGAGCTATATCTTTTATCCTTATAAGTCCAATAGATAAATAGCTAAAAAACTAAAAGAAAATTGTTTTGTATTAACCCATCTGAGCCCTTGAGAATAAGCACAAAGCCCTCAATTAAATAAATAATAAAATAATATATATATAAGATAAATGTATAAAATGGGTTATAATATAGAAGGACCTTTCGTTGTAAGCCCCACAGGTATCGTGTAAGAGAACTTGGGGGTATAGTTCACCAAAATACTTTGATCAATAAAATCTCAAAGTTTTGATTCAGTTAAATAAACAGGTTGTTTCTGCTGCTGTTGCTGCTGTTGCTGCTGATATTTAGTTCAAACACAAATGTCAATTACCAAATATGTATATATAGGGACAAACTTTTTAAATAGCAAAACTGTACTTACTTTACCATCATCCGGTTGATGCACAATCTGTACTTACACATACACATGAGTGTACATTTGCATATGGCACATATCGTATATTATATATTATATGTATGCAGGCAGGTGCATCGATTTTTTTATGTTGTTGTTTTAAGGCAAGTAAATAAGTAAATAAGGAGTGAGATAAGGAAGTTAGATTCATGTGTTTTTTTGTCAAGTCAATATGTACATCTGTATAAGAATATATATATATCTGTTCTCTGTACTAGAATACAATCAAAAGAAGAAGACTATAGAAGAAGTAGACTAATGGAAAAGGAAATGGATAAATAAAAGTGCATATTTTTTTACTATATATTGTATACTACAAATTATGTATTATGTACTATGTGATATGTGCTATGTGATATGTGCTATGTGCTATGTACTATGTGCCATGTATTATGCACTATTAAACTCTTATCAAGAAGAAGATAAAAGAAGAAAAAGCTTAAATGATAATAGTAAAGAAAAAAAAATCAAGCCAAATCTATGGAATGATAGTCTCTACCTCCTCCTTCTTAGCACCACCAAACACTCTGCCTTCTCTCCAGTCTTTTCTAATCTGATACACCTTTTCTGCATCATCAGTCAATTGTTTGACATTAACTTCGGCTACGATCATTTCTTCTTTGGCGTGGTCACAGTGAGCAATCGGGCCTTTGAATGGCACAGTAATCTGGGTTCTTCCGGCCAGGTTTCCAAACGGTTGTGGTCGTGAAACAGCGCTTTCTGCTGCACCATTGCAAAAAACCATGCAAATCTCACTCTCAAATGCTCTGGTCATACATAAATTGTTGAGCAATTTAACCTCGCTCTGCAGATCATGCTTCAAACCGAGCTCTCCGCAATCTTCCATACTCCAATAAGCTTTTTTTTTGTTATAAAAATAAATACAAACAGCAATAATAATAATATCAATATTAATGCACACTGATAAGAATCTTTTATGTATATGTATATGTATATGTATATGTATATATAAACAATTCAATTGTGTGCATGTTGACGTCTTACCTGGAGTGATGACAAGCTGAGCTTTCTTTTCTTGAGTCAGGTATCTAAACACCTCTGGAAATGCAATATCCCAACAGACGCACATTCCAATAATGAGTCCAAATCTATTCACAGCTGTATTGAAGCCCTTTTGTCCTATTTGACAAAAATTGAAACAACAAGATATATATATATATATATATTAGCATTAGTATAATAATAACGGTAACAATAAAGTTAGATAGCTTATGATATGCAAGCTTTATTTTCTTATTTATTTCTTCATTTATTCATAATTTTTGGTTTACTCACCATGACTGAGATATGATCTCTCTGGGTGCCAAAGGTGAAACTTTCGGTATTCAAGCAAAATTTTCCCGCTCTTGTCAATGTAATAGCTGCAATTGTACAGGTTTCCGTCCTCACGATCCATCTCGATGATCGTACCGGGCACAAGATCCATATTATACTTGCGAGCCAGAGCTTGGCATCTCTCTGTACCTCCCTTAATAACCGATCGTTTTCCTGGACCACCAATAAAGTATCTAACATATGCACATAAATTGATCGGTTTAATTAATTTATTCGTTGATCCACTGATTCGTTATATAGATATACTTACTCTGGAAACACAATAAGATCAACCTTAAAATCTGAAGCCTTGGCCATGTATTCTTCAACTCGGTCCCAATTTGATTCTTTGTTTTTGTGATCAATGTGGAATTGAACGGCAGCAATACGCATAGTCATGGTGAAGTAAAAATTATGTTAAAAATAAGAAGAAAAGGAAGAAGAAGAATAGAAGAAAGACGAGTAACAAGTCTAGTTTTCTATCTCTTTTTTGGGGAGTTTTTTTTTTTTAAAAAAAAAAAACGTTGGACTGACGTTTAGTCTATATATACATATTTATTTTTATTGTACCTATAGTGTGTAGTGTGTAGTGTGTAGTGTGTAGTGTGGAAGTAAAAATAAAATAAAACATCAAATGCATAATGCGGAGACACAACTATCTTGGGGGGGGGGGGGGTTGTTTTCCTAATAACTACAACTTTCCCTGGTATCTTGTTCTTTTCTTTTGATTTGGACCTACTACGGACAGTTATTTTCTTTCTTTCTTTCAATATTTAAATCTCAGTCACAGCCTATATAATTTTTTTTTTCAAGTGACGTACATATAAGCCTCCACTTGACTCTAATTAATTTCCCTACTAGACTCTCCTTCCTCTCTTCCCTACCATCCCATATCCAAGCCTACTCCCGCCTATCATATAATAAAATCTACAATATAAAAAAAAGATAGCTATTAAATATATAATAATCATAACCATAGTAACCTTTTTTTTATTAGTAAATCATATAAGAAATAAAGACTGGTGCATATATTGTATGTATGTATGTATGTATGTATGTATGCATGTATGCATGTGTGTATGTGTGGGCAGATATGCTTTATTGAAAACACACATAATAGTTAAATACTTTGATACATACATATATTTTTAAGCATTTTCGTTATCTATACATACTTCTTTAGTAAACCATAACAATGTAATTATACACTATAGTATACACACGCACACACATATATATATATACATGTGTGTACGTGCGTACTTGGGTACTTGCCTGTATGTATACATATATGTATTTATATGTGCATTAGGCGCATATTAATTATCATTGTTGTTGTTGTTGTTGTTATTGTTATTATTATTTGTAGTATTGTATCCATGGATACAAAACAATAAGAATAACCACGATTGATCTAATCAGTATGTATTTGGAGCCAATAGAATAAAGGACAGAAATATATACATAAATTATTATATGTGTAATTTTTATTTATTTATTTATTTATTTATATATTAAATTTCAATATTATGATTTATTTTTTTTTGGATATTTTTCAATCTCGCCTTTTCTCTCATCCACCCCTCCCTTCACTCTCTCTATTTGAACAGACATTTTTTTTTTAAAAATTATATATATATAATTTTTTTTAACCTTGTCTCCATTCCACTTCATTCAATTTCACTACACTCCATTTACACGCACATATTTATATATACATAGATACATAGATACATACATACATACATACATACATACATACTACCTTATTATTAATAATATTCATAAAGGGCTTACAAACATACATACAAACATACATACATAAAAAACAAAACAAAAACAAAACAAAAGCTTAATGTTATCTTCAGCTGTTGCGGGGACATGTCAACAATGCAAAGTAAAGTCACTCTGACAGATGGTGTTCATTTGGAAGGGGTTTTTATTTTATTTTATTTTTTATTTTTTATTTTTATATTGTACTAAACCCTATTTTTTTTTCTATTGTTCTTCTTCTTTTCTCCTCTTTTCTTCTTCTTCCTTTACACAATAAATAATAATAATAATATATACATACACATATATATATAAAAGAAAGGCAGGACCATAAAACCCAAGAATCCAGTTGATGCCCTGATCAACCTACACCTGCAGTCATTCTGGGATAATAGCAATAAGCATAGTAACACTACCAACCTAGGAAGAACTCGAATTACGACAAATCCTAAAAGACGTCAAGTTAATCTTGCTCAATGCCAACTATATTCCCAAACAACTTCAGTACGCAGTCTACGCAAAACAACAGTAACAGTAACAAAAAGTACACCTCGTACCAATTATTTACCAGTCTGGAATCCAATCAATCTTCATTTCAACAGAGCCTATGTACCTTTTGATCCCCAAAACCACAAAAAGTCCAATCACCAGACCACACACGATGCTGTTCTGTCAGCCGCACTTGGACAATCAGATGCCTCAACTGCACAATCTCTGATCGACATTGCATTCCAAATGCTCTCAAAAAAGAAACCAGAACTTGCATGGGAGTGCTACAGTGACATCAGTGCAAAGGGTATGCTGGGTTACCTGTCAAGCGACCAATTTAAGCACCTCATCAAGCACTTTAGCAGTACCGCCCATCGCGGCAATGGCCTCGAGTACATCCTGACCCTTATGGAGGACATGCAGAACATGGGTTATCGAGTAGGCAGAAAAGAAAAGATGCTTGTACTCAGGTTATTGGGCACAAGAGGTAAAATAGACGAAATGGAGGGAATCTTTCAGGACGTCACAAAGGACGATGCCACAAAGCTCAATCCTCCTCTTCCTTTGCCTGCGCCATCTTCTTCGTCTCCGTCTTATCCAGCCCTCTCGTCGATTGATTCCGACATACTCAGCAAGCCTTACAATATTGTCTTGGCTGCTTACGAAGAACACAACAAAGCATTGGGTAAATTTGAAACCGCCAAACGATCCATGGATGTCTATGGCCAGATGATCGATAGAGGATTGCGGCCATCAGAAGCATCGACACTCATCCTGACTGCAAACATCAGGCGTGGTGCGGACGACCCAGAGGTGGTCGAGCACACATGGACCTGGCTGTGGAACCGGATCGGAAAGGAGATCGGCCAGTCGAACACCGAGTTAGTGGACCCTCTGCTCTACAGGAACATGGTCATGTTCTTTGCTTCAGTTGGCCGGCCAGACTGGGCATTAGAGATCAATGACATTATGCGTAAAAAAAAGATCCCTCGCGATGTTCGAATGATGACTGCCCTGATCCACAAGGTAGGGCGCAGTGGAGACCTGGAGCAGGCAATGGGATTACTAGACGAAATGAAGCGCATCAACCTCGTCCCAAACACCGTCACCCTCAACGCCCTGATCGACATCCATGTTCACAAGCTACCCCAGCCTGATCTTGCCGGTGCGATCCGCAGCTACAGTATGTTTGCTGAACAAGGACTCCAGCCAAACGAAATCACATTCGGTACCCTCATCGACATGTTTGGTAAAAAGGGCGACATTGACCGGGTGCGCGAACTCTACCAGGATATGGTCCATACACACAAAATCAAACCAACCCAGCACATCTTCTCTTCTCTGATCGAGTGCTTCATCACCAAAAAGGATTTCATTTCTGCCCTTTCGGTTGTCAAACTGATGCGCAAACCCCCGGTCCGAGTCCAGCCAAACGACGTCAATTTCAATTTGCTGATCAGCTCATTTGCGGATGACAATGATATCTACAGTGCCGTTCTGTTTCTCAAGACGCTCATCAAGGCCGGCATAAAGCCGACTGCTCAATCATACCACCCCATCCTGACCTACTACTCGCGCCGCGGTGATGTCGAGTCAGTCAAGAGCCTGTTGCAGAAAATGCATGGTTCTAACATCAAACTTGAGCCTATCACATATGGCATTTTTCTCGATGCCTACTCAAAGGCAGGTGATGTTAATGGGGCCGAAAAGCTCTTTAAGGAGTACAAGTCAAGATGGAGACCAAACGCTTATATATTCAATTCGATGATGTACGTCTACATTCTCCAAAACGACCTCGATCGGGTCCTGGACATCTACAAGGAAATGATGAAGACTAATGTCAAGATGACCGAACACTCCTACGGGCTGCTGATGTACTGCTACTCTTTGCGTAAAGAGCCCGACGCCACCGAAGCACTGATGGAAACCATGAAGACGAACAATGTCAAGCCGAGCCTGATCTGCTGGAACATTTTACTCGGGACATACTTTAAAGTCAACCGCCCAACCGAAGGTCGAGAGGTTGTGGATCGGATGGCAAAGGAGGGCATTGTGGCCAACTATCCAATCTTGAGTACCTTTATCGACGGACTGACCAAGACAGGCAATGTCGAGGTTGCCGAGTCTGTACTCCAGTCGTGCCTGACTAGATTCCAAGAAAGATTAAAGGCGCAAGCAGAAGTCCAAGCACAGGCACAGACCGTTGCCCACCGAGATCTTTCGTTGCTGACCGACGCTTTACCAAACTCTGATCAGTCCTATGTTACAATTCTCCCACAGACGATCGAAGATCTACTGAAAGCCAACAATACCAAGGATGTCTTCATCGACAGACCGCCACCTCACATGTTTGTGCCCTTGTTGCAACACTACGTCAAAACCAAAGAAATAAGCCAAGCCAAGAGCCTCTTTGTGCAGATGAGGGATCTTGGCGTGGAGTCGAATCCTGTCGTGTACGTGACGATGATGAAACTCTACCTCGAGACAGACGATTTCGATCGAGTGGAGATGATGTGGAATGCGATCCGATCACCTAGTCCAGAACAAAAACAGGTCGACACAATGGATCCTGAGCTGGGCCAGATTCCTTTACCACAACCTAGTTCCAAGAGATACCCGGTTACTCTCTTGCCATTCTACGATTACGCCGCAGAAACCACAAAAAAAAATAGCGCTAATAGAAACAACAGTACTAACGCTTATGATACCATAGACGAATTATTCAAAGACATTGTTGAACCAAAACGAGAGTCTCGCTTCGCACTGGCGGTCTATCTGGATGCGTTGTTGCTGCAGAACCGATTCAAGGATATTGATGATCTCTGGAAGGATTTAAGTTCGAGTCACTACATATTTGATGAGCACAACTGGAATCAATATGTTGCGACTATGGTCAAGGGCGGTCGGTTACTAGAGGCCTGTCGAGCCGTTAAGGACAAGTTGATCGAGGCTGACGGGAGTGATGTGAAGTCTTCTTCAAGAAAGGGCGAGTTCTCAGAAGACCGCGGAAACAGTATCAGCACAAAGACCTGCTGGCTGCTTGTCGATGCTCTTGAGATTCCTGGTGCGGATGGAATGGGTCGTGAAATCCTTAGAAAGACGGTCGTTGAGCAAGTCAGAAGTTTCTTGCGCAAACATACAAATTAGAAAAAAGGGTGTCAGAATAAATGACAATTATATCTTATTATTACTACTGTTATTTATCTCTATATATGTATACACACACATACATACACTCACTTACCCCCACTCACACACTCACACACACACACTAACTCACACTCATCCACAATCTTGGTTTGGCTAAAGAAGACATATTACAGTCACAAATACAAACCATTCTTTATTTCTTTATTCATCTATTTATTCATTTTTTTATCTCTTTCAAAAAAAAAGTACTTCTTTAACTTTATTTTATTTTATTTTCTTTTATTTTTTCTTTTTAATTCAATAACAACATTTTCTCTTACACACCAAAAAATCAATATAAAAAGACACATATACATATATAATTAAAAATGCTTTTTATGTGCAGATAAATCAACAGTATATATATATATATAAAGAGAGAGAGAGCCGAGATTTTGTAATTAAGTAAGAAAGGAATAGAGAAATAATAAATGTGTAATGCAGTGTAGTGTAGTGTAGTGTATAGTAGTTTCTGTAGATGTATATAGATGTATATGTATATGATTGTATTTAAAAATCGGGTAACTTTTGTAAAGTCTCAAGCGACTCTAATTGGAACATAAGCTGATAACCTTCCTTATCAGGATCATTCATTGAACCCTGAATGATTCCTTTCTCAGCGTTGGTATTACTACTAGTAAGTCGAATGTGCGTTCCACGGATCAATTGCTCTAAGTGACCCTACAAAAAATTCAAATAAATTAAACGACAATATAATATAACATAACAAAAAGGTAAAAGATAAGGTAAAGAATAGTGAAAATTTGATAATAAAAAAATCATTTAATTTTACTTACCGTCTCAACATTCCGGATTTCGATAAAATCAGCTTCAAAGCCAATTATATAAGGATAACAAAGAGCAAAATTATCTGGTATTCCTTCCCATGTAATACGACCCTTTTCTGTCTTCATTCTTCCTTTCTTATCAACGAAGAATGCAAAGGCTTTTTTTTGTATTTTCATACACGTAAAATTTTGACAAGATTATTAAAGTTCCATACACGCACACATAGAAATAATAGACTTACTATTGTAGCACACCAAATATTCAGACTTTCCAGTACGATACATGGCTAAAGGTCGTGCATCAGTTTTTGAGAATACAAAACCAAGTTCTTCATCCTCTGGGTCCAAAAGAGCTATCAATAGTAATATTGAATTAAAAAAAAAGATGAATAAATAAGAAAGATGTGGTGGCAAGTAGTAGGAGAAGAAGAACAAAGGGGAAAGATGACTTACTTTGTACTCCAAAGGTATTCATGTCAACTACATCGATTTCAAGTGGGCAGGCAATACACATCTTTGTATTCAATAAACTGATCGAATATGCTTCACTTGGTCTATAAAGATCCTTATAATGTTTTAGGCCTTCATCTACCGAACTACGGGCCACGAGCCTCTTGATCAAGAACGCCGACCGACTCTTTTTGTTTTCCTCTGCTACCATCGGCTCAAGCACTCGAATCGTTGTTGGCGACAACTTGTTTGTCTTGACCACACACACCAGAGACTTTCCCATGCACTGGCCAACGTGAAAGAACGCGACGTTCTGGCCAATGACCCGCCCACGTTTGATGGACACAATCGTGTCCGACAAAAGAACATCATATGGGAACATCCAGAGTGTCTTTTCAGCCAGAACCAAGATGTGCGAGTCCGTAATAACCTCGACGTGCGATACTTTCTCAAGACCGATGATCTTGGTGACTTTATAACTATTGGCTAATTGTTCCTCGCTATCCTTTTTCTCATCTTCATCATCAGCCTTGTCGGGTGATTGGTTCACTGGCGTCTGGATGTAATAGACACCTTGGTCCGCACCGATCAAAAGTCTACGGCTATATTCTGTATTTCCAGTAGTAGCTAATTAATTAATTGGTTAATTAATCATTTAATTAATTGATAGATAAATTAAATGATTGATTGATCGATCGATAGGTTAGTTAGTTAGTTAGTTAGTTAGAGTTTATTAATTAAAATATATGCATATAAAAGTGAATAGATAAGTAAATAAGAATTTAGGACAATGTATAATTGTTCAAGGAACACTTACATAATTCTAGTGAATTGTGGATTCTGTTATGAGACATGAAATACTGTTCGACTATTGGAACGACACGGAATACCTGTTGACGAGAAGCCAAGATCTGCTGCTGTTCGCGAATCGTAGTCACCCACATCTTTCGAGCGGTTGCTCCAGTGAGATAAAGCGTAAGTGGAGAAGAGCCTTTACGTCCGTGGTGATAAAATGTGATTCCAAGCCCTCCGGACTTTGCACGGGTGTCGGCCGAAGATGATTTGAGAGGCGCAGTATTCTGGCTGTTGATAGTACCCGATCTACTATAAGGAAGAAGTGAACTGGCTCTCTTTGCTCTACCACCCACCAAGGTTATGGATAATAGTTCAAGTGGAATAGGCTAAAATGGAGGAGAAGTAGGAGGGAAGGGGGATGAAAGGGCGGTGAGGGGGTTTGGTTTGGTTTTTTTTTTAAAAATATTACCTTTAAATGTACTGTGTAATGTTCCACGTGATTCTCCATTTTGACTTTGGCAAAAACCAGGTAGTGATCAAACAAAAAGAGTTGTAAATCAGAGGCATCTGATGTGCTATTTCCCTTGCGCTTCATTCTTCCTTTCATTGCCACCCTTCGTCCTTCAGTCAATAGTTTTAGATCCTTATTATGATTATTGTAATTTTTCAAAATAAATGATGAGTTTATACGTCAAATTCATATATATATATAGCAAAATATTAAGAATCCTTTACCACTTTGTCTGATAATGATTTGAATGTCAATCTCTCTGATATTTGCTCCAAGTTAAAGCGATTTTCAGCCTTTCCAGTTTCAGAGTTGAGCTGGACTAAGAATCTTGTGATGATTTCCATTACTTGTGGAATCGTTTCTTTGTCTGGACTTCCTTCTGGTGTGCGTTTCAAGATTTCGCGCAACAAGAGATTGTAACGGCCCAGTCGGGTGGTTGGTTTCGTTAAGTAACCATTTAATTCCAATCGACGAGATTCTGGCTTTCGTTCAGTTTCCTTTATATTTATATTTATATTCATATACACACACATAAATACCCAATACTTAATACCAAATATATTCACATCCACATCCTCATCCAGAAAATGTTATTGTGTTTTTTTTTACCTGAACAAATTGTAGAAAGACTGGATTGCGCTTCTTTTCAAGCTCAAAATAGAATTTACCGATAACTTGATGAGACCCATATACAACAAATGGATCAAATTGACACACGTGTGTGAGCAGTACATCTCCAATATTTCCCACAACTGGGTTCTTTTCCTGAAGGCTTTTCAATGCATCTGAAAAAGGACCATTGACCTTTTCGATATCCGAAAGATTCCAAAATACTTCTTGGACAAAATTCTCGCGTTCTTCATCAGGAATAATATCTTCTTTGATCAAAGGTTTCACCCAAGACTATAAGTATATATTTAATAAATTAAATACACCAATAAATGATTATTGTTTTCAGATATATATATATTTAAAGGAAACAAAGTGTACTTACGTTTTGGACATAACGAAGATCCTTTACAAAATCTTCTTCAGTATAAATCAATTCAAAAATTAATTCTTGTCGTTTTCTTTCTTCAGGTGAAGTGGCTTCAAAAACTTCTTTGGTGACTGAATGGAACCACAACCGATTGGCTTCCTAAATCCACAACAGAAGAATAATTAGTCAGCCACTATTTTTGCTCTCTGTCTATGCAATTACTGAGATGATATTTTCTTTATCATTCTTTTCTTGTCTCGCATTTTCCTCTCTTTTTTTTTTTGAAAAACACACTAGGTTTTACACCTCTTCACATCAACCTCAACATAACTGGCTTGCCTTTTCCTGTAATGATGCCTGGCTTTGAGTTCGCTTGAGAACCTATTGTAACGATGATAATGGTCCTGGATGATTAATATTATTCAAATACACACAAATATTCTTTAATTTTTTATTTTTTTTTACCGTCTTTAATTTTCTTGGGCAACTGGTACTGTAGCAAGGTTGATCTCTGGAGCAGGTAGGGGAGTAGCACTCGGTCAGGACAGTAAATACACCGTTGGGAAGGTTGTCTGACAATATTTCTTCTTTTTCTCTCGACTCCAAATAATCTGAATCATCTGTTGAGTTTATGCCACCAAAATCCTTGAATTGATAGATTTTTTTTGAAAGGTCTCGTAGTCTTTCCTTTTTCGGAACCCCATGAAAAAAGCCTTGTTCACCCAGAGCACGGCCAACCAAGATAGCCACATTACGGTCTTTGGTTCGAATGATATGTAGTAAACAGTCCTAGATTATTATATATAAAAAGTCAAAACACAGATTTGATATTGTGAGACAATGATATAATACACACATATATATATACACATATTTGGGTGTAAAAAATAATAGCAATAATAATGAGAGAAACCTACCACGGCTTCTGTTCCACTAAACACATGGTGATATTGAATATCATCCTTTATAAGGTGAGTTGTATGTATGCGGCGATACATTTCGCGAGCCACACGCGATAACATTGCTGGATAAATCACCAACGGTTTCTGAGTACGATAGGCATATATAGATTTCCGTTGCTCTTCTTGTTTCCGTTGCATTTTCAGGAACATTGATGCTTGACCATCGGATGGTGAGACAGGAAAAGAGTCAATTGAGTCACTGAGCTCAGTGTCGGTAGACATACGACGGAATGGTTCATGGAGAGACAAACTTGATTCTGATCGGCTGGGACTGATACCTTAATTACATACATACATATATATTTTAAAAGAAAAACAGGAGATTTTGTAAGTATTCAAAGAAGAAGAAGAATCCATTGATCATTTTACTGTGATATTGAAAGTTTGCTTAAAGTTAATAGTAATAGTAATAATATATATAGATATCCTTAGATATAAAAAAAAGTCTAATGAATATTAGGATAACACATGTTATACACACATATTTACCTCCTAAACTGCCACGTTGATACCAGTCTGAGGGTGGAAATACAGGTGAAGGTACCTTCCAACTCAAACTATCGTCTATTTCATCTGGGTCTTCGACCAGACATTCAAATGCTGGGCCAGATACAGGATCAAGGGGACCTTTCAATTCGACCGTCTCAAATGAAACACAGCCAGATGGTGATGATGATGCGGTTGATGTTAGTGTTGGTGTTTCTCCAATCCAAGAATTTTCATTTTCATTTTCATCTTCCTTGTCATTGTCATCTTCGTGCGGCAATTCAATTACAGGAGATTCAGGTACGACGCCATCAAGGTCAAAAATAGGAAGACTGCATATAATAGATGATGGAGGTCTGTCTCTAAAATTGAATTCTTCTTCTTCCTGTTGCTGTTGCTGTTGCTGTTGCTGTTGCTGTTGCTGTTGCTGTTGCTGTTCTTGTTGGTGGTTGTGCTCCTGATTTTTTTCATTTCTAGCATTAACATTGGCATTAACACTGAGATGGATATTGTCTTTATCGTTATCATTGTCGTTGTCACTGAGATCTGAATTAGAATTAATCGAGCGGTTTGAATTGAATCTTTTGACCATTAATCCCAGGCGTTTCGATGGTTTGGTTGGAATTGGGGTCTTTGGTTTTACAGACAAATTGTCATTATTATTGTCATTATAGTTATAATTATTATAGCTGTAGTCATTTAAAAAAATCTTATTATCATTATTATTATCATTAATATCATTATTTTTTTTGTCTTTTTCGTCTTTGGGACAGGGGTCAATGATAAAAGTTGGTAGTTTAGAAGGTGATTTAGGCATAGGGGGAGGAGGCGATGAGGGTGGCTTTGAGCGCGGGTGGAAGCTAGTGGCTCGATATGATGCCTTTGCGATTGTGATAGGAATTGGTGAAGGTGTAGGCGAGTGAGTGTGTGTGTGTGCCCTGGTTAGACCATTAGTGTTGTTGTTGTTGTTGTTGTTCAAATTTCTTAGAGGTGTGTTAAAGGCTGCAAGACTCTGGTTACGAACAGGAAGTTGTTGTTGAACATAACTTTTTTTTATGGCGTCTGGGATAAGACCTCCTTTGAATGTTTCATGACGAGCGAGAAGGGTTTTGTCGGTGCGATGATCTGGTTGATTAAGACTGGGATGAGGCAGTTGGTGATGAGGCGTGTGATGAGACATTTGCAGTTTGGGATTCGTGGGTAGAATATGACCAACTTGAGACAACACCAAATAGGATTAGTTTGTCTAACTATTTCTTTTGGAGATATAAATTTAAATATATATATATATATATATATACTTATTTATGTACGTATGTAAGTGTATGTATGTGTATGTATGTGTATGTAAGTGTATATGGTTTGTAAGGAAAGGCAGCACCAAAAAAGGAAAGAGCAAAGGGAAAGTGGTTAAAGAAGAAGAACAAGAAGCCCAAGAAGAAGTAATATATATATATATATATACATGTATATATATATATTATAGTATTACTTGAACATGAGACTGAATTGCGATTTATATATACATATATAAATTAGAATTTCTGAGATTAAAATATGAAAGAAGAAGAAGAAGAAAAAAATTAGATTTCTCTATGAGACTAAAATCTATTCGCTTTAATCCTGATTTCTAAACCTTGTTTTCTATTTTCACAGAAAAGCAATTAAAATACCCAGTAGATTTATGTCATATACAGCTACATGCAATAATTTATAATCGAATTATTCTATACATTATGGCTATTCACCCTTTCTAAAGGTCAAGATAGAGATAAAAGACCAATTTGGTTCTGGTCACTGACTACTCCAAGATCTATTGAAAAGACGCACACACACAATGTAAAGTGAAAAGTAAATTATTGACACCTAAAGAGAAAGCAGAATCACATTATATTTAATGTCAAAAAAAGAAATAAGATCGTCATCAGACTTTGATGGGCATGAAAACGTACAGTAATTCAGGGCAAATACAAGGAGATGGTTTTAGTGTAAAAATAAAATAATAATAAAAAAAAAATTGACGTGCATTACAGTGCAGCTTAATTAAAGTCTCTGGTGTTTGATGAGTACATTATCAGGTACTGTGCATAGTAACAAAAAAAAGTTCAATTCAATAGGATACTAACCATTCATAGTAGTAAACTAGTGCTTTCCTTTTTTAAAAACATTATTAGATATGGCCATATCTAAAGTAAATCTTGGGAAAAGTTACCATTTTGTATATATCTCCACAGCCTAGTCCAGCCAATAATATATATATATATAAAGGCTTTGGTATGACTTGTAATTGCACCTAGGCAGATATCATTGGAACACTTTCTATGCATGATTATGGCATTAATATGTCAAAGTGTGTAAAAGACTGTTGAATAATGCAAAACCGATAATCGCGGTCGATTGTAAGAGGTAACTAGAAAATCTTGAACGTTATAATGCTCAAGACTTCAACATATACTTTGTGGTACTTTGTAGCATTTTGACTTTGATTCTGTACATATAGTACAGTATAAAACTCTTTCTTCCAAAAATCAACGGCACAATAACCAATGGTAGATTAACATTGTCATTATAAGCTACTAAAAAGAATACTGCTTGTAATAACAACAGTAACAACAAACATTAGACTTTTGTAGCTTTCTTCTTCTTGAAGACTATACCAGGAAGTTTTGCTGTAAAGAAGATTTTTTATTTATTTATTTCTGCTTTGTGTCGTACTGGTGTACTGACCCGTTAGAACACTATATAGTTTATTCTTTGTGCTACAGAAGTATTGGGTTTGGAGAGTACATGTCCGGATGAGCTATTTTCCTACAGCATAATTTATCCTACCCTCAAAACTGCCTTTCTTTTGGAAATTCTTAAAGGAGCCTTATTACAATCCACAACTTGTCAAAAGCCATTCGTTTACAAAGAAGAATAATAATAATTCCAGTGGGGTTATGAGCAAATAAAGATAGTAGAATGCGTGGTTAGAGACGATGATAAACTAGCCTTTTAAAACAATGCAGTCCTTTGAACCAAAGCTTCAACTAATCTAAACTAAATGAGATTCCGATAGACTTCATAGCAAAATAAGAAAGAAAAAATATCGGTGTAGCCTTAATATTTTATAATAAAGACTAAATAAAGTCCCAGCCTGGCCAGTTTTCAATTTCTCGAAAAATATTAAGCGGTAGTAAACACAGACTTGCTTGGTACGTTTACTGGAGATGTATACAAATAGGTTAGAAGGTGTCGCTTGTAGCATAGTCTTTAACCAATACTGAGTTAACAATACACCTTTAGAATAATGATATTTCCTTTTTTTATATCTATCTGTAAAATGCTTCTACCTTACAAAATAATCGATTACAGACCTATACAACAAATGAAAAAAAACTTTTCAAAATCAACTATATATCTTTAAAATATAGTTGGTATACTTTTTTTCTTAAAAAAATTTTTTTCTCATTAAAATCTCACATTTTTTTCAGCAAATCAATCAAAATATTCTTAACAAACAAAAAGAAGCTCATTACCGGCGATTCTCATCATGATGCATCATTAACCCCACTTAGGAGAAGACATGCCAACCAAGAACAACTATATATAGAGCAATTCAAAGATGAAGACATGATGGCACAGAATTAACATTAAAGCACAAAGGATGCCCAAAGGTTTTTTATAAGAGAGTTTTATGCTGTTTTAAGGTGATTAGAGGATAGTTTCGGGGTCATATGTAGACATGATAATTTAACCCACTAAAAACAGAGATTAACAATTTCGAAAGTATGGATATATACAGCTGTTTGAAAGGAAGATCTTCCCATCTTTATTTGCCTAAATAAAAGACATTACGGGGACTTTCTTCATCAACAACATAATTATCTTTAGCACAGGCCAATTCTGGTTTATGAATTCAAAAAATAGTCGATAATGCGTTAATAATACAGTCAAAGCTCGATTTAGTAATACTTTTGGGAGAAGCCAAATTGTATTACTACAGGATTTCCACTCCAAAAGTTATATTTTTTTTTCAAACTATATATTTTGCAAAATCAAAACTTTCATTTTATGCTTCGATTATATATAAAAAAAAATCAATTTATTTTTGGCTATTTGTACATTGGGGGAAGAAGCTAATGCTATGATCAACCCAGCCTTGGCAGTTTTCCATAGCGATATGGCGGGAGCACTCAGCAATATACTCCAAGAATTGACCACATACCAACCCGGGCTTTCTCTTGACCAGTGTTTTGAGTTTGGAGAAGCACTCTTCAATCGGGTTTAGGAAAGGAGAGTATGGGGGGAGAAAGTGTAGGTGGTGTCGTGAATTAGCAAACAATTCAGTGACAAGATGGGATCTATGGATCGAGGCATTATCCATAATGAAGTTGTGAGGGGCAGCATTACTGTGGTCGAGCGAATCCATAATCGTCTTTACAAATTCAACGAAAATTGGTCCTGTCGTGCCACCAGGGGTTAACTTCGCCTGCACACTCTCAACACCTTGGTAAGAAATACCGGCAAGAATTGAGATGTTTAGTCCCCTTTTCGACTTCGTCTTCACAATGCTGGTCTCGCCTTTCTTGGACCACTCTTGTACTCTGATCAGGTTTGCATTAAAGCCTGCTTCGTCCACAAAAATGCAATTGGTTTTATACGATAAACCATTCGTGTGCATACTGTCTACGTATACTTTTCTCAGCTCAATAGTCTTCGGGTCGTTTCTTTTTTCCTCGACCGGCTTGGTTCTCTTCAATGTGAACCCAATGTTGTTGATAATGTGCTTATGTAAGCCACTGATGCTCAAGTTCTGCTCTTGAAGCTCTGGAAATTTTCTAAACAGTTCCTCTCTCATTTGACCAAGAGTCAAGGTGCAGCATTCGTTCAAGAGGTCTTGAATGAACTTCGAATGCTCATCGGTTATCTTAAGACTTTCCGCGCGCGAGCCGCCTCGCTTCTTGGGCTCTACAGTAGCATCCCTCTCGAACTTGGTGATGATGTTGTTAATCGATACCTATGAGACACCAAATGCCCTGGCTGCTTCGGCTCGAGTCATGGACTCTTCTATATAACATTTCTCCACAATCATGTTCTTGATGTGGATCGGAAGAACCTTTTGTGGTCCATTTCTCTTTCTTCTCTTAACGATAGCGATTTGATTGGGGTTCATGTTGGAGGATTTGAGTATAGAAAAAGATAATAGATAAAGACAGTTCTCAAAACCATATTACAAACTTAGCATTATATACTTTTCTTATAACAATATATTGACATTGCATGTTTTCTTATATTGTTTTTAATAAACAGTGTAGACATTCTTTAAATATTTTATCGCACATATTAGCATTCTTCATGCTCTTTATTAATTTGCTTTAAATTTCTTTCTATCCGCATTAATTAATTTATTTTTTTCATATATAGTCGGAGCACAAAATGAAAGTTTTGATTTTGCAAAATATATAGTTTGAAAAAAAAAATATAACTTTTGGAGTGGAAATCCTGTATCTTAGAATATATGTCTGGGACTTTGTTAGAAGAATCCGGCGCCAGCATCAAATCATTGACTGACCCTCCAAAAATTGAATTAAGGGAACCGTGCAAGGATATTTTGAATCTTATTTCCAAATCTTCTGCTTCAGCAACATGCATAAAGTCTCAAATAAGGTCTTTTATTGGAACTAATAATTCTCTGGATGAATCTGAATATGCTGACTATTACTTTGCGGAATCTACACTTCATCATTTGTAAGTATCTATATATCATAATAAAAAAGAAAGGCATTGTCATTATTTTGATAGTTAATTAGTTAATTAGCTAATTAACCTAATATCTCTATCTAAATAGCTTGCAAATGATGACCAGCCCAAGAAACCCAATTCTATTCCCAATGAAAGAGAGGACAGCTGCTCCAATTACAACAATATACCTGTTACATGCAATGTTCTTAAGCTGTAATGACCTAGTATCTTTCCATTGGTAAATAAATTAGTTTGAAACAAATGAAAAGGTTGTCTTCTAAACACATATTAGGATTGAGCGGACAGCTGATATAACAGGAGCTGCAAAGTGGGATGGAATATGCTTTTCAATCAAAGATAAGCGCCTCACGCCCGTTTTGATTGAATTTTCTGGAGGGATTCACTTTAATAGTACCACAGAAAAAGAGCAAAGAGATGAAAGCAAAATGATACGAAATATGGTCAAGCTCTTGGAATATGCCAAATATGTCAAAAAGCACAAGTCTCCTGTTCCGCAGTTCTACTGTCGTTTCTTCAGTAAGTTGATTGTGAACATACATACATACATATATATATATATATATGTATGGACATTCAAACCACAGCTAATATTTCTTTTAGACAACCAGATTTTCTTTGAAGCCATATTTTTAGTTGACGAAGAAACTAGACTTGTAAAAAGAACTTTTTGCAAGATTCCCTGTCCGGTAACCCCACGCGAGCTAAAGATCTTTGCTGAAAACATTCCTGCTATGTTAAAATGGAAGCAGGCAATAATAAACTATGTGATCAAATCACAAAAGTGAAGAATAAAAACCATAGAATTAAAGAAATAAAAGTGCTTATGTTCTTTTACTTTTACTGACTACCAACAACCGAGTCATTATTACTTTTTTTTTGTTTATTGTTTCAATATGTGTTCAAATGATCTTGCTTAAGTATAGAAATATTTTTCTTTTAATCTTTTGATTGCATTTTCTTCCACAGCCAAGGCTCCTCTGGCAGCTTATTCAAGTTTTACTGATACTAGAGTTTCGTTTGATTTTATATTCTAATTAATAAGAGCAATGGTTACATATACATATGCTTCTTGTTGTTCAGTTGGCTTACAGTTGAGAATCCTAAACATGTCGTGATGATTGATTGTTTTTACGCGTAAAAACAATCAATCATCAGAAGAATAATAATGTACATTGGTACCAATTAGTAAAAGTCAATTAATTGAACAATGCCTATTAGGTACACATTACCTTTATCAAAGTACAGACTACAGAAGACTCCCTGCATTCATATAAAGAAGTTTCACTCTTTATATGCAACGTTCGCATCCGGATGCCTTTTACAATGAAGCAAAAGGCCAGAGCCCAGAGCGTTAGCAGGGGGGACAATGTACCTTTTTGTTACTACATGTTGAAGTAATAACTAAGTGCACATCGTTGTCTTCTACATCAAACTCCCTGCATTCATATAAAGAAGTTTCATTCTTTATATGCAACGTTCGCATCCGGATGCCTTTTACAATGAAGCAAAAGGCCAGAGCCCAGAGCGTTAGCAGGGGGGACAATGTACCTTTTTGTTATTACATGTTGAAGTAATAACTAAGTGCACATCGTTGTTTGATGGTGTAGTCTAAAGGAACGCCATAATGGTGATAAGGGAATAACCATTACATATATTCGTTGTGACCGCAACGTCATCAAAACAGGCCCGGTCCGGCACAACGATGTCTGAGCTGGCACTTTTTTTTTGCAGTTCGAAATGATTATTGTAGAAAATCACAGGATTTAATACTCTGGGTGCGTAACAAAGTTGCGTATGGACAACTTCTTTGTTTTCTTATAGACAATTGGTATATGTGCTGTGTTTTTTAATACGCTTATATTCCCATAGAGGAAATTATGGCTAAAGTCCGTACCGCGTATTAAGCTCCTCCGAGTCGGCTAGTACTCCTTTTCGGCGAAGTTATTTATTTTTACAAACTTTTGAAAGAAAAAAAACATATCGGTGTAGGCACAGGTCTATATCAAAAAAGGCGTTCTATATTCTGAGATCACCTCTTCACATTTTACCCTTTGAATACTAAAGAAAAATCTAAAAAGTCACGTGCCTAACTTGTTTACATTTTTGTTAGTAAGACTGTGACGGAGGTCACTCTTGAGTTCATAAATCAGTACCTTATTTGGACGCCCCTTTATAATCACTCAAAATCCAATTTCAATAAACTCAGTCTTCTTCCTGATACAGGATTTCCACTCCAAAAGTTATATTTTTTTTTCAAACTATATATTTTGCAAAATCAAAACTTTCATTTTGTGCTCCGACTATATATGAAAAAAATAAATTAATTAATGCGGATAGAAAGAAATTTAAAGCAAATTAATAAAGAGCATGAAGAATGCTAATATGTGCGATAAAATATTTAAAGAATGTCTACACTGTTTATTAAAAACAATATGAGAAAACATGCAATGTCAATATATTGTTATAAGAAAAGTATATAATGCTAAGTTTGTAATATGGTTTTGAGAACTGTCTTTATCTATTATCTTTTTCTATACTCAAATCCTCCAACATGAACCCCAATCAAATCGCTATCGTTAAGAGAAGAAAGAGAAATGGACCACAAAAGGTTCTTCCGATCCACATCAAGAACATGATTGTGGAGAAATGTTATATAGAAGAGTCCATGACCCGAGCCGAAGCAGCCAGGGCATTTGGTGTCTCATAGGTATCGATTAACAACATCATCACCAAGTTCGAGAGGGATGCTACTGTAGAGCCCAAGAAGCGAGGCGGCTCGCGCGCGGAAAGTCTTAAGATAACCGATGAGCATTCGAAGTTCATTCAAGACCTCTTGGACGAATGCTGCACCTTGACTCTTGGTCAAATGAGAGAGGAACTGTTTAGAAAATTTCCAGAGCTTCAAGAGCAGAACTTGAGTATCAGTGGCTTACATAAGCACATTATCAACAACATTGGGTTCACATTGAAGAGAACCAAGCCGGTCGAGGAAAAAAGAAACGACCCGAAGACTATTGAGCTGAGAAAAGTATACGTAGACAGTATGCACACGAATGGTTTATCGTATAAAACCAATTGCATTTTTGTGGACGAAGCAGGCTTTAATGCAAACCTGATCAGAGGACAAGGGTGGTCCAAGAAAGGCGAGACCAGCATTGTGAAGACGAAGTCGAAAAGGGGACTAAACATCTCAATTCTTGCCGGTATTTCTTACCAAGGTGTTGAGAGTGTGCAGGCGAAGTTGACCCCTGGTGGCACGACAGGACCAATTTTCGTTGAATTTGTAAAGACGATTATGGATTCGCTCGACCACAGTAATGCTGCCCCTCACAACTTCATTATGGATAATGCCTCGATCCATAGATCCCACCTTGTCACTGAATTGTTTGCTAATTCACGACACCACCTACACTTTCTCCCCCCATACTCTCCTTTCCTAAACCCGATTGAAGAGTGCTTCTCCAAACTCAAAACACTGGTCAAGAGAAAGCCCGGGTTGGTATGTGGTCAATTCTTGGAGTATATTGCTGAGTGCTCCCGCCATATCGCTATGGAAAACTGCCAAGGCTGGGTTGATCATAGCATTAGCTTCTTCCCCCAATGTACAAATAGCCAAAAATAAATTGATTTTTTTTTATATATAATCGAAGCATAAAATGAAAGTTTTGATTTTGCAAAATATATAGTTTGAAAAAAAAATATAACTTTTGGAGTGGAAATCCTGTATTACTAAATCAAATGGATTTTTTCTTACTCCGCATATGTTTTTTAGCAATATTGCAGATTTGCTTTATGTGACTGCGAATAAAAGTGCTGAAAAAAATATTACTAAATCGCGATTATTACTAAATCAAATATTACTAAATCGAGCTTTGACTGTAGTATGCCAACCAGATAACTCATATTTCAATCATATTTAAGGTGTCTGAGCTTATCTTATTTGCATTATAAAGGTAAGAGCACCAGGCCTAACGATACTTAAGAAGTTATATATAATTATCTATAAAGAATAAAAAGAAAGAAAAAATATCGGTTGAGGTGTGCAAGATGTATTGCATGTCTATGCCAATTTGCATAGCTCAAATGAAGAGTGTTTGTGGGGATATTACCAAATACCAATTTTCTTAATGATTAAAGATTATAGGTTTTTATAAGTAAACATAGACAAACAATAAAGGGAAAGTTAAGGGTGCTAATTGTTATTTATTTATTTTTACTTTGGCAGAAGCCAAGACTTTTTGTCATTTAATCAAGGAGTCTGTACATGACTGCAAAGAGGTTCTCTTGGTCTAGTAGATAAGAAGCTTTATTTTAGTCTAGAGTCTTTTTTTTTGGCTTATCAAGGTAGCAAACAAACCCAAAAAATGTTACGCCCAATACCAAGTGGCTTTCTTGATATATATAAAAGGTTTATATATAAGATTTTTTTAAATTATAAACATGCGTGAAGCTCCCCACCTTCACATACTTAAGTTTATTTCAATTTTAGACTGTCTATTTTTCATGTTTAGTCTCAAGTAGAAGGTTTTTTACAGAACCGTATTTAAAAATAGCATAGCCATTAGAAAGTACATCCCTCCAGTTGTCTTTTGATGAAAACCGTATAGTATCGTGAATCTGATCCTTGGTATACTTTGGCTGAATATTTCTGGGGAAGTTATGGAAATATTCTCCAGCTTCCTTTGATTCTTCTTTGTTTAGCTTCCGTGCTTTTGATTGTTGGGCCATAAAAACGTTTGCTTGCATGTACCAAGAATACACCCAGGTATTTTCTGCAGAAACCTAAATATGATATCCAATTTGAGTTTATTTAGTTTAATCATTTGTTTTCTATTTTATGGAACGTAGAGATATCAATCAATACTTACATTTGATAAAGAAAAAGCAAACATGTTAATAGTATCTTGATTGACGACGTTGGTGAATTGGATGCTTTCAATAAAAAGCGTTGTAAAGTGGGTTGATGACATATCAATGCAATAATATAAAGTAGCTCCCTGTTGAGATCCTTCTATATCTACGCATTTGAGCTCCATATTGGTAAGTTTCTTGCAAAAAATAGAGATAGACTTGAGAGTACTAGCAGAGATTGACATATTACTGAGTGATAAATCGCACAATGCATTTTCAGTTGGGGGGATAGGCAAGTTCGGACTAGAATTAAGAACACCATCAGAAATACTAAAGGTCTTTAACAGCGGATACTTCTCCAGAAGAACATCCAGATTGACTATAGCATCTTTAATGCAGATATTGAGATCAACTAGATGAGGATAGTATACGAGCTCAGGAATAAGGTCCAAGCACTGCACGATACCTGGACAGGATTTAATTTCGATTGTTTGCAATGTATTTGCAAATACGTTTGTTGATTTTATGATATTATTTGACGACATGCTGTCTCTCGATATTCCATCCACAGAAAGACATATGGCCTTGAGAGAAGTATTGAAAAGACGAAGTTGATTTACAAAATCAAGATATACTTGTTCTGAAGCCATATTGACACAGACATCAATGTTCTCCAATCGTTGAAAGGGAAATGAAAGCTGTTTGAATATATTTCCCGCTAGAGAAGTCTGCTCATCAATTGTAAACCGGGAGAAATCAAAAGTTTTAAGAGTACTGATGTTTGGATACTTAACAGCAAGGTAGTATAGCCATTCAATGGTAGCTTCCTCAACACAACATCCAAGAACTTTTAAACGAGGCGCTGGCTTTACATATTTGATCTTCAAAAGTTCGGCTGGTTTCATTTCATAAAGATGGACACTCAGCGACATGTATATCAATTCGGGTAGTTGATCATTAAGGAGTTCAAAATCGTTAAAGGTGCACTGAAGCGCTCTTTCATTGTACTGATCAGTGATGTGTAGTCGTCTCAACCGGGATAGATTAGATCGTATTGAAACAAAGATGTTTGATAGTGAAGCGTAATCATGGCGTAGCACAGTAATTTTGAGGTTTGTGAGTGATTTTTCCCACAGATTCCACCCACAACAATTGATAAGCTGGTATCGTTCAACAATCGCATTGTTCCACTTGAAGACTTGTACACACGGAAGGTTTTTCTGGAGGGCGAGAAGCTGCCTATCACGTAGACAGATATTCCTACCGATGTTGAGCATTCGAGTTTTGTGACAATATTTCCGAAGTAGGTTGTTTTCTGGATTGGTTGCATACACCAGCTCATTAACATTGCAATAGCTTTTAACAGATATTGTTTCAAAAAGAGATTCCTGGGAAGCTAGCAACCAAGACTTGCACACAAGGCAACATTGAACTTTATCTCTGGGTTGAAGAAAATTTGCAATAAGAAAGGTAATTTCGTAAGGTAATTCTGATGCCAACATGATGGAAACTGATTCTGGACTTCTTTTTCTTGGACTTTCTTTCTTTATAATAATTTTTCCAACAGAAAGAGAAAGATAAAACATGAAATAGCTTTGGGAGGATGCATATTATACCCTGGGTTAGACAAGGTTTATATTAACAAGATAAAGATGGCCCGAGAAGTGATAGCTCAAACGACACAAATAGCACGATAGACTTATTTAGAAGACTTTCGAGCCTAAATACGGAACATGTTTTTTTTTTATAAAAAAAAACTGTAAAAAAATGACCTTGTAAGAGAAAGAAAGAATATTTTGAATAGCTATGTACAGTATTTGATTTTAATTGCTATTAGCACTCTGTGTAAGAAACGTCTTTATCTGATTTTATTACTTTGTTTTATAAGGAGCTATATTTTTTACTCAAAATAATGTGTGTGTATACGATGCTATAGTTTGTTAATAATTCTTGTTGAAAGCTATAAATCGGATAATTGTTTACGGTAGTGAAAGCAAAAATAAAAATATTTGGCTGATTATCTTTTCAGAGCATTATATCACTTGGGCATAGAACCTTACTAAAACACAGCCTCATTACAATATACTCCATGTCTATATTCGTATATCTGTACTATCTCAAATTTGGCTGTTCGAGCTATCTGTATCGCCTGAGCTATCGCTCTGTGAGCATGTTATGAGTATAGCAAACCTTAAACTCAAAGCCTTATATGCTTCCCGCAAAATATAACCCAAGCAAGGGGTTGCTAAACCCTTTTAAAAGAAGACTACGACACTAGTGGTATACAATGTTTCCCAGGTGTAATTATCGAAAAATCGCTTTGATGTAATATTCTATGTTAGTATCGAATATGAAATAAATCGAATCTATACATTTAATGAAGGGGGTACACAGCCAGATTGATCGATCAAATTCTTGTGTGAATCTTAGCCAATGATATCAATTTGTACTTGAGGACACCAAAAGACAAAAGTACAAAATTCGTATAAAATTCATAGATCTTTATAGAATTTATAGAATAAGCTTTTGCACATCCTGATTTCTTCCTTGAACCTATATGCACTTAGACTCTCGAAGAAGCCAAGTGTTTTTTCCTTTGACTCAAGATCTGGCAATAAATTGTCGACCTTGTGTATGCATTTATTGGCTTTAAGTGTTTGTTCAAGTTCATTCACAGCAGCTACCGGTACTAAAGCAATCAAATTACTTCATTATCATAAACATTTTCTCATTATAATGTATCGTTTTCATGACTCTCTTCCTAATTAAATAAGACTAGTGATAATAATGTACCTATGTTGGATTAATAGTATGAGCTATATATGTATTTTTCATTTTTCAACTTTTATTTATATTAAAGATTAATCTTCTCAATTACACTATCTACCTTTTACTTCAATTACCATTAGTATTATGTATAGATATCCAAAGATATCTTTTAACTAAAAATATATAGACTATTTGAAAATACAATATTGGTTCACCAAGAAACCCTTTTCTCCTTGTTTTTCTTATTAGAAAAGAAGGTATATATAAATGCATAAAAACATACAAATATACAAGCTGCAATCGGCAAAGGGAAAGTGAGAGAGGAGGAAAGAGAAAGGGACAATGAAAATGAAAAGTAAATTCAACTTTATCTATGAACAAAGGTTTTATATATCAACTGAATAACTATGGCTAAATATCCGTTTGCTTATGTTTCCGGTTAACCTTAGATCTCGTTTATTGCTGGTGTATAACCAGAATTGAATTCTTTCTATGTCTATAGATAAATTACCAAAATGGATGAGTGCTATGCGCTTATAAGTTTTATATATATAAATATCGTTTTTACTAGATTTCGAGGCTTTTTTTTTTAAAAAAAAAAAGAAAAAAGAAAGAAACTCTACTAGTTTTAAGCGCTACGATATTACGCTTCAAGATAACAGCAGCAATTACAGCACTTAGGTACTTAGATACTTTGTATTGTTTCTTTAAGATACGTATGTTTATGTGTGTGTGTGTTTTTTTAGAGTTTCTTTTATATTTGTACAGCTATCCAAAAGTAAAAATAAAATAAAGATAGATAGATAGATAGATAAAGATAGATATTTAGATAGATAGATGGGTGCATAGATAAAGATAAATGGATAAAGAAGTGTTCGAGAAAGATAACTTATGAACTAACTTATTACATTACTCTTCTCCAAAATTGTTTAAACAATGAACTGAGATTCATGTTCGGTAATGATTTTTGCAGATCGCTTGGAATCGAAGAACAGTTCTGTGGCTTCATTAACATCCTCCTTGGTTATGCTTGTGTGGTCATTTATGCCTGCCAAGATACTGGCGGGTGTCAAGAGTTGGAGAGCGTATCTAACGTACATGAAGAAAAAAAGCCGATAATTTAAGTATTGAGTCTGTTTGTAGATACACACATATAGTATCTTTTTTCTTTATAGAAATATGTATACGTATAAGTGTATGTGTATACAACTTACCTCACGGAAGAATCAACACCACTCTGAGCAATAACATCAATAGCATCCTCATCCACAGCCAAGCTCTCGGTTCTGGCTCTGATTTTAACAATAACCTTGATTTCGTCAATAGTGTAAGGCAGTGTGCGGATAATAAGAAGACGATCCAAAAGATCTACGGGAATACCGTGAGGAGAGAGAACATCTTCTGTACCACTGTATTAAAATAATAAGAATAAACAAGTCAATAAAAACCACATATATATTTATACAGACACATATCCATAAAATAATGAAATGAAATGCAGTTTACCGAATTGTGCACATTCCTCGGTTGGTGGCAAAAATGACAACAGGGGCAAGTGGTGATTCCAAAGCACGGTTGAGGTAAGTGAAGCACTCGATATCCAGCATGTGTACCTAGAATAATTCGAATCCCAAATAATTCGTTTGAATTAATGACTCAATAAATTCGCCTTGGATTCCTTGTACAATAATTACTCTATCTCAGTCTAGAAACACACGCATATATATATACACATATATACATATAATTGCTGATTATTATTTTTGATTATTACCTCATCAATGAACAGCACACCGGGTACCAGTTCAGCAATACCCTGATCAATGTACTTGTTCACGACCTTGTTGATTTCCTGTCTCAGTTTGTCTGTGATTTCGGTCTTCTTGGGCTTCAACAATTGACCCATCATAGACATAATATCTTGACCTCCCTTTTTTTTTAAAAAAAAAATACCAAGATTATTATTTAGTCATTAATTAGTACAGTTTCTTTTTCTTCATCTTTTCTTCTTCTCATTACCTGAGGCTTTGCATTTGCAGTATCCAAATCATGTAGTGTTACATCCTGAATAACTTCCTTCTTTTTGTGAACATCACCTTTGGGCAAAGGAACATACTCTTCAGCCTCAAGATCGAATTCTGTAGCATAAGCATCTGAACGACCAACACGCTACAATAACAACACAACAATAAAGTTCCCAAAAACACACATATACATAAAGATGTCAATTTACCACATAATCATACAGATTCATTTCATATATACATATGAGCTGTAAATTTTCTCTATTTCTCTTTCTATGACTTTTTTTTCATTTCTCCTTTACCTTTACTGCACCAGTGTTTGCCTCTACATATATAACATCACCAACGGTAACCTTTTCTTTTTGAATCGACTCGTAGATGCTGGGATCCAACTTGAGCTGCTTTGTTCCCTTGACGGTCTTAAGACCGATAATAACATGCGAGATGGTCTTTCCGTAACCGCCCAATGGGTTTTCTGTCTCTTCGGGTGTAAGTTCGGTGACTTCACCTTCATAAACCTCCTTTGTTTCCTTGATACGCAATCCAATAGCACGTCTAAAGTTCTCCATCAGCACTTCGGTCTTCTTGATCTCAGAAGAGTATACTTCGGAACCGACGATGGGTCTAAAAGGAACCTTGGGACCCAATTCCTGGGAGATGGCAAGTGCAATGGCAGTCTTTCCTGTACCGGGAGCTCCGGTGAACAAGAGAGCACGACCGGCCATCTTTTTGGATTTGATCAACTCGACGACAACACCACTTGCCTAATATTATTGTTATGATTATTAATTTCTGAAATGCTTCAAAAAAGAAGAAGAAAAAGTAAAGAATGGTAATAGTAATTCTAGGAAAATGTTTTATTGTTTTTTACCTCGCGGGCATTTTCTTGTCCAACAAAACCTGCCATGATCGGTTCAGCAGAACCGTCATCGCGTAAACCAAGGCCTTTAATGTGGGAATGGGCAGCAACACGCTTCTCGCGAGGAGTAGAATTGACCTGCTCGATGCGCATGTTTCCAGCGGTGGGAGTGTTTACAATTGGGGCAGCCATTATTTGTCTTGAATGATTTGATGTATTTATCTATGAATATGTATATATATATATATTTATTTATATATATGTATGTATGTATGCGTGTGTGTAGCGTGTTCGTCTGCGTGTTCGTCTGCGTGAACGTCTGCGTGAATATCTCTGTATATATTAAATATAAATATAAATATAAATATAAATATAAATATATTATATATTATATTATATATAAGAGGGGATGGAAAAATAAAATAAAAAGCTTATAATCCAACAAAAAACAATAAATTATGGCTGGAGACGAATACTTTTTTTTTTTGAAAGAATGCGTATAGTGAAAAAAATATCAGGGTCGTCATAGTGGACTGCTTTTATAAACTGCTAGCGGAGAATAGACTTTATAGGGAAAAAAAAGAAAAGCGATTCAAATATATATATATATATTTTTTGCATTGATATCACTAACAATGACGGAATATGATCGCAAAAAGAAAATGTGCATACACACAGATATGTACATATATAAATAATATGTCCCTTTAACTTGTCCTTTTCAACTTGCTCTTTTCTTTATCAACCTATCACTTTATTCATATTTAAGTCATTTTCTCTTATTTGGTAATGGAAAGATCATTTGCTTCTCACCCGTCAGCCGGCAGAAACACCAGAACGTTTTCGGGCCAACCCCACTCTGCAAACTATGGATTTTCCGGAAGCCCAGTTCCCTCAGTATCGCATTATGGAAAGACAGGTTAGAATATATACTTGGATGTATACAGTCTTCAATTGGTAGTCTATTGCTAATATCAGAAAGTTTCTTTGGTTCTTGACTGTTCTGTAATTATGTTAATTAGGGACTCACCACAATGATGTGACAAGACGTATTGAGAGAGAAGTTTGGCATATACTTCAATGGAACAACCCTGTCAGATCAGGAGCTTATCTTGGCTTGATTCTTGGCACCCTGGTTTTGATTGGATCCTACTCTCCACTTCAGATTTGTTCTGCTATCTTGACTGTATTGGTGGGATTAAACCTGCTCTATGTATCTCTCACCACCCAGACTCACCGGGTTTTTTCCAACGATGACATTGATTATACTTCAAGGTAAATTATATATATATATATATATATATATATCATTTTAGTTTTAAGATATTGTAGAATCTTGATTCGTAGTATTAATTAAGAAACCTGTCTATTTACTTTGTTGATTCTTAACAAAAAACAAAACTTAGAGATGTACTTGCCAAGGAACCAATTGAGATTGATAGATCTCAGGTGAGACACTATACTAATCTTCTAGTCGATGTTACCGAGACCGTTGTTCATGCACTTTCTCGCATTGTCCTAATTGAAGATAGCACTACAAGCCTCAAGGTAAAGAAAACAGAGTGTAGAAAGTGAATCAAATCAAATCAAATTAAAGAAAAAGAAGAAGAAAAAATTGCGAGAAAGCTAAATTATTATTCTAAACTCATACTTTAGTGGTTGGCTATATCCTACTTGACTTGGGTGATTTCTGGTCATGTTTCTAGCCGTGTCTTGGCCATCATGTTTGTCATTTCTGCCTTTTCTTTCCCTCGTCTGTACATGTCCAACAAAGACGTGCTAGATGCTCGCATTAACCAAGGAGAGACATTGCTAAAGCAAAGCATCAACCAATCCCAGGCTGCTGCCACAGAAAGTGTTCACAACGTGGTTGACAAGGCTAAACACATTGTAGGCTTGGTAAATGAGCCTGACACAACCAAGACAGATCTAAAGAACACAAAAAGACATACTACTGTAGTCGCAAAATAATAGTCGTCTAGACTTTTAAAAAAAATTCATTCATCAGCAGAATGTAATAATTATGGGACTTTGAAGATTGTATATTTTATCTACAGATCAATTAAACTTAATAATTTCTAATACATATTTTACACATGTATTTTTTGTATACTTTATAAATCGATCAAAATAAAATGCACTTCTTTATCCTTAAAAGAAATAAACATGTATATATAATATACCTTCATGCCTAACCTTTCTTCCTATTTTTTGTTACATTTCCTGAGCACTATTTATTAATTTTCACGCTATAAGCCCGAATTGTATTGATGCAAAAAGGTTATATGTTTTTATTTTTTCATGTGTGAGTGTGGAAATTGCTAAAGAAGAAATACAAAATTGCAAAAGAAAGAAACGAATAAAGAGAAAACTAAAGAAAGCAATATATAAAGGTGAGGAAATAAGAAGGTGAAATCCAGTTATTCCATTTTAACATCTTGTTTATCTTCATCAACACCTCGGATGTAAAGTACGTTGTTGCATCTAAAAAAAAACACGCACACACAATTCACCAAATTCAATACCCATAGCGCATTTTTTGTTTTGCTTGTTCATAATCCACGTCTCCACGATACATACGCAATATATAGATATACACATATTTACCTAATCATAACTTCGCCCAATACACCAACTGATACACCATCCTTGAACTCTTCTGTATTGGCCAGCTATAACCATCATATAAAAAAAATAAACCAAAATAATGATAATAAGGAGGTCAATAAAAAAAAGTAGATTCTTTTTGTATAGTCATTTACAGCAAAAGCTTTTGAATTGAATGTATTAATATATATATATATATATACCTGAAGGTTCATATAGGCATCAACTGAAATAAGATAGCCCTTGTATTCGTCACCCCATTTAAGTTTGACAATAACAGTATTGCCTGTAAGATTGTTCAAGAATGGCTTGGGATTGACGGGGACGAACTAGATAAATCATCTAGTTAATTAACAAGACCTTTACTTTTTTTTAAAAAAAATTATTTCATTATTGGAATCATGGTTATTCAATTTCTTCATCAAATCATCCTTCACTTCTTTTCTTTTAAGAATTTATACGCGTCCTTGTTACTTACGGCAGACATTGAATGAGTAGGAGCAAATCAAGAAGAATGTATTAAAAAAATGCTGTGCGCAATAGAAATCACCGCATTTTACTAAAGGGCGGACAAACTTGCTATATACATATAAAAAGGCCGTGAGTTGGAGCATAAAATACGTCATCACCACAAATGTACACACCTTTTAAAACTATATATATATATATATGTATATAAAAAACAATAAAATAAAGTAAATCAATGATGCTTATTTGAGATGAAAATAATTGAATGAATGAATGAATGGATTGTATTAATGAGCTGTTATTCAGAAAATTAGTATTGTAATTTGTAAAGAGTACGAGAAGAATATTATTATTAGTATTTGTTTGAGTAGGGCCTTGTTGACTCTATGGATCTTTCCAAGGAGTCTGCTTAAAAGCTTATTCAATATATACATATACACATGTCAAATCAAGTGTTTTAATAATATTTTATTTGGGACCGTACTGTTGATTGTAACGCGATCAAGCACTTTAATCAAATATCGCATCGGAATATATATATATATATATATATATATTTGGGTTTAGCTTTGCTATATATATGACAGGGTATGCGTTTTATATGTTTTATAAGCTTTTATGATTTTATAGAGAATTTCCCCTATCTTTTGTTTATGAAAGCCTATGAAAGATAGGTGATAAAGAAGAATGATAAAGAGGTACATATAAAGAAGTCAGATAACCCTCATTTGTTCTTTTTTTTTTTACTACAGCTACAACCTTTTTGTTTGTCCCTCTTTTTATGCTTATAGCTGTGTCTGTGCTTATCAAAAAATCCCATTCTTTGTTGGTTTTGTGATTTGTGCGTATGAAAATAAAGAGATAATAAAAAAAACAGAAAATAATATAATAATAAAAAATAGAGTTGTTTTTTTTTGGTTGATGTTGATGTTGTTGTTGATGTTGGGGTGGAGGGAGGGGGAACAAGAAAAAAAAAGAGGAGAGGAGAACTCAAGGGGAGAGGAAGAAGAAACCAAATATGGCTGTTCTGGTAATTGTGTTGACTAGATTTCGATCTACCAGTTGGTCATCAATTCTTCTGCTGTCATGACAGGAACACTGTTGGCGTGAACATTTTCATGTTTGGAATCAGCAAAACCTGATTCTACACGACCAGAGCGCTGGTTACCAGCATCGTTAATGTGATCTTCAGACCAACCGCCGTTCTGATGTGTGTTTCTCAATTCCTCAACTACGGAAGTAAGGGTTGCATCAGAGTGCTGCTGTTCGTCCTTGGTGTCTTCAGACCAGCCGGCCAGAGTAGCTTCGTCGACATCAATGGAGTCAGTGTGCCAGGTACCTTCGTTGGAGTGGTCTGGGATATTGTCATTTGATTGCCACTCGCCTTCAACCAAGTTCTCATGAAGGCTGGAAAGTTCATCCTCGATAACATCAATTTCTTCAGAGTTCCAGTGGCCTTGGTCATCGCTGTGGCTTACAGAGTCTTCAGACCAACCACTACCATTTGCTTCGACAGAATCGGTGTGGTCAGCATCAGTCCATGACTTAGTAGGAGCGTTAACATCTTCAACTACTTCAGAGTTCCAGTGGCCCTGATCACTATGGTCAGCAACTAAATCGTCATCCAGAGATTCCCAGCTAGCAGCGTCTTGGTGGGCAACAGTCTCGACATCGATTTCTTCAGAGTTCCAGTGGCCCTGGTCGCTGTGACCAGGAACTACATCGTCAAGAGACTCCCAGTTGGTAGGTTCTTGATGGTCAACAGACTCGACATCAATATCTTCAGAGTTCCAGTGAGGCTGTTCATCACTGTGTTCATAGTCATAAGAGTCGGCATCCTCGACCCAGGTTCCGTCTTCATGAGGAGTAAAGTTATGAATCTCGGCATCAATCTCTTCAGAGTTCCAGTGTCCTTCGTTAGAGTGGTCAGGGATATTGGAATCATCAGATTGCCATTCGCCTTCTACAAAGTCTTGGTGTGTTTCAACAAATTTGGGCTCAACATTGATTTCTTCAGAATCCCAGTGGGACTCGGCCAAGTCCTGGCCATCGCCATTCCAGTGAGCACCGTTGGTGTGGGAATCGTTATCAAGAGTTTCGTAATCTTTGGTAGGAGCATTGACATCCTCGATAATCTCAGAGTTCCAGTGGCCCTGGTCACTGTGATCAGCAACCAGATCATCATCCAGAGATTCCCAGTTGGCAGCGTCTTGGTGGGCAACAGTCTCGACATCGATTTCTTCTGAGTTCCAGTGGCCCTGGTTGTCACCGTGCTCGTTGTCATAAGCATCGGCACCTTCTTCGACCCAAATTCCATCTTCATGAGGAGTAAAGTTATGGATCTCGGCATCAATTTCTTCAGAGTCCCAATGACCTTCGTTAGAGTGGTCAGGGATATTAGCGTCATCAGATTGCCATTCGCCTTCTATAAAGTTTTGGTGACTTTCGATAAACTCGGGCTCTACATCGATCTCTTCGGAATCCCAATGAGATTCAGTCACGTCCTGGCCATCACCGTTCCAGTGAGCACCGTTGGTATGAGAATCATCAAGAGTTTCGTAATCGTTGGTAGGAGCATTGACATCCTCGATAATCTCAGAGTTCCAGTGGCCCTGGTCACTGTGATCAGCAACCAGATCGTCATCTAGAGACTCCCAGTTGGCAGCGTCTTGGTGGGCAACAGTCTCGACATCGATTTCTTCCGAGTTCCAGTGGCCCTGACTGTCGTCAGTATGGTCAGGGGTTTGTTCAACCCAATCAGCTTGGGAATCTTCGTGGACAGAAGTACGGCTGTCTTCGTTGGTGAAGTAGTTTCCACCTTCGGCATTCCAGTGGGCTTCATTTTTGTGTGTGCGCTGGTCTTCGTTGGTGAAGAAGGGACTGTTGGCGTGTTTCTCAGACTGGAGTTGATCAATGTCACTGTTGAGATGGTTGTTACGGTGATCCTCGTTGGTAAAGTAAGGATTGGTCCCAGCATTAGTGTGCTAATTTATAGACATATTTTTTGAAATGTTAGTGAAACGGTACAGCAGAGAACAGTAATTCCTAAATGATCTGAAAGCCAATCTAATCTCTTGTTTCCAAAAATGAACAAATAGTAATAGAAGTAATTTACGTTTTCGGACGAGCTGTCAGAACCGTTGGTTTCAACATAATCATCGACCTTGTCAAGCATTTCTGTCCAGTTCTTATCGTTTTCGATTGCATTCTCGTGAGATTCTTCAGTAGCAGCCACTGAACGTTTGTTGACTGTGAAAGCAGCCGAAGAAAGTTCACAAGTAGAAGCTTCGGAGTTGGCCACAAGTTTGTAGTGGTACTTGCCTTTATTATATATATAATATTATACATATAAATATAATTATTTGATAATATTAGTATCAGTTTTCTCAAAGAAGAGTAAAAGGAATGGTAAGTTGTTTAATATATATATCTATGTATCTTCTTTTTCTTTTTCTTTTATTACCAGTAGGGTGGTCACCCAGACTCAAAGCTTTCTCGTCCGACGCACCACGTTCTGCAGCTAAGATACACACACACAAGGATTAATTAGCGTAATTTCCTAGAAATGGACTATCCTAATTTCAGGGGGGACAGACAAATGAGGGAGCGCAGAGAAAGGGATATAGAAATAGAAAGGAATAAAGAAATAGAGAAACAAGGGATATTCTGCTGTTACTTGGGATAAGCTATGGTTTTTGTTACTTTACCATAGGAGCCAATTTCTTGTACAAATTCGTTTGATTCGTCTGTTACAAGAGAAATGTCTATATTTTCAAGGGATCCGGGTGCTTGCCATGCGACAACATGTTTAGAGTTGTCTTCAAAGACAAGATCTATATATTAATTGCGATTTTTTTTTATTTTTTTTTAAATAGGCACAAGATAAAAATAGAAAAAGTCAGTCTATTGATTCATTGATTGATTGCTTATTCGGAATTCTGTTCGTATATAATATTATATATTGAATTGAATTGAATTGAATTGAGATAATATACTGCAATTTATTTTATCGAAATTTTGTCTCGTTTCGCTTTTGTTTCTTCTTCTTTGTACGTATTACTGATTCTTTTTTACCTGTTGATGTTGGGAAGGTGATTCGGAATCCTATAAAGCAAAAGAAAAAAAATAGAAATAAAATGTATTAGTTTAGAATGAGAATTAGAGGAATAAAATTTGTGGAATTGCAGAGTGATTTACCTGCACAAGGATCGACATCAGCAACATCATTTGCATGGTTTGGTTGAAAGAAAGGACTGGCTTGAACGAAGGTGCCTAATTGGAGAAGGAGTGCTGCTGAAGTAGACAGACGAGCTAGACTAGAGAACTTCATAACAGAAGTTTAGGAAATGGTAAGGTATATGAAAGCAAAGAAAAGAGAAAGAAAAAGAAGAAGAAGAAGAAATTATGTGTGGAAAAAGGAGAGCAAGGTAGTAAAAATAAAAATTTAAAATAAAAAAAAGGTAAGGAAGGAAAGAGGGAAGGAAGAAGGTTAGGGCGGGGAATCAACAAGGTATAAATTTATTTTTGTTTTGGGTGTGTAAAGAATAAACACTTTTTATATATTATATATATATATTCTTTGCTTGATTTCATTATCTATTTTTATATTTGTCGTACAGAGCCCATTGGCACGACCACAATCAGGGAAAGATGCTTTATTAACTATTGACTCCGCCCCGAATGTCTATATTGCACGAGGACCAGGCATCGTCAAGACAAAAAGAAAAAAAAATCAATGAAATAAGGCCTATTTCTTTTTAAGCAAAGAAGCATAGATCTGTTACCATGACAATAGTGTACCTGGTTACCAAAACAACTAATATACTTATATATAAATATGTATCCATATATGCATGTATCTATGTACATACTATGCAGTCACGAGATGCACAAATCATGTATATATTGATCTGTAGTCCAAAAAGGTTTTATGGTATATTCTAGGTTAAGACCCTTTAACTGTACCCAGTCGCCAATTTGAATATAAAAAAAAGTCAATTTAGTGGTAGTCGTTTTTTATATAATAAATATATTCACTCTTCTTTTTATTCTTATTAAATAATCATTGGTTCTACGAGATATATTTCTCATATATTTGCTTTACATGATACTATTGTTCTTTTACTTTTCTCTCTCTCTCTAATTTATATATATAACTATACATACATGTTTTGCAGATTGTGGTATAGTATATCTAATATACTTCCTATGTGTTCCCATTAAATTTATATTTGACTTTTTCTTCTTTAAGTACATAAATACATATGTAAGAGACTCATATCCTTTTAATGAGTAAAAAGAAGAACAAGAATGATAACTATATATTTTACTTCTTGTCAATCAATACATACATAAAATAATTGCCAGAAAGCAGAAATAAAACAGAGCAAAAAAGAAACATGTATTACATTCAATATCTGACTTTTTATATCAACACCTCCCATTCTTGGCAATCTTCCTACAATAAATATAATTAATACAAGATTATATATATATATATATATAGATATTTGCATTTTACCTATTACTTTATTTTCTTCTTTATCTTCTTATGTCTTTATATATAAAGAATTGCCGCTAAATAATAATAGTAAGGGCCTTCTCAAGCACTCGCCAAAGGCCTAAAAGTTGGCGTTGAAATCCAAAGAAGTATTAGCGAAGATTTCCTAATTTAGCCAATTTTGTTGGCGATTCGCCAAAACTTTGGATTCGACTTTTGCCGTCGCCAAACTTTTGGCGAAGGTTACTAATTTAAGAAACTCTCGCCAATCCGTATATGGAAATCACCGCCAACATTTAGGACCTTGGCGGGTGCTTGAGAAGCCCCTAATAATTATAATTATAATTACAACTCCAAATCTGGCTTTATTTCCCAGTAATCCACCAAGTACTTGTTTGTACGCCCTCTTTATTTTACACACACAGATACACAAATCTACCGCTCCCACTAATCGAAGCTTTTTTTTAAAGCATACACACTCGACATTTCCCTCTCCTTCTTCTTCTTTTCAAAAAAAAGTTCTTTCATGTATATATTATTCCCTTCGTTTTGAACCACGCCGTTGGCGAGCCTGTCTCTTTGGCCGTCCTCTTGGGGCTGGTTTTCCTCTGGCCGGATTAGTGCTAGAACTGTTACTGGTACTAGTACTGGTACGTGTGCGAGATGGTCGAGCATCAAATTGATTAAAGTATTTAGCACATTCGGGATGAGTGAGCCGATGATCCAATAGACTCGTAAATCCCAAGAGTGGCGAAAGAGACCCTTGACGGTTTCGGTTGGCAGTCATCGCAGGTTGGACAAACCTTGCCATAGGGTCCATTGGATTCATTCTACCTACACTAGGATTACTATCTCTTCCATAACCTGCACCGAAATTGTTGTTATTGATGTTGGCCACACTTTGTGAGGTTTCATTGTATCCTTGACTCGGATCAAACAAAGTTGACATGACTGCATTTTTTCCTTTTCTGGATTTGGCTGATTCAAACTGATCAAAGTACTTTGCGCAGTCGGGTTTTGTTAAGCGATATTTTAACAGACTTGTGAATCCAAGCAGTGGAGACAATGACCCCCGATCGTCATAATGATCGGTAAGAGACAAAGGATCCTGAAACTCGACAATTTCATTATTGACAAAAGATCTTCGATTGCTGCTGATATTGCTGTGCGTCTGCACAGACATTTGTTGGGCCGCCAGTTCACCTTCCACGTGGCCTTGCAGTAGGTCTTTATCGACTAGACCGCCACATATGGGACATTGCTCCTTGTTAGTACGAGGAGATCTCACAAGGTCTGAACTGCCGATGCATTCAGCTGCATGCTCCTGGATCACTTCTCCAGGAAAGAATGCATAACACATAGGGCACTGTGTTTCTGAAACACTACCTGCCGGTCTAAAATATTCCTCTTCGTATTCATATTCATGTTCCTGTTCCTGTTCCTGTTCCTCTCCTTCAATATCATAACTGTTATTATATTCTTCCTCAAAGTAATAATCGTTGTCTTGTACTTCAAACGAACTAGTATCACCCGCTTTTCTGAGCGATTGGCCATCTTTTTGTCCTTCTTGTTCTTCTGTCCACGACCTGATATCTGAGTAACTGCCTGACTTATTATCCATAAAATCAAACCGAGGTGAATCAGGTTTGACAGATCCCATATTTAGCCATTCAGAGACATCCTCAATTTCCAAGGACGTTCCTTGAGTACTGAGTACCTCTTGTTTAATAGTCAGGTCAATAGTCTCAACATCTGAGGAGTCATTATTATCATATTTATTATAATTTAATTTTTGAGACATCCTATTGTTTTTGCTGCCTTTGTTGTTACTGTTGCTGTTTCCGGTGTCGGTGTCTGTGTCAGAATCGTTATTGTTATGTCGAAGTGGTGAAAAAAGTTCATCGTCTGAAAAGTCATTAAATGTTTGGGAATATGTCTTTTGTTTTGGTAGTAGTGGGGGTGTTGTGATTAAGGGACTTAAACAAATCTCATCAATCATTGATTTATAATATTCTTCAGATCCTATTGAAGCAGTATCCGAATAGTGGCCATCATTGAATAAGATTGTTGGTGATTGACGATGTTTAAGAATTTGTGTAAATGGCTGCGGTTCTTCACAGTAAGGATCCTTAATAAGAAATCCATGCTGCTGTTTTCTCACGGATGTTAAAGAATAATCGTTTTCGTTTGAAATAGGGTTTTTTAGTGGTGGTAGTAATAATGATGAATTGTCATATTCGTCCGTTTGTATTTCATTTTTATGCAAAGTATCAAGGTTTGGATAATGCGAGTCTCTGTCGTCTAATGATGATAATGAAGGTCCTTCTTGTTCTTCTTGTGGTGGTCGTGATCGTGATTGGGGTGATAGAGATGATTTTGGTAATGCTGACAATGATTGAGTGGGATTTTGTGTAGAGGATGATTCTTGATTGGGTTTGATCTTCTTTCGAGCAAGTAATCGTTTGGGTATAAATATTGGCTGGAATTCATCATCGCTAATGACAAGACTTGCGTGTTTACCAGAACTTGTAAATGATTGTACAGCCGGCTTTACTGTCGATCGTGTTCTTTTCGGTACTAATTTATGATCATCCTTTGAGCGATCCTTGATGGATTTACTTGTTGATCGTTCAAGAGATGTCATAAATTAATATTTATATTGTTCTTTTTAATAAGAAAAGAAGAAGATAAATTAAAAAACAACATATATTTTAAAATATTATTATTTTTACAGTCATTCTATTTATTTATTAGATATGGATGTATATATATGTATATCTGGCTTTAATGTTTCTTAATCCTCGTCACTAAGGATTCAATAGTGAATCAGTTAATTGGTAATAAGAATATCTTATGTTTGTACTTGCTGCTTGTCCTTGTCAAAAACAATAACAACAATTTAATAATTGTCTGTTTGAATTCATATGAATTTCTGAACAAAATGTGAAACTATGGTTACTCTATGGGCCGTTTTTCATTTTATCTTTACTGTTAATTATGGTTGAAAGATACACAAACGAATGTGCATTTTTATTGTGAAATATAGACAACATAGTTCTTTTTGGCTGTTTTCCAATAGATACAATAACAATACAATACAAGACAACAATAATGATAGGGTTTATTATTTCTTTCCTGTTAGATTATAGTATAAAATATAGTAATGTCTTTTCTCGATAACCTCTCCCTCCTTTAAGCTAAAAAGACTCTTATTGTATTCAACCATTAAAGTCATCCTTGATTTCATCCGTATGTTTCAGCCCCACAAGAAACAGAGTGTAGGACAAAATAAAATAAAATAAAATAAATTAATCTCTTTGGTTTTTAATTGATATTCATTTTTATATAATTCTTACATATATACATCTCTGCCTTTTATTATTACCATTTGCTGCTGCTGTTAACTATAACATATAATACAATGGGCTGGCTTACCTTGTTATTCTTTAATAAGGTGTATCAAATACACTTTGCATTGGCCATCTACAAGGCATATAAGCGGGTGGCTCGTCTGTTCACTCACACAACCGAGATGTACCGCATTTGTCATTCGGCTACAATATTGATCGGCTGGACATCCGACGACATGACCAATGAAGATAACAGTGAACAGCTACCACTACTAGAAGATGAAAAATACAATTCGATAATCAACTTGCCTCCAATGACCATTTGTCGTATAGGTAACAAAAAAAAAATTAATAGTAATAGCAATATATTTCCTTGCTTCTTTTTCTATCTACCTATCTCTTTAATTTATTTATTTATTTATTTATTTTAATAAATAAGAATAAATATAATGGTTAATATAACAAACGAACAAACAAATAAAGCAAAGAAAACAAAAACAAAAACAAAAAACAAAAAGATCAGAATGAGTAATCCTCACCAATGAACATTAGAGAAATCGTTGATGTATTCCAAAATTCTCCTGGTAAGTACCAGTAAATATACATGTGTGTAGTCTTGTATATATATATATATATATGTATATATGTGTATATATACAAATCATTATTATTGATGTGTACCTGAATTATTATAATTATTATAAAATATGTATTTATATATGTATGGTATTAGAAAGAGCAAATGGAATTAACATTAGAATCATGTAATGTTGATGAAGTTGTGGATGGAATCCGCACAAAAAAAGGATTTCCAGTTGGACAGAGGTAAAGCATGTATATATAATTAGATATATAAAAGAAAGAAAGAAAAAAAAATAAGCTTTAAAAAGTAGCAGTATATATCCTAATTAATATTATTATAATTGACATTGACATTGGCATTGGCATTAACTGTGTCTTATTTTCTTTAATATTATCCTGCGTCAATGGATTCGTGCTTTTTTTTGCAGTCCAGAGCTACAAATCTTAAAAGCATGTGTGAGTCAGATTGCAGAGTATTTTGCGCTGGTACGACAGATCAAGGCCAAGACTTCCACCGTTTATAGCATAGAGAATCCAGCGCATGAAGAGCAATTACTCACGGTAAGGTCGAGCGATGGATATATACTCTCCTTCATCTTGTTTTTTGTTTTTACAACTGTATATTGTTATTATTGTCTTTGGAATTTCAATATTATCATTGTTTGCTAACAAACAAAGGATATCTGTAGCTGTGGAGCGCATTGATGCCCAATGTTAAATTAGAGTCACGACACACACGCCAGTGGATAGAGGTAAAGAACAAGAACAAGACCAAGTACAAGGGAGTGAATACGTTGATATTTAACAAAGTAGCGATATATATATATTTATGTTTATGTTTCAAATTACAAGATTGGGTTTCAGGGTTCAGATCCAGCCACAGACTTTAGAGGAATGGGTATCCAAGGACTAGATGATCTAGTGTATTACAGCTCCCGGCATTCAGAATCTGCATTAACAGCCTTGAAACACTCAATGGATGGTGAATCATGGTATCCATTCGCGATTGTTGGTATCAATATTACCCAATACGCTGTCCGAACTCTTGAATCACGCCGTCTTCAGTCTTATCTTTATCGTCATGGAAGTACTATAAAGTCTTATCAGGAATTCTACAGTAAGTAGCATGCATGTCTATACATCTATACATACATGTTTGTTTGTATCCTACTACAAGAACAACAATCATATATACATACGCACATACATACACGCATTTTCTTTATACAATACCCCGTAGCTTGTTCTCTTTATTTTATTTTGTCATTTTAATTAGTTGATTAATGCAATTTTGTTATATATATATTATTTATTTATTGGATTAACATTACAGGTTATTTATTCCATACTTTTGATGCTTTCTGGATTAACCATCAACCTCCCTTGACTGTCATGGACTTTGAAATGGCATTTGGGGAGTTCAAGGCTATCACAGATGCTGCCTTGGAGGCAGTTGTACCACTAGATCCAGATCACCTAGAGTCGTCTTTGCAAATCTCCCCCAGTACTCTCATTCAACGAAAGAAAGATCCCCGAGTTTTGTCTCATATTCAAGAATAGATTAAAACAAAAATAAAAAAATAAATAAAAGAGAAAGAAAGAAATAAAAATTACAAATAAAAATAAAAATAAAATGGTTTGTGAATGGAATTTGATTTGAATTTGGATTTGGATTTGGTATGCTTTGAAAATTGGAGTCTGAGCCCAAGGAAAAATAAAATAAAATAAAAGAGATAGAGAAAGAGACACAGAGAGAAAGAGAGATGCAAAAGTGGGGAGAATCGGTATGTTACAGAGAGGGGGTGGGATTGGAAGATATAAATCGCTAGATCACTAAAGAAAAAATAGCAACTAAGATCGATAAATAATACAAGAAATAGGGTAAACTTCTTGTTTCTTTCTTTCATATTTTTTTTTTGGGTTCTTTGTGCGTCCGTGCGTTGGTTCGTTCGTTCATTCATTCGTTGGTTCATTCGTCCGTTGGTTCGTCAATTTGTTCATGTAAGTGAGTAAGAATGAAAGTGAGAGTAAGTGAAAGTAAGAGTGAAAGTGAGTGGGTGGGCAATCGTTTGTTTGTTTTTGTTTTGTTTTTGTTTTTAAAAGAAAGTTTGCATTGTTTCGTCGAGTGGGCTTGTTGCCGAGGGTGTAAAAGGTGGTTGATGAGAATAGTTGAAAGGCTGTGAGAATGAATAACCACCGTTTCCGTTCCCGTTTCCATTTCCACCTGTTTCAATTTTGAAATCGTTAGAAGATGACGGAGAGCCATCCTGAGCAGCACAAGAAGACATTTCGGGTGAAGGTGGTCCAGACTGATCTCCCTTTGTTTTTTTGCCTGTCTTACGACCATTCGTGGAACTCTCATATCTTTGGCGTTTTTTGATGATGTCTGTTTTCATTGAAAGTGGCCTTCGTTCATGATGTAATTTGAGATACAACCCACATGCATTACACAACGGTGCTCCTTCATCGTCTCGTCGCCACAAAGGTGTTGTTGTTGTAGAGCAGTTGGAGCACACAAGTTGAGACACTTCATCTTCACGTGCCTCCTTGCGGGCATTGTGAGGCTTGAGAGTCTTTGGGCGCGGTGCATTGTGTAACTTTTGACTACAACAAAATAAGACTTATTAGAACCAAGAAATAAAACATCAGCAACAAAATAAGACTAGTAGCATACTAAAGTCCACAAGCATTGCAGAGAAGTTCGTCATCTGTAGAGCGTCTCCAGAGAGGAGTCGAGGTTGCACTGCAGTTGGTGCAGATAGGTTTAGCTTGGTCATCACTCATTGAAGCAGCCCCTTTACGAGGTGGCGGTATCGGTTTCTGGGACTCATTGAATCCAAATACATGGTGGTGAGGAGGAGTACTGGGTGCCGAAGCAGAGAAGGTATGCTGTTGAATATACTCTGGGTAGGCACTCTGCAGTCGGCTACAATAAATAGATAAATAAATAAATAAATCAAGGAATAAAGAAATATGCAAAAGTATAAGTATATACATATATATATATTGTACCCTTTTAATATTCATCCCTTTATCAGTTGCTGAAACAAGCAAAAAAAAATATAAAACTTACTTGTTAGCATTAAGAGTTGGAGTTGTGGCAGTTGGAGTAGAGATTGAGGTGACGGTATTGGTAGGACTTACGGCCGTGACTGTTGGCTCGGTTGATATGGTTATTGATGCATTCGTAGTAGCCGTATCAGTAGTATCAGAAGCACCGGTGGTAGCAGTAGCAGTAGCAGTAGCAGCAGAAACAGAAGTAGAAGTATTATTATTATTAGCACCAGGTGTAGTGGAGCCAGGCGTAGTGGCACCAGGTGTAGTAGCAGCAGTATTATTGGCACCAGAAGCGGTAGGAGAATGAGAAGAGGGAGGAGGAGGAGGGGGGGGAAGAGGTTGTTCGGCAGTCACTGATGAGGAAGAAGAAGATGAGGATGATAATGTGGGAGTAGTGGTGAGGGGACGAGACGCACCAGTAGCTGTTAACTGGTTTGGGAGTTGTTGGCCTGTGGGAGTAGAGTTGGATCGAATCGGAACATTCCCCAGTAACTTGTTTCGCAGTGTGCCTGCGGGTGGCGGAGGCATTGCAGAGCTCGATGCTACATAAACTGCATCATTGCTATCGTCCATTTTCTGTGGATATAACACAGGACTAGTTGGCATAGAAACAGATAAGTTCTGTCTCACTGTAAAGTGTGCCATTCTATTAACTAACATGTTTTCCATTACTGGAAATACGCTTTTTTGCTGCTGTTGCTGCTGTTGCTGTTGTTGCTGTTGTTGTTGTTGTTGTTGTTGTTGTTGTTGTTGTTGTTGTTGTTGATGTTGATGTTGATGTTGATGTTGATGTTGATGTTGATGATGTTGTTGTTGTTGTTGTTGTTGTTGTTGATGTTGATGATGTTGATGATGTTGCTGATGTTGATTATGCTGTTGTTGTTGGTGTTGTTGGTGTTGGTGCTGTTGTGGCTGTTGAGGTAAAGCTAGGGGTGGTTGCTGTTGCATAGACAATCCAGGGGACATTGACGGTGGCGTAAAATAGTGCTCTACAGGAGAGCCAAATCCTCCAAAAGACCATCCTTCATCCATAGTAACATCCTCAGAAGGGTTGGATAAAAAGGACTGGACATCACCAAATGCCCCAAAGATATCCTCTAATTCAACCATCTGGTCACTTGCCTGGTCAGACGTAAACTGGTGCAAGACAAAGTTGTTTGTCGATTGCTGATTCAAGTTGTAAGCATCTGCTGAGTAAGATGGGCCATTCACCAATGAAGCAGTCATAGATTGCCTTTGCTGCTGTTGCTGCTGTTGCGCTTGCTGTTGCGCTTGTTGCTGTGCTTGCTGTTGCGCTTGCTGCTGTGCCTGCTGCTGTGCTTGTTGCTGTGCTTGTTGCTGTGCTTGTTGCTGTGCTTGCTGCTGTGCTTGCTGCTGTGCTTGTTGTTGCGCTTGCTGCTGTGCTTGTTGCTGTGCTTGCTGCTGTGCTTGTTGTTGCGCTTGCTGCTGTGCCTGTTGCTGTGCCTGCTGTAAGCGTTGATGCTGTTGTAACTGTTGCTGTAGTTGTAACTGTTGATGTTGTTGAAGTTGCTGCTGTTGCTGAAATTGTCTTTGAGCTTGAACTTGGGCCTGTACATGAGCTTGGTGTTGTGCCTGTTGTTGTTGTTGCAGTGACTGTTGTTGCAGTTGTTGTTGTTGTTGTTGTTGCAGTTGTTGCAGTTGTTGTTGTTGTTGAACAGGTGATGAGTGAGAAGCATAAGATAAGACAGGGGTTGCGAAAGGAGAAGAAGCAGTAGTTCTTGTGGCTTCGACTTTGATTGCTGACGTTTCAACCGCCAAGACTTGTTGCTGCTGCTGCTGTTGTTGTTGTTGCTGTGGTAGTTGACTATCATGGGGTTTACTAGATGATGAACAATCCGGTAACTCTCTCAATGGTGTGAGTTTCGATGTCTGATGGTCGAGTTGGCGAGTTGTGTTGGCTGACAGTTTTCTAAATGGTGCATTTGACCTTTCGGTCAAGAGATGCTGTCTGAACCACAATCTCCATGACAGATTCTCAAGTCTCGAGCCGTTCTCGAGTGAATCTTTTACTTTTGTGCACACTCTCCATGTCTTGGAAAGGTCTTCTTCGGAGTCGAGGTTTGAAAACGGCAAGAATGACTTGCTGCCTTTGATCTTTAATACAAGAGGTGCCATCACCACGATGGTCAATGCACACTATTGACAGAAATTTTACTATTTTTTTTTAATTTTTTTTCTTTTTTTTTTAGAAAAAAGAAAAAAAAAGGGGGGGCAAGGAAAATGAAAAAAAATCAAAAATTAAAAAAATCAAAAATAAAAATAAAATCAAGAAAAAACGCGGAGTGTATAATATATAACTCCGGCACTACACAGGTTGTGTTGGGCGTACCAGTCCAAACAGCGCTTTTTTTTGTTTTATTTATTTATTTTGTTGGTGTCACACTCCGCCATAAATGTACCAGTTTACGACACACATAATGTCTTTCTTCTTATTCTTTATTCTTATTGTTATAAATCCAAAATCCAAAGCGATAAAATACAATACAATAAAATACATGTACATCAATCAAATAATAACAGTAATAATTTCATCTTTTTTCTCTTATATAGTTATAAACTTATTAATTATTTTTCTTTTAGTTTCCATGACAACATAATAAGGTTGGTTTCCATGGAAACTGTTACCTAGCAACATTTTATTTTGTTTTTTTTTATATAATTCCAAATAACTTACAGCACGTTCTATCATTGGAAATCACAATAAGAATATAAAATAATATATATATATATATATATATAAAATAAACGTACACACACACACACTTGTAGTCCGTTCCTCATTGACCATTTTTTACTTAACCTGGTTTGTAAAAGCGTGTAAAGGGTCGCGTTCACTTTGAAAACTAGAAACTACCCGAGTATCTTTATTTGCCAATGACACCTTTTCGTCTAAGCACCTGATTTCAAAATAATTTGCTCGCTCCACAAAAGCTAATATATAATATATAATATACATATCTATATCTTTAAATATATAACTATATTTCATTACAGTGGCACCACTCTTTTATTCGATATATTAATACATATGCGTTATCTACAGCACAAAAACAACCTATAATCACAAGTACATAATTTGTTTTATTATTACTATTTTGCCCTAATTTAGAGTTAATATACCTACATGCATATATAAATTAATAACCATTATTGGTGATTTGATCTAAATGGTTTCCAATAGTTTTCATTAGAAGCAGCCTGGTACATATGGATAAGTATAGGCGTGTGTGTATGCATGCGTATGTACCTGAAGAAGAAGACCGAGATGTATCATGGGCCCTACCCCAAACCCCATTTATCAACTTTTCTATACATTTATATATACGCTCGATTTCTTTTTCAGATATGTATATAAAATATAAGAGAGACAGATAACGGATGAATTATTGGTCCAATTCTTTTATATTAATCCGGCTATTATTATTTTTTATATTGTCTTTTCTTTCATTTTCTTATCCTTTTGAAGTCGAGATATTTTTGAATTCATCAACTCAAAATGAATGATGTTAATTACGGTTGTCTGAGGGACATGAATAATTTGAGAAATCTTGCAAAGTAAACCCTGAATTTGACAATTAAATGATACTTCCACAATCAAATTATGTTATTTGCGAACGGGAATGTAGTTTTCTGGTTGAAAATTTTACAGTAGTCATGTTAATATCATTGTTGTTGAATTTTCTTTTTTTTTAAAAAAAGACAGACAGAGCATGGACAATAAAAGCGTTGGGAAAGACTTAAAAAAACAATAAAAAGGAACTCCAGTCATTTCAAGCTGGTCTATAAAAGCGTATTAGATTTGTCAGTCACAAAAATCGACAGATTCACTGTTGTATATAATAGAGCTATATAAAATACTAAAAAATTAATATACACACACATTTATATATATCTTCTTCTCTTCACTTGACTAAGCTATTTGTACTATATATAAAGAGAAATTATAAAAGTCAGTTTTCCATAAGTACTAAAGAAGAATCTATTATCAAGGCTGGGTATTCCATTTACATAGTAACCGAACTCTTTTTATTTTAAAGAAATAACTTTTGTTTGAAATTTAAATTCGGAGAAAGTTCATTTGACTGAGATGACTTGTCTAAAACCGAGTGATCTTAAACATATGAAGACTATGTGGGTGATGCAGGCTTAGACATGACAGACTATATAGTTTGTTTCACACACACAGACAAAACACACGCGTCTTCATATATTTTTAATATATTAAATATTTAGATTACTATAATTAATGGTTGAATACTGAAATTGGGTCGATCCAGCTTTCTGTAAAAAAGTATATTACTAAGTTACCCCGTGAAGTTTTATTATTAATGATAACTTTTAACGAATTTGTAAACGACCACAGGTTTCTTTAACCATTTCTACAATTTCTTTTTCTGGTAGTTTCTTGTGTATTTGTTTGTAGCTTCATATATGAGAAAAAAAAAACACACACAGAGAGAGAGAGACAGAGAGAACAAAAGACTCTCCCTTATATATCATTTTAAAATACAGAAACATTTAAGGTTATTAAAAATAATAATATTCGAAATGAAGAGCACAAAATTTTATCACACGGCTTAAGGGGAATGGTTTGGCAAGTGAGTCGTTCTATTTATTGATTGATGTATTCCACTGGGTTTAATCACGCCAACTTTATTATCAATAGCATCATCAATATTGTTATCAAGTCAACGAATAAAGAGAGAAAGAATATTTAACAGTGTTCGATAAACATTTCTCCCTTTTTCAAATTTTGGGTAAATAAAATAAACCTTGCATGCCAACAAAATGTCTCCGCATTAATTTGTGGGAAACAGCGACCCAATCCGCCGGTTTTTCACACCCACTGGCCAGGTAGAACAAGTAAACGTTCTTCATGGCGTGGTGCCATTGGACAAATATCTTATATATTTTTTTAATTTACTTTTTTTTTATCTTTTAATAGTGGTGTGGTGTGATGTGATGTGGTGTGGTAAGGGCCAGGGCAAAAAATTATAGTAGAATATAATGGAATAGAGTGGAGTAGAGTAGAGTAGAATAGAGTGGAGTAGAATAGGAATAAAGAGATAGGGATAAGGATAGGATATTTACAGGGTTTCTACTTGAGATTGAGACAAATTAGAAAATGTTTTGGACGAATCAAAATCTAATTTCAGACAAAGTAGACATTTATTCAGACATTTTACCTATATGTCCAATTGTCTCAAAGAGACAAACTATTTTCGGTACAATGATGGGATTGTTATTGATGTGGTGATTGATGTGGTGATTACTGCTTGTTTGCTTGCCTTTATCAGAACTTTGGAAAGCGGTTGGTCGATGGGTTCCTCTCCAAGTTGACAAAGCAAGTGTCATTTTATTTTTTACAGCATTAACATCTCGCTGCCACAGTGTAATATAGGTTTTACAGACTAGTAAAGAAAGGACAACTTTAGATTGTCAAAAAGTTCAAATGTTCTTTTATAAAATAAGCACAGCTTGAGCATCTCTTTTTGGCCTGTATTCAATTCTCGATGTGTCTAATATACATTGTATAATGTTTTCCGAAATCTAATCACTGAATATGTTCTTCATGAACCTGAGTACTTGTGCAGAAATAAAAATTCAAAATTCAAAAGTTTAACCACCTTCCAAAGTTCTGATAAAGGCAAGCAAACAAGCAGTAATCACCACATCAATCACCACATCAATAACAATCCCATCATTGTACCGAAAATAGTTTGTCTCTTTGAGACAATTAGACATATAGGTAAAATGTCTGAATAAATGTCTACTTTGTCTGAAAACTAATTTCTTTTTGTCTGAAATTACATTTTGATTCGTCCAAAACATTTTCTAATTTGTCTCAATATCAAGTAGAAACACTGTATTTTCTGTGGTTTATTCTTTGGTGGGCTACTTTATTCTACGGTGCCATGGATACCTGCATTTTGGTCCGACACATGTTTGGTAGACAGAATAGGTTCCAAGAAAGAAGTGCCATTAAGCATTTGAGTTGTAGCCACCAAATAATCTCGACCTACACGTACACAAAGGTATAGAGAGAGAGGAAGAGATAGTAATTGTACATTATATAAAATCATATTACATTAGAAAAAATATTGTATTTTACTTTGAATTCCTGCTTTTATATTTTACTCTTCTCACCTTCATCCTGTTGGGCCAAGAGTCGGATAGCAGACACTTCCGTGTGAGTGCAGCCACCTAAAAAGAAGATAACTGTAGTCTTTCCATGCTGCAATCCATGTCCTACAAAAATTAAAAGCACCCACCGTTCGTTTTTATTTAATATACAGACACATAAAAATCAGTGAACCAACCCGATATATAAATGATCTCAATACTCACGTTTGACCCTTGCCATTGCAGCATTTGTCTCAGGACCATATTCCACTGTTTGGTTGAGTTCAAATGTCTTTCCGGGTACGAGTTTGAGAACATCTTCATAGCCTCTCCAGCCAGTACTAGACGAGCCAGAGGGTCGGATATATTTGTCTGGTAGAGAAGCCGCACTGCCACCACCCACGTACGACAACAACTGGGCGGTTCCAGAGTTGTTTACAGTTGGAGGTACAGAAGTGTGTAATCGCTGCATCGCGCATTGAATGAGACGGACACTCAAAGGTGCATACCCGGAATAGACGTACGAAATATCGTTGGGGTTGAATTCATCCACATCATCCACAATCAAACGTAACAAACGACGAGTTTGGGCAAATGGACTACGCGAAGGTGTTGAGGTTGTCCGTTTGCTTAGAAGCCCAAGTTTCTCCAGTCGGTGGAGAGTCTCAATATGTTCATAACCGTATGTCTATTCAACACAAAATCTAATCTTTTAAAAATCACACACTGCAAGAAAGTCACCCCGCTTTTCCTTCCTTCTTCACTTTCTTTCTTTTTGAGTTTCAACGTACCTGTACAATCTCACGTTGAAAGTGATCATATAGCTTGGCTTTAAGACCACCTTGAGCAAGTGACATTAGGCACAACAAACGTAACACTTGCAAAAGAGGGCGTTGACGATCGATCATCTCTTCAATGTAGTCCGGTTCCTTTGTTCCATCAATACCAGCAACCACATCTATCATATAACAAATTTCTGTCAGTACGCCCTTCCTTTTTCTTACTTTTCGTATGTGTATGCTAGTATTACATACTTTGTTGAACCTCGAGGATCTTGTTAAATTCTTCGGTCATAGTGTGTTCCATAATCTTTTCAGCAATCCCTGTGTCTAAAATACGAATCGACATGAAATACAAGAGTCAAGGATGTGGGCACTCAATTGTAGTTGGCATTTCCACATATTCGTATATCTATCCATTATACAAACAATACACACACTTAAAAAAAGGATACGAATTCGTAGTGATTGATGCTCTTGCTGCAATTCACCCAATCGGCCTACAAAATCTCTGATTTGGGCTACGGTTTTTGCGTGATGACGTTCCTATATAACAGAAAGACAATAGCACCAAGTTAATATTCTGCTTTATTTTGTTTTTGTGCCGTAAGAAAAATAAACATAGGACGTACTTCATAATTCTCATTGATTCGTTTAGCGATCTTGTTCAACATTCCACCCACAACAGCAAAGTTCTGATCTCGTAATTGATTGAATAGTTTATCTGATGAGTTCAACACGTATTTCTTCTTCTTTCCTGGTTGACCTCCAGCCGTTGCACCTCCAGGAGTTGTGGGTCCAGCAGATGTCCCAGCCTTTGTTGTTGTGGGTTGAGCAGGGTTGACCAAAGCAGCATCGAGTTCGACAAAAGCTGTGTGGTTTTTATTTTGAAAATTAAATGATCAGATAATATATAATATATAATATATAATTTATAGTATATTAAAAATCCTCTCCCCCCAACTACCCAAAACAAGAATGAAAAGAATAGGTAACTTACTATGGTTGATACCCATAGTCTCATCGATGAGTCCTTCATAAGTCAGCTCAGTGCAAAGAGGGGTAATTATGTCAGCATTTCGATCAATAATGATAAATTGGTCGATGTGGTTTGAAACCGAGTTTAATAATGAGGGAGTCTTTGTAGAAGTCGTGCTCGCCACCTCTTCAACAACCGCCTGTTCTTTTCGCATACGGACCAACATATCTGTCAATTGCTATATATACGAGTACATTATATTTTAGTCATCTTCTCTTTCTATTTCTTTTTTTTTCGCTTTTATAAAGATAATAATACAACCCGTCACAGTATATACCTTTGCACCGTCGCCTTTACCAATAATACGTGGGAAAAGGCCATAAATTGACTGAAGCTTCATTAGTGCGCAAGCAGCATAATAGATTGATGTTTGATCTCCATCCTAGTGAAATTGAACATCGTACTCAGTAATCTGTTCCTTTTTCTTTTTCTTACTAATCGTGCTTATTTTCTCTCTCGCTTGTCTTTACCAAGTAAATTTCTTTCCAAGTTCCTGGATCCAATTCCATGGAAATCAAATCGTCTTCATATGGGATCCAGTCCATTGCATAGTCTCCAAGTGTAATATCACCTAGTACACCCTCTTCTTCTAGTACACGTTCACACACCATGGTCCGTCTAGGAACAAAGAATAACGAGCAATCTGTCTTCTGCCCAGTCTGTTTGGCTAACTGCTTAATATGGCCTTTATTATTATTATTATTATTATTATTATTATTATTATTACACGAAAAAAAAAATCATCTATTAATTTCAATCATGTATTGATATAACCACCACTTTATATATATATATATATTAATACTAATAATAATAATAATAAAAATAGCAGTAGTAGTATTTTTTTTAAAGAAGAAATAAACTCACTCGCAATGTAGCGCATGTACTTGAGCTTTGGGCGACATATATATATAAGACTGCTGCATTCTGTTTCCATAGTGGGTGTGTCGAGATGGTAAATTTTTTCTACACCATGGTCCTATACTTCGCCACATCTCTTGTCAGCGTCATCCCATTACTGTGGGCATGTCATCACCTTTAAGAGTGTAAACTCTGCAATCAGACTAAGAGGTCCGGTAAGTTGTGGATCGAGTACCAGACCTTTCTTGCCGCGTACCTATCAACGCACAGACACAAATAATAATAATAATATAATAATAATAATAATAATAGTAATAATAGTTATAATGAAATTAATGAAAACAAAGACAAAAAAAAACATAGATGTCAACTATATTTGCTTTTTCTTTTCTTCTTTATTAAAGCTTTTTTCTTTTTCTTGTCTTTCATACAGTATCTAGCACTTCTGGAAGATCTCTGCGTGCAAGTTCTCGGAGCTTGGCCAAATTAAGGGGTGTGTTTCCCAAGTGAGTTCCAGTAGCTTGATTGCTCATGGTATAATTTCTCTCTTTCTCTCTTTTTTTTTTTTTTAGATTCTATATATATACGCAATGATAAAGTTCACGACAAGGACCGACAAAATAGGTTTCATCTGTTCTCAAAGACCATCGTGACTGTTCTACTGTCTCACATTAGTGTACGAGCTCATTTTCTACTGTAAAAAAAAGGGGGCGGGGGAAGAGGCAAGGGACAAGAAAAGGAGAAGATTCCTGATGAATGTACAAATAGATATACTTTAAAAATGACAGAATGGATTGCCGATGCCGTTCAGGCCACTGAACTCCTTCAAGCAATGTATTTTGATGAGTTTAGTTTTACAACCGAATCTGACAACAAATTATTTGAGTATCTCCGAGACAAAGAAACTCTTCCAGCACACAGTTCTGCTGACAAGCTTGAATGGGATATTATCGTACCTGTGCTGTCAAGTCCTAATGTGATCCAACTAGTTGTTCACATTAGTATTTCTCTTACAAGTTCAGCAATAAATCTCACAATTCCTTCACTGTCAAATCCCTGGCTTAATCGCGATACTCAGGAACGTCTAAGCCGTGAAGCACAAACCGCTATTCAGCAACATACCACCGACCCAGATCTTGTTGATCGTGCCTCTTGTCTAATAGAGGTCTTGCAGCACACCAGAGATGCTGCTGAACCCCTTGCGCTTGCACATATTCAAGAACTTGATAATTGTAAGGTTCAGGCAGAACAAGGACCAGTGATGTTTGTACGAGAATGGATTTGGTTTCCAATGATATACACCCGTGAAAAGGTAAGAGTAGAATATATATAAAAAAAACCTAAGTTTAGAGTGAAAGGTAGACAGAGAAAATAAATAAATAAATAAGAACAAAACAAAGTGAAATGAAATATATAAAAATGAAAGTGAGAAATATATCATTAAATATCCAATATATTTAATTGATACATGTATATGTATATGTAAATGTAAAAATATACAGAGAGGACATATTATTAAATGGGCACCGAAATACGGAATTACAGGGTTTTTGTGTCCTGGCAAACCCGGGGCCTTGTGCTTAGAAGGCACAGGAGAGGTAAGATTCATATATATAATTGCGCTTATATATCCAAAATATGTACAAGATGTGTAGTTAGATTTGATTTTTATGAAAAAAAAAAGGTATATATATTGATATTGCTTTCTCTCTCTGTGTGTGTGTGTGCGTGTGTCTAGAATGTCACAGCTTTTATTAACGACATTAAGACTCTATCCTGGGCAGACATTCCAGCATCACATCGTAAGATGACATCTAGATGGCAACAGAAAGTTACATGCGAGCCAAAGGATGAACTTGAAAAGCAGCGCTTGTTCAAGGATATGACTGAGGTTACATTTGAACTTCACGGAGCATTTGGAAATCACAATAATTTGAATATGCTTTCCGATTGGATGAAGTCAAAAGGTTGCGGCGATGCATTCTACCATCTGTTTGAGTATGAAGAATAAGGAATCATAAAAAGTATTAATTCCTTTTGTATACATATATATATGTATGTGTGTGTGTGTGTGTGTGTATAGCTCTAAAACTCTTTATATCCATTGAATATAGATAGATTCATATTTAATTAAACAATAATAATGATAATGATAATAGTGATTATATATTTATAAGTTAAACTTGTTAAGCTTTTATATACAGTGGTTTATCTGAATACAAAAATTTGATAAAAAGTGAAATTAACAATAGAATTTGTGGAAAGTTGCATAATGTATTTTTTGGTTCAGTCAAAAAAAATAGATATCTGTTTTGTTAGATTACCTTTGGGTATCGTTTTTATAGTGGATTTTAATTATTTGCGTCCATTGATACAAAATGAGAAACTAACTATCGCTGTAGGAAATGGCAGTATTTACAACTCCGGATGCGCAACTCGGTTGCTGATGATCAACTTCTATAGCCAATAACACGCTAGGAACCTGTGATACACCATATAAATTTATTTAGACGGAGATTTGTATTTTAAAAAGGAAAAGCATGTTTCAGAATCGCGTTTTTTTATTTGATATAAAAACATCATATAAAAAGATAGGGGGTACTCAGCCAGATTGATCGATCAAATTCTTGTGTGAATTTTAACCAATGATATCAATTTGTAGTTGAGGACACCAAAAGACAAAAGTACAAAATTCGTACAAAATCCATAGATTTTTATAGCATATATAGAACAACCTTTTACACATTCTGATTTCTCCTTTGAAGCTATATACGCCTAGACTCTCGAAGAAGCCAAGCGTTCTTTCCTTTGACTCAAGATCTGACAATACATTGTCAACCTTGTGTATGTATTTATTGGCTTTAAGGTTTTTTTCAAGCTCCTTCACGGCAGCCATCTGCTCCAACTTTACGTTAAATTCCTTTTTGATTACTTCTAAAATATCTTTAATAAGCTCGTCTATACTTGCTATAAAGACTCTACCAGTGTTTTTTTTCATGATAAATTCACTGATTTTACGCGATTTCTTCAAGGCATCAACTGTTTGTTGCTTTGTACTATATTTTGGAATGTAAGATGGAGAGAAAGAAGTATTATATGACTTTGTTGCCAATAAATTCTATGATATATGCCATTCACCAGCGTAAGAGGGAATTGTCGAGGGAATTGGATCGAGGGAATTGAGCCACAACATATACGATTCCGATTGTTATTCAACATCTGTTTTTGATTTATTTACTAAAATACCCTGCCAATTTTATTTTTTTGTTAATGATTTGTTTCATTTTGGCTATATAGAATGAGCTTTTTAAAGTATGGTCGTTTAGTATATTCTTTTTTGTAACTAGAGTCCTTATTTTAGAAGTTTTGTCAATTCCCTCGTACGCTGGTGAATGGCATTATTAGGGACCTTGGACACATCATATAAAATTTATTTAGACGGAGATTGTGCTCTTAAAAAAGAATAGTGTGTTTCAAAATCGCGTTATTTTATATGATATAAAGACATGATATAAAATGTGTTGGCCAATCATCTTTCGATATTTTATGTTGTTAAACTAACGATGACATAAAACTTGAAATAAAGAGCAAATTATGTTTTCAAGTAAGCATATAAAGAAGTCCATATAGCCCCAGCATTAGGTTTTTTCCCCTTTATTTGCGCAAGCATTCTACGTATACAAATATTAATTAATATCTATTAGCTTTAATGTCTAAAAAATTAAACAGCTATTACAGTTTGAGGGTAAAAAGTAATAAACTTTGGTTCGCACTAATTACATGATCTTAAGTTCGTGAGTTTAGTAAATTAACATGGCCAATAAATGCAATATCACACATTTTCATTGTATATGGAAGCCTTGGATGTGAAACATGAGACCGTATAAAATTACATATATGATTAAATGTTTCAAAAAAAAATTATATGATGTGTCCAAGGTCCCTATTAAGGAGAAAGATAAAAACAGTATCGTATTGCATATAAAAAAGTAAGGATTCAGCCAATCAGAGAGCCGTACGATTTTCTATCAGAATTTGATTGAAATTTGATCGAAATTTGATCTTTCAAAAAGACGATCAAATTTTGATCGTCGCTATTACAATTATAATCCAATAATGTTGCGTCCTGAATTTAAAATTTGATCGATCAATCTGGCTGAGTACCCTCATGATATAAAATCTGTTAGCCAGTTATCTTTTGGTATTTTATATTGATAAACAAACAATAAAATAAAACTGGAAATAAAGAACGAATTATGCTTTCAAGTAAAGATACAAAGAGGTCCATATTATTCTAGAATTAGCTGGTTTTTTTTCTTTATTTGCATAAGTATCCTACGTATACAAATATTAATTAGCATTTATTAGTTTTAATGGCTAGAAAGTTAATCATCTATTACAATTTTAGGGCAAGAAATAACAAACTTTGGATTACACTAATTACATGATTTTATGTTCTTGAGCTTAGGAAATTAACATGTTGAATAAATGAAATATCACACATTCTGATCATACATGGAAGTCTTGGACATGAAACATAGACCGTATAAAATTACATATATGGTTGAGTCTCAAACTGTGTTATATGGATCGAACTTGAAGATGATGAACATATATTCTGGGCATGCGCTCGTAAACAACCAGTTTGGCAACAAGTTGCAATTCGGTTCTTAATTAATCCTACCTCTCTTACGTTTGAACACCTTCTCCTCCCATCTTCTCCGTTGACTGTCAAAGTCAAAGACACCACAGTGTCCTCATATATTGTTCTGGGATGCACACTAGTTGCTATATAGGAAGCTCACTTCCAGTATATCTTCAATGATATTCCCTTTGCCACTAACCGAATTACATCTATTGCCACCTTAAACATTTGACGACTCAATCTAGAAGACTTTATACAGAGCACATCTTAATATCTTAAATGCTTAGCCTTTGTGCATATAATTTCCTCAATTAACAATATAAGCAAAATACATATATGGTTAAATATTTCAAAAATACTTTGTATGATGTATCCAAGATCCCTATTATAGTTCAAACAGCCGCTTTAATTCATAAAGCAGGGAATATTGCTCTAGAATAAGAATAAAAATTTATAAGTTCTGAGTTTTCTATCAACAGCTTGGTGACATTGGCATGAATGAAACTTAAAATTCCTTTTAAACCAGTCTCACAGATGCTTATTGTCTATATGACATTATGACATAAAATTCTGATATATAGAGTATTGTAATTTAGATTATTGATCAAGATATAAAAGGCAGGATATGTAGATAATTTGGTTCTTTACTGCTTTATTCTTATTCTACTTATTTCTTATATAAAATGCCCTCAACACAAGCCAATTGTAAGTATTTTTGTTAAATAATAATAATAGTAATAATATTTAGATGTAAATAAACCATCTCTTTATAATTTACATATATCAATAATATATCATTCAATACAGGCCTTTTCCTTCATTATGGGGCCCCATTAAAGCGTTCAAACGCTAAAATCTGGAAAACCGGAAGACCTTTCCGAGCAACGAAAGAAAGCAGGCCTATTGAAGACAATTGCCTTTTACCCAAGGAAGTCCAAAGTCTTGCGGAAATGGTAGCCCATTACCATAGCAGATAATACCCGGAAATTAAATCCTGCTTTGTAATTTACACTTCTACAATTAAGTGTATTATTATTCTCAATAAATTGTTTTTTATGTCTATCTGCAATATATGTTATAGAAAAGTGAAATATAAAGCCAAAATAGAGCTCTTAAATAGGAAGTAATAAAACACTACATATATTACCAATACATTATACATCTTTTAAATGAACCACTTATATGTCAGTAGTTAGAATAAGTGAATATATCATATATATAAAACTATTGCGAAAACGGACTACAGTAGGTATAGTCCCAAGAAGTAATATTAAAGAAAATTGAAATAAATTAGAATGTGTGAATAGACATTGCCTTTATTTAAAGATCAACTGCTTGATTTATTATGTATATAGAAGCTGTAAAAACTTGTAAATTCAAAGACTGGTACATTTAAGCATATATATTTATAGAATCAATAGCTATTTTGTGATATTTCTGTATATAATAATAGAGCATATGAATTCAAGAGATTATATATATTATATGACAGTATATTTAATATGGTTTTAAACTAATTATACAAGGTAAATGCTTAATCTCATAGTCATTTCAAATCTTACTATGCTCTCTTAATTCTTTTTGGAAGCGCATCGATTTATTTAGAGGATAAATTGCCGTTATATTTCTGTATATGACATTTGTTTATTTGTATACTAGACAGTATTCTTATGACAAGGGATCTAATCTTTCATAGCAAAATATTGTTTCTTTGAATATAAAATATCCCTCAGAATATTCTCCCTCTCATAACATATATAAGTCACAGACGTGTCTTGTATTTACATAATATTGGATAATATTAATTGGTAAATCAATGATGTTCTTTTTATATATGAGAGCTTTTACTCCATATAAATTACAGAATTATATCATTTTCTCATTTTACCTAGCATCATTAGTTGTGACTGTATCAGCACACAATGATTTTGGTTATTGCTTCATACTCTTCAAAGCTCTAAGTCAAATGTATTGGTATTGCATTCAAAGGTTTCATTCTGTCATCATATCTGTGAAAAGATCATATCTATATGTCATAGAGTCATAAAAAAGTACTAGTGAGTCATATAGGTCTCCAAATATTATTATATAAATATAATATAATAAAAACACAATTTATGCTAATACAGCTATTCAAATCGTTCATTTAGTATATAAGAAAAATAAAATCCGCCTAGAAAAAAAAACTATATAAATGAGGATATTTTCAAAAAGAAAGATTGTTTTTTTATCTTATCCAACATGTTCTCAAAAACATCACCTAATTCTCTAACAATTGAACTCGCAAAGCTCCAGAGTAAGTCTTTAATTACACATAATTTCTTTAAAATTCAATAATTAATTTTTTTATAACTGTTATCCATAGTCACCAGAAGCATCTGTGCAGCAAACAATAGTAATGCACTAAAGATCACTTTGGTGAATAAAAAGAAGATTTCGGATTACAGCGAGAAATCTCTACCACCAAAAAAGCGACCCTGCTTTCGAGTAAAAAACTGTTCACCAGAATAACAGTCATCTCTCTCTGGCCCTCCCTATCTCTCTCTGGCCTTCTCTCTCTCTCTCTGGCATTTTCTCTCTCTCTCTCTGGCCTTCTCTCTCTCTCTCTCTGGCCTTCTCTCTCTCTCTCTCTCTCTGGCCCTCCTTCTCTCTCTTTGGTCCTCTCTCTTTCTATTGTATTTTTTTTGTTATAATAAACATTTTTTTTACAATATTTGTCTTGGATCTTTTTTTTCAAAATATACTATAATAGTATTGTTGGTATTAAGCTTGCTTTTTATTTAAAAAAAAGTATTAAGATATAACATTAAGAATGTTTGTGAAGATTTTTTGAAGTACTTTAGAAAGCATATCATGTAAAATATAATGAAGTATCTGCATTGACTGGTTCATAAAGCTAAACTGACTTGTATTATGATCTTCAACTACTATATCTAAAAAATATATATATATAGTAGACGAATAATTCATACTAATCATTTAATAATTGAGCTTAACGCGTATATAGAATATACATTTTATATTAGCTTTATTATATTTATTTGTAGAATGCTTAGTATTTCTGTATTGATTTTCTAGTCGCATACTACAAAATCCGTTATATATGAGCTGTGGCAATCCTTTAATATAATAAAATACAGCATATGTAAACACAAATGTTATTGTTTAATTATAACGTAAAGAATAAAGGTGTTTTAAAAAAGCAAAAACTATACAAGACAAAATATATACTTATCGACTTTTTTTTTATTCTAATATCCTATGTGCGTTGTTCTCTTAAATAATTATACAAATAATATGAGAATTAAAGCTAATAGTTAAATAATATCTTTTGTCAGATGTAAAGATAGAGTATGGATCAAGACAATAGTAGAAAATGATACATATTGTAACTCATTCAAAAACGATAGTTCAATAGTAAGACATATAATGATGTCTTTTGAAGACCTGAAAGACTGTCAAAGTATGTCTCACATAATATCATTATAAAAAACATATTATGACTATAAAACTAGTATTAAAATGGAAATTGAGCCAAAGACTGCTTTCCATTTGTTTTTGTCTCATTTTTTATTTTTGCTGCTATATAGAGAACCAAATATTTTTCTTTATCTATCATATATCTTAAAACCCCTGTTTACAGCAGTGCATAAAAAACATCTTGCTTTAATCGTTGAATTTATGTCACATACTATGTCATATGTAGTGACTGTAGACTTGAGGCTTATATTATTGTGTTTTATATTCCATGCAGATATCTGCTATAAAACAAATAAAGTACACTTTCATTTATGAGCTATATAATTTACATATATTCACTTTTATATTTTTTAGCATCTTTCTATATATTTATAGCAAAAGCAAAGAGCAAAAGAAGTATACAATTTCTGTAGAATAGCCCAATGACATGGGTATATATTAGAATTTACCTAAGCCATTTAGACTATAGAAAGATCCAGAAGGAAACGCATTGTATATTAATAATAGCAAAGAACTGTACTCTTATAATATAGTCTGTGAATAAGTGTATGTCGGAATTAATGCTAGTTATACTAATTATTGGCTATATAAGATTTATATATTATATTATTACTACTCGCACATTTATCTTCTTGGTTTTTATAATAATCTTCAAATAGGATCTACGTCTATTGTAAGACATATTATAAATATTCAATATATAAACAATTTCTATTCTTTATCCAAAATAAAAATCATCTTTTTGGATTCTCGCAATTGAAATACTATAGTAGTAAAGACAGATATAGTTTGGATTTGCTTTCAATAGTCTTGAATCAATTGTATGAGTGAGACTTCTAGTTTGCTTTAAAATAGTCTTAGATATATACTTATTGTCTGTTAGATATTATAATATAAAATGCCGATAGGTAAAATATTATAAGCAAGGTTATTATTTCAAGTAGAAAAGGTATGACTCATAAATATTATGAATTTTTACTGTATCTTTATTTTATTTTTTTTAATATGACTGTATCTCAAACCAACTGTAAGTATTTTTTGTTAAAACATTTTAGCTGTAGAATTGAAAGAGATATTTATATAGTCTATATATCAAATACTCTTTAATTCAAAAGAGCTCTTTTTATTATATATGGAGTATTATTAAAGCATTCAAATGTAAAAATCTGGAAAGACAAAAGACCAGTATGGGTTTAGAAGTCTCTGCAAAAGCAAACAACAAGAGCAGAAGAAATTGTAGTATCGCACAATGACCATGTAAAACACATGCAAATATGGATTTATGTATATTTATCAATATGTATATCCTATTTATATCTTTTACAGCTAGATTTATCTGTATAATACATTACTCTATAGTAGCTCATTTACTCCTCTTTGTCAATCACTTGAAACAAATGTATTATATCTTTAGTTGTAATATGTTTCTGTTTTTTTTGGCAAAATAAAAGTGCTTCTTGAAAAAGAGGAAATCAATAAAAATTATTATTATTAATATATATTTTCATACATAATTTTTACTATTATAAAATATAATATATTAAAGAGGTATTACGAAAGAGTATTTTATATATAGTGATTACTGACTATCTCTCATGTAAAATATTCATGTAGTCTTGAAACTATTTAAACCTTTTTATGTCATGTAATTGACTGTATGAATTACTTTAAAAATCCTCTCTATGATCATACACCCTAGTAAATAAAAACAGAATTATATAATATAATATATATTAGTTATGTAGTATCTCATAGCTATTGTATTAATGCTGGTAGTCTTTTAGACTCTTACTTGATTCAATTCAATTATTCTGATCATCTAAATTAGCTTTCATTTTGCTTTTATTCAATTGCTCTTTTTACAAAATCTGCCACACATTATAGGTTAAATAGAATATAATGTACATAGAGAATTACATAATAAGTCTATATTCACATTATGAGTGGATAATGAAAAGAAAATACATACCTACTTTATAAAAAATATGTGTATGAAATATAAATTAATTAATATATTATTTTCTGTAATGACATATAGCTCTGAAACAAACACGCATTTTATTTTTGATTAGCATAATAATTCGCTCATTCAATATGAGAAAAAGAAGAAGAAAAAGTATATAAAGGGCAAATATTCAAAAATTTAGATGCTTTTTCATCTCATTTATAATGTTCAGCAACGCAAATCTTTTTTCTTGCAACAATATCGCTAGCTCCAATAGTAAGTTATCAATAATATTTTTCCTTTCAACAATAAATTAATATATTTTACTTGCTTTATTTAGCTGCCAACTCTATTATTCCTGCTCATAATTGCAGCAGACCAATAACAGGTCTTATTGATAATGAAGTACTTTTGCCACCAAACATGACGATCATCTCAAGAAGTGAATCCAATGAAACAATGTCAAGACTTTCTGTATACAAGGGTGCTTTTTTGTATTTCTTCTTATATCTCTGTATCTATTATCTTTGTATCGATAACATTTTTCTGTTATCGTCTTTAATACAATCTTTTTTGCAATAAGAAATATAATCTTCTCAATTGAAACACTCTTTTTAAAGTGATTTATCTAAAGTTTGAGAAAGGAATATTTCGCATCCTAGTATACTATTTGCACCTCTGTTTTATAATCTATATTTTATATTTCTCAACATCTTAAAAAACTAATTAATAAATATACTATAATACCAAACACACAAAAAAATTGCTCTCGTGGGCCCTATAACATGCTTTCGGATTTGATAAAAAGAAGGATCTTTAGTCTTCAGCTTGATAGAAATAATATTGTCAGCATTTCTGCCAAGCTGAATATATCCAAATCAACAGTTCAATATTTTCTGAAGAGATATAAAGGGAAACTGCCGATAACAAAAAGGTTTCTGGAAGACCCCAGTTTCTCACACCTAGATATAAAAGATGTATTGTCTCGAATATCAAAAAGACAGGTGGTCAACGTTGGATGATCTTGTTGATGATGCTAGTGCTGACACAAGAAAGAATGTCAGCAAGTTTACCATGCATAAAACTTTGCACAGCATGGATTTTTTTCTGCTGTAAACCTGTGTCAAAGTCTTTTCTTACCAAGACACACATTGTCAAACGTCAAGCATAGTACAAAATCATATAAGACGGGAATAAATAGTAGGAAACTGTTATCTGGGAGTGATGAGTCGCCATTTGTTCTATATAAGAAAAACTCAAACAGCAAGCTCTGGCGCCAAACTGGAGAGAGATTTGGTACAGATCACTTTTGAGGTATACAAATAAGATTTTAAAAGGAACAATAGGTACTGTGAGAGTGTTGTTTATTTAAGAAAGAAGATCATAGCTGCTTATATAGACATTTGGTTCCCTAATTTAAGATCTCTGTCAGTTAATGGTTGGTTATCACTGAAGCAGTGTGAAGTGTACGAGTGCCTGGTATGTGTTACGTTCCTGAGATGTGACCCTGCCAGGTTCATTAGAAATTGTAGTATCCGTTCTGGATTATGGAGTTTGTATTTCACTCAATTGTGATGTATATACCACAACTTTGTCTCTAAGGTACAAGGAAATGATGGACTGGTTATAGTCTGAGAGTGTAACTGGTCGGGAGGACTTGATCCACTTGTTTTTGTAGATAAAAACATAAATAGTCCAAGATATGTAGATGTTCTTCGAAGTCATTTTCTTCTATTATTACATGATCTTTCTGTACCTAGCAATGGTAGCTACAAGTTTCAAGAAGATAATTTCAGGGCTCATAAATCAAAATTTACGGGAATGTTCAAGAAAGAACATGGTATTCATGTTTTGCAATAGCCACCTAACAGCCCTGACCTTAGCCCCATAGAGAGCACCCGAGGAATTATTGATAACAGAATCAGAGGCAAAATGCCCCAAATCAAATTCTCTGAATGAGTTTAAGGCTGCTTTGTTGGAAGAGTAGAGCATAATATCAGCTAATACTTGTAGAGGATGTTGCTTGAATATGCCAAATCGTTTGGCCTTACTTAAGAAAAAGAAATTTAAACAAATTTGCTATTAAAGCTGTATTTTATTTCACATTATTAATATAAACTTATTTCACTTCTATTCTTCTAAGTATCATATTCCAATAAGTATTGTGCATCTTTAGAAATGGATTTGAAGTTGTTACATCTTTTTTATTATTTATAGTGGATGTTCAAATGGGTGAAGCACTTCTTTTTGATACCGTAGAATATCCCTCAAAATATTCCCCCTCTCGTTGCATATATAAGTTACAGACATGTCTTGTATTTACATAATATTGAATAATATTAATTGGTAAACCAATGATGCTCTTTTTTTATATATGAGAGCTTTTATTACATATAAATTACAGAATTATATCATTTTCTCATTTTACCTAGCATCATTAGTTGTGACTGTATCAGCACACAATGATTTTGGTTATTGCTTCATACTCTTCAAAGCTCTACGTCAAATGTATTGGTATTGCATTCAAAGGTTTCATTCTGTCATCATATCTGTGAAAAGATCATATCTATATGTCATAGAGTCATAAAAAAGTACTAGTGAGTCATATAGGTCTCCAAATATTATTATGTAAATATAATATAATAAAAACACAATTTATGCTAATACAGCTATTCAGATCGTTCATTTAGTATATAAGAAAAATAAAATCCGCCTAGAGAAAAAAAAACTATATAAATGAGGATATTTTCAAAAAGATCGTTTTTTATCTTATCCAACATGTTCTCAGAAACTTCACCTAATTCTCTAACAATTGAACTCGCAAAGCTCCAGAGTAAGTCTTTAATTACACTTAATTTCTTTAAAATTTAAAAATTAATCTTTTCATAACTGTTATTCATAGTCACCAAAAGTATCTGTGCAGCAAACAATAGTAATGCATTAAAGCTTACTTTAATAAAAACCAAAAACATTTCCGAGTACAAAGAAGAGTCTCTTCCTCCTAAGAAAAGGCAATGTTTTCGAACAGCTACTAGCTCTCAATCATAACAATTTTCGTTATGCATCCCTTTCTCTCGCTCTCTCTCTCTCTCTGGTCCTCTCTCTCTGGCCCTCTCTATCTCCCTCTGGCCTTCTCTCTCTCTCTCTCTCTGGCCTTCTCTCTCTCTCTCTGGCCTTCTCTCTCTCTCTCTCTGGCCTTCTCTCTCTCTCTCTCTGGCCTTCTCTCTCTCTCTCTCTGGCCTTCTCTCTCTCTCTCTCTCTCTCTGGCCTTCTCTCTCTCTCTCTCTCTCTCTGGCCCTCCCTATCTCTCTCTGGCCCTCCTTCTCTCTCTTTGGTCCTCTCTCTTTCTATTGTATTTTTTTTGTTATAATAAACATTTTTTTTACAATATTTGTCTTGGATCTTTTTTTTTCAAAATATAATATAATAGTATTGTTGGTATTAAGCTTGCTTTTTATTTTAAAAAAAAGTATTAGGATATAATATTAAGAATGTTTGTGAAGATTTTTTGAAGTACTTTAGAAAGCATATTATGTAAAATATAATGAAGTATCTGCATTGACTGGTTCATAAAGCTAAACTGACTTGTATTATGATCTTCAACTACTATATCTAAAATATATATATAGTAGACAAATAATTCATACTAATCATTTAATAATTGAGCTTAACGCGTATATAGAATATACATTTTATATTAGCTTTATTATATTTATTTGTAGAATGCTTAGTATTTCTGTATTGATTTTCTAGTCGCATACTACAAAATCCGTTATATATGAGCTGTGGCAATCCTTTAATATAATAAAATACAGCATATGTAAACACAAATGTTATTGTTTAATTATAACGTAAAGAATAAAGGTGTTTTAAAAAAGCAAAAACTATACAAGACAAAATATATACTTATCGACTTTTTTTTTATTCTAATATCCTATGTGCGTTGTTCTCTTAAATAATTATACAAATAATATGAGAATTAAAGCTAATAGTTAAATAATATCTTTTGTCAGATGTAAAGATAGAGTATGGATCAAGACAATAGTAGAAAATGATACATATTGTAACTCATTCAAAAACGATAGTTCAATAGTAAGACATATAATGATGTCTTTTGAAGACCTGAAAGACTGTCAAAGTATGTCTCACATAATATCATTATAAAAAACATATTATGACTATAAAACTAGTATTAAAATGGAAATTGAGCCAAAGACTTCTTTCCATTTGTTTTTGTCTCATTTTTTATTTTTGTTGCTATATAGAGAACCAAATATTTTTCTTTATCTATCATATATCTTAAAACCCCTGTTTACAGCAGTGCATAAAAAACATCTTGCTTTAATCGTTGAATTTATGTCACATACTATGTCATATGTAGTGACTGTAGACTTGAGGCTTATATTATTGTGTTTTATATTCCATGCAGATATCTGCTATAAAACAAATAAAGTACACTTTCATTTATGAGCTATATAATTTACATATATTCACTTTTATATTTTTTAGTATCTTTCTATATATTTATAGCAAAAGCAAAGAGCAAAAGAAGTATACAATTTCTGTAGAATAGCCCAATGACATGGGTATATATTAGAATTTACCTAAGCCATTTAGACTATAGAAAGATCCAGAAGGAAACGCATTGTATATTAATAATAGCAAAGAACTGTACTCTTATAATATAGTCTGTGAATAAGTGTATGTCGGAATTAATGCTAGTTATACTAATTATTGGCTATATAAGATTTATATATTATATTATTACTACTCGCACATTTATCTTCTTGGTCTTTATAATAATCTTCAAATAGGATCTACATCTATTGTAAGACATATTATAAATATTCAATATATAAACAATTTCTATTCTTTATCCAAAATAAAAATCATCTTTTTGGATTCTCGCAATTGAAATACTATAGTAGTAAAGACAGATATAGTTTGGATTTGCTTTCAATAGTCTTGAATCAATTGTATGAGTGAGACTTCTAGTTTGCTTTAAAATAGTCTTAGATATATACTTATTGTCTGTTAGATATTATAATATAAAATGCCGATAGGTAAAATATTATAAGCAAGGTTATTATTTCAAGTAGAAAAGGTATGACTCATAAATATTATGAATTTTTACTGAATCTTTATTTTATTTTTTTTAATATGACTGTATCTCAAACCAACTGTAAGTATTTTTTGTTAAAACATTTTAGCTGTAGAATTGAAAGAGATATTTATATAGTCTATATATCAAATACTCTTTAATTCAAAAGAGCTCTTTTTATTATATATGGAGTATTATTAAAGCATTCAAATGTAAAAATCTGGAAAGACAAAAGACCAGTATGGGTTTAGAAGTCTCTGCAAAAGCAAACAACAAGAGCAGAAGAAATTGTAGTATCGCACAATGACCATGTAAAACACATGCAAATATGGATTTATGTATATTTATCAATATGTATATCCTATTTATATCTTTTACAGCTAGATTTATCTGTATAATACATTACTCTATAGTAGCTCATTTACTCCTCTTTGTCAATCACTTGAAACAAATGTATTATATCTTTAGTTGTAATATGTTTCTGTTTTTTTTTTGGCAAAATAAAAGTGCTTCTTGAAAAAGAGGAAATCAATAAAAATTATTATTATTAATATATATTTTCATACATAATTTTTACTATTATAAAATATAATATATTAAAGAGGTATTACGAAAGAGTATTTTATATATAGTGATTACTGACTATCTCTCATGTAAAATATTCATGTAGTCTTGAAACTATTTAAACCTTTTTATGTCATGTAATTGACTGTATGAATTACTTTAAAAATCCTCTCTATGATCATACACCCTAGTAAATAAAAACAGAATTATATAATATAATATATATTAGTTATGTAGTATCTCATAACTACTGTATTAATGCTGGTAGTCTTTTAGACTCTTACTTGATTCAATTCAATTATTCTAATCATCTAAATTAGCTTTCATTTTGCTTTTATTCAATTGCTCTTTTTACAAAATCTGCCACACATTATAGATTAAATAGAATATAATGTACATAGAGAATTACACACAAAACAAACTTACACCTTAATATTGTTTCTATATAGCCAATATATTCTTATTAAGAGTAAAGAGCTATAAACAATATATGTCTATTTTATAATAATATAAGTATGGTATAGACTTCACAAACCAATTTTGCTTTCCGTCTTGCTAATGAATCTAGCAAGAACAATCTTCAAAGCTGTTAAAAATTAGGGACATTTACATTATGCACTTATATATTATAAGATAACTAATGTGCAACAGGGATTTGGATTGAAAGGAATTTGAATTGAAATAGATATAAACAATATTATTTTGGTTCTCTTAAATAAATAATACTCTCATAGTATTTTCTTTTTTCATTATCTCAATAATGATCCATAAATAGTTCCAACCACCTCTATCATCAATATTGAGTGTATTACTATATATTGATTAGGACTTTACTGAAAGATTCTTCTTAAGAAACTTGAAATATAATTTTATAATCACCAGAATATATAGTAGCACCAATAAAATGGAGAGTATTTACTGTAAGAAGTTTCAAGCAAGCTCATGTGTGTGTGTGTGTGTGGGGGGTGGGGGGGGGGGTCTATTAATTGCATCAAGTAACTAAATCTGAAATGCGGTGTGTATATGGATCAATAAGAAATCACTAGCTTGTGAGATGAGTGTGAATATTGAGGTTAAGTAATATGTTGATGGAATACAAAGGCAAGATTTAGAAGCAGAAAGAAAAGTTGTTTGGTTCATTCATTCTATTATATCTTTGAATTTTTTTTCTTCATAAAATTTGTTTTGAGCTATTTGACACGTAGGATACTTGTAAGAAGCAATATAGCTTATTAGAATACTATTTTGACAATAGGCGTTCAGGTTGTGTAGACTCTACGCCCGGCTTACTAGCTAGTGCAGGTCTATTATCCCTTAATAGAGGTGTTGTAACAAGGGACAGAAAACTACTTCAAGAAGATATGTTCTCGGGACAATATATATTCACTCCAATATTTAGAATGAGTCAAGTAATATTTAATTGAATAGGCTTATAAGAGTCGGTTGTCAAAATAATAAAATGGGAAAAGCGTTTTTAACCAGATAAAAAGATATAATTTATTCATCACTAAACTTCCTCTAATATGGTCTCCTCTGTATCTTCCTCTAGCTCCTCTCTTTTTTGTTTGTAGAGGGGAACGAGCCCCTGGATTTTATTGAGTGTTAGTGAAAGGAACCCAATTTTTTTTTAGTTTTAGTTTTTAGTTATTAGTTTTTTTTTGTAAATGTGGAAGTAGAGAAAAGAAAACTAAAAGTAATCTATGAGAGATCTAGTTCCTGAGCAAAAGAGGTAGAAAGTTTTTCTACAGATGATTGTATATGTTGTGTGTTAAAAGGTGCAGAGTCAAAAATCACCCGCCAATGAGGTCTCCACAGAGATAAGATGATGCAGCTAATGGCCTGGCTCGGGTCAAGATAGTGTTCAAAATTGGCTGAATTAGGAAGATCCAAGTGAAACAGCGCGCGATGAACATCAAATGGTTCAGATTGATATCCAAAGTAAGTCTGCCAGGCATTGGACCAAACTGGCCGCTTAAGAGGACACAGATACAGAAAGTGCTCTATGCTATCAATGCCATTGCTGCATAGGACGCACATCGGAGACGGGAAGGTTGTGGGAGCGATGCGATGGAGGTGTGAGCTACAGGACAAGGATTGATGTAGTGCGCGGTACCAAATGTTTCGTACAGAGTGGTGTATGGGAAAATCCCAAATTTTTTTCCATTGAATCGGTGTAAGAGTTGAGCCATGGTTAGACAAGGGCGGATTGATTTGGCAAACTTTGCGAAAGTGAGTGGTGTGGAAGACTTTGAGATGCCGGCACCCAGTGCGCAATGCTGTAACAAATGGAGATGCGATTACGAGCTCTGGGCGGAGAGTGGGAATAAATTCAGGATGTTTGAGGGGTGGCAGTGTTGTACGCCAGAAGAATGGCAAGAGGTTGACCCGTGCGTTCTGAAGGTTACGGAAGAGTTTGGCGACAATGTATCTGGAACCAAGGCGTTCTGAAGAGACTCGTGAATGGAGAGCTTGAAGGGACTCATCGTAAATGAAAGCGTCAGAAACGCGCAAGTTTCGCCAACCCTTGGTAAGGCGGATAGATTGATCAGATAATTGTATGACATCGAGTATGGGCAAGTCCAGACATGTAGCTGGAGTGGGAGTTATGATGGAATAATCCCGTGGAATGGCATCAATCGTAGTTAGGAGAGTATTAAACGCACTCTTTACATTTTTCAATCGAGCAGGGCGTAAATTTGTAAACATCATAGGCAGACAGATGTCTCCACTTGAGGTACATTGTTGCAAAGTAGCTTTTATCCATGGTACTACAAAAGATTGGGTAGACTGCTGGTCTAAAATGGGCTGTAGCCATCGCATCTGGAGAGCTCTTTGTTGCAGTTGTGGCTTAAGAATACCTAGACCGCCCGTCAAACGCGGGCAACACATTTTGGAAAAGCTAATCATAGGAAACATGCCGCGATGCAGGAATTGTCCTATGCATGAGCGCAACTTGTCAAAGAATGAAGCAAGAACAGGAGTTACACGAAGGACATGCCAAATCTTGGACAGAATTAGAGAGTTTAACACCGTAGCTCGACCCCTGACAGAGAGTGAGCGTTGAGAGTGAATGTGACAGAGTTGTTCTATCTTTTGGATAAGATGGTGACAGAATAGGTCTCGTTGGGCAATAGACGATGTCAGAGGGAAGCCAAGATATATCAGTGCGGTAGACGATGTGCGATCGTGCCAGGATGTAATGGACCGGCCCTCAAGATAGGCTTTCCAATGGGGTAAAGGAGATCCTGACAACGAAAAGGCTTGCGTTTTGTGTAGATATATCCTTGCATTTGAGGCGCGAGAGTATGTATTCAGATGCTGATGAAGGGCGTCTAGTTCAGGAAACGAGTTCAAGAAAATAAGAGCATCGTCGGCGTATGCTAGGCATTTGATCGGAGGGGGCGAATTTACGGATACATTATGTGTGGGAGCTAAAAAACCTGTGATGTTGGAGTCCCCAATTACTCGTCGAAGGAATGGTTCGAATGCGAGATTGAATAGGACGGGTGAGAGCGGATCTCCCTGGCGCAAACCTCGACGTTGGGCTAGTGGAGTAGATAGGAAGCCATTGACATTGACCGATATGTTGGTTGAGAAGAATAGCTGTGTAATACAGTGAACAATAGAGGCTGGGAACCGAAAGTGAAGAAGGATACGCCGAAGGTATTCCGGGTGGACTCTGTCATATGCTTTCTCTTGGTCAAGCAGGATACCTATAGCATCTGACTGAGTGTGTCCAGCCTCCTCCATGATTATGCGCGCCATGAGACCATTGTCTGCAATAAATCTTCCTTTCACAAGGCCAGTTTGGAAGCGGTTGATGAGGTTATGTGAAGCGTCTGTCACCCGGCTATTGAGCAAACGAGTGAAGACCTTGGCATCCGTGTTGATCAAAGCAATAGGCCGCCAGTTCTTCAAGCTAGAGATATCGCCTTTCTTGGGCAACAAAGACAGGCAAGTGGAGCTCCATGAGTCAGGAAAAATTCCGTGGTTGAGCGCATCCTGATAAATGTTAGTTATGAGACTGGAATAACCTTCTTCGAGAAATACAAGAGACAGAATTTCATACGGTAGTCCGTCAGGCCCAGGGCTGCTATGGCGTGGTGATCGTTTAGATGCCCCACGGATATCCTCTATAGAAAATGAAGTGGCCATTGACTCCTGGGTGGGTTCTGATAGGACTAGTCCTGGTGGAATATATGACAGGAGTTCATCAATAGCTCCGTGGTCTATGGGTTCATCAGTGTAGAGTTGTGTATAAAAGGCGTTTGTAGCGGCAGTCATGGAATCAGGAGTCACACATATGTTATCTGTGCTGGGGTGCCGTAGAAAAGGGATATCTTTGCGGATACTATGAGCTGTGATTGTTCGCTTGAGATATCCAGCAGAGCGTTCTCCCTTCTCACGCCAATGTTTGCTTGCTCGAAGTGCCAAAATCTCAACATTCTCGTGTTGTATGGCTTGGAGTTGGCGCTCAACGACAGAGAGCTAATCATCACGTATATGGTCTATCTTATATTTGCGCATGAGACGGTTACGTTTGCTTTGGAGAGCCTTTTCTTGCTGAACCCGCCATGTAGTAGATCGACGTGAATGTTGCTTGGCAAGGCGGCGAATAATAGCTTTAACCTTCTCCCATTGGTCTTGAGATGAAGGGATATTATGTAGGCTAGGTAATAGGTCCTGTAGTGTCGCTGACAGGGACTGACAAAAATGGGCTGACAGAGCTAAGCGGGGATTTGCACGCCAAATTCCTTTTCCAGTGCGGGATCCTCCCAAAGACAAGGTAGTTGACACTAAAAAGTGGTCGGACCAAGAAGGGTTTATATAGTCTACAGAAGATTCGTGCTTAAGATTGGCCAATTCTGGGCTTGCAAAGATGTAATCAATGCTGCTCATCTGAATTCCGCTAGAAAATGTAGGTAGAGGTTGTTCGCCCTCTTCAGTAATGCAATCGATGAGATGGTCTTGAATATATTGAAGCCAAGACTGAGGAGCGCGGCGTGAGTGTGCAGAACGTAAGCTGTAGGTGTAATTAAAGTCACCGAGTATTATGAGACGGGAGTGTGAGATAGTACTTGAGAAGAGTGGAGTTTCTAGGAGGGAAGTATAAAATTTTCTGCTGTCAGAAAGTACAGCTGGTGCGTATATTGTGACAATTTGGATAGGGTCGAAGTGGTTGTTGATGTGGCTGACTGTGGCGAAAATGCATCTGCCACATCGGCTTGTATATGAGTCGGTAAGAGATAAGTATGGTGTAAGTGAGATCAGCCCGCAATGCTGGGTCCATTGGCTGTCGTGCGCTTGAAATTGGGTATGGAAGGTGGTTTGTAATTCAAAATCTTTGGCGTGAGATTCTTGGATTGCGAGTAAGTGGATGTTCTGTGAGCGTAGGTGTCGAATAAAGTTGTTGCGTTGTTGTGGGTTAGAGGACTTGGTGAGCCCCCGACAGTTTATTGTTGCGATTTTTATTGTATTATTCATATTTTTGTGTGCTTGTTGTTCCGTTGCGTTTTGTACCTGGTGGAAGGATGTTGCGTTGGGCTTCCTCCCTCAATTGTTCTTTTTTTCGTTGTTGCTTTGTCTTTTCGCCAGCTTTTTCATTATTATTGTCACCCATTGTCACATCTTTATCCGCCACGTCGGCCTCTACGCTAGCTGGTAAAGTTCTACAATTTCCAGGAGCTATTGCTTGAAGAGCGGCAGCCTCACATTTATCTGCAATCATTCTAGCCTCGAGGACTCTTGCAGCTGCTTCTTCAGCAGCAACCTTCTCTGCTTCCAAGACTCTCTGGGTATCTAGGTCTTTCTGTTTCTGAGCAGCAGCCTGTTTCTGGGCTATCATCTGCTTCTGTGCCTCTGCCTTTTCCACGGCAGACCGTGTCGTCTCTTGAATGCGCTGTGGGCTGAGAATTTGGCGGAGAGCAACCTGATTGCTGGGTCCATCATCTAGATGGGACTTGCGATGACTGTTGGAAGGTGGGTCCCTAGGGCAGTGTATCTGAATATGTCCAACAACGCCACAGTTATGGCACGTACGTTTCTCTTTACGCTTTTCAGTACATTTGTCTACGGAATGACCCATCTGCTTACAGAACACACAATGGTCTCCCATTTTTGCCCAGGTTCCATAAATCTGGATGTCAGCGAAGTACTTGATCTGGTAGGCTAACTGGGCCCAAACCTTGTCCGAAACAATAGGACGCTCTAAATAGACATACCCGTTGCCTTTGAACCATTGGTGTTGGCCTTCTTCGTAAATGACTGTTTCTTGGACATTGCCGTATGGGCTAAGTCATAGTCGCAATTGGGTGGCAATATCTTCATAATCTTCGGCCGGAAGTCCCGTCAGATTCACTCTGAACAATTTGAGATCCGCCGAAATAGCAGGGGTTGCCAAGAATTCATTATTGTCAACCACAATTGGGTTGCTGCATGCGTATTTACAGTAGTCTGCGTTTGAGAGGCACAGTTCAATAGCTGTATGTGTTTTTTCCGTTTTGGTCTTGAGTTGAAGCCCAATTCCTCGAGGATATGTTTGCCTCAAAGGGCCAAGAAATGCATCCAAATCTTTAAATTCGGAAGGGATGTGATAAAAAACCGAATTAGAGGAGGTACCTCGACGATACACTCGAGGAGTCGCGTTGGGGTCTTCATCTCCTACAAGAATTGGTGTACGAATAGTCTTTTGTCGGTTTCCAATGGATAGTGCTGCGTGAACGTAGCTAAGTTGTCCAGTAGGTGAGGGTGAGTCTGCCGAATGGGTTGTGGGTGAGACCGAATGGGTTGTGGGTGAGACCGAATTAGTAGAAATGGAGTTCCTGTGTGAATCTGTCAAAATTGACAGATTCGGTGGTTTAGGTGAAAGAGCCATGTCTAGCTCCTCTCATCTACACTTCGTTCTCCTTTCTTCTCCAATTTCTTACTCCGAGGAGAGGCGGCTGCCAGCTACCACGCACATCGTCTCATATTTAGACGTTTTGATTCAACATATAGATTGTTTGCCAAAAAGCATTATTTGCTAAATCTGTCTAATTGGTTTTTAGTGAATTTCCCGTCAGATCAATATCCAATCAGGTGTTATATTCGGAGTGAGGTTGACAAAAAGCAGCATGTCAAAGTTTGAATTATTTTGACTACCTTTAACATACTATACATTTTGTTTTGTTTGGAAGCGAGTTTTATAATCACGAATTAACTAGTAAGATGCAAAATAAAACGGTTGTTAGTAATAATAAGTCAATCCGTCTATTGATGGTCAAAACAACGTTTTATTTATATTAGTTACTTTATATATATCCAAGTTAAATTTACAATTCTAAAGACTTGCTTTGTACCAAGTGGTATTACCGTAACCATAAGTAATCTGGTAATATTATCAATGGTAGTAGATATGATTAAAAGTTTACATATATTAGAGTAGTTTCAGTGATGAGATTTGTTTTAATAAATAATAGAATGTAACACACACCTGTAGACTTTTTCTCTTTAATACCTTACTATTTGTTTAGTAATATCAATTTTTGGGATATGTTTGAATAAGATTCATACTTCTTCTTGTTGAGTTTTATTCTGGGGTGAAGTAGGGAGTTTGTTTCATTAAGTTTCTCTTGTGTTGCTAATATCACTAATATTATATTTTAAATAAGTGGCGACTTAGTCCATTCCCTTTATAATTTTGTCAAAAGTATGTTGGCTTTCCATACTGTCTACTTGTTTATGACACTTATCTTGAAATTTGAGTACATAAATATTTCCGTTTTTTTTTTTTAAAAAATCTTATTCAGTTTTTAGATGAAAGTCTCCTTGACTTTATAAATGAAGCTTTTTTGGCCCACATATAAAAATAAAGACATATTACTTGGAGCAATATCGGATTCGTAGGCTTTGAAAGTGTAATACTGAAGAGATTTTGAATTGGATATGTTGAGTGATAGATATGGACAGCTAAAAACAGACCGGTTGTATTGATCAGAATAATAGTGTGTAAATAAAAATAATAGAGCTCCTGTCTTATTTTGTTTGTTATGGAATCATGTATGACCTTTAATAGCTCTATTTATTATTATTCACTATCGATATGTTTCTGTCTTGAAATGAAGATTTTTAATAACAATAGAAACATAGGATGTGATTTTAGAGTCTCCTTAAACTTTACACCTGAATATAGCAAGAGTATTTCATGTATTGTATTGTTGCCGCTAAGCACTTTGAGGAATCTAATAAGTGATAATTGTATGTTTATGTTTGTGTATTTATTACTTTTGCATAATTAAAATTTCTTAATATTCCCTCTTTTACATATATCTACCCGATTCAATTAGCATGTCTTAATTTGAGCACTGCCTACACACGTATATATATATATATGGAAGTTTACTATTCTGTATGGCTTGAATAAATAAACGATAATATGAGCTGTTATATACCAAGATATTACTGTTTGTATCACAGCGCCACAGGATCATACTGTTAAATTGATTTAAAGCAAAGAACTATTTGATTTCGGGTACAAACACACGTGCATATCATATATAAGGAACATATCGTTAGCCGATCCCATAATTAATACATAGTGCTATGTCATATAAGAAAAGTGTCTTTCAACTAAACACGGCATCTACATTGTACCAAAATACCGTTCATAAATATTCTAGACTTATATTAGACGCCTTGCAACCTATGTACATTTAGTGTACAGAATTGACACCATTTCATTACATAAATTACAGGCTGGTTTGTTAATATATGACTTGTTATTGTTTTTGGCAATATCTAAGAGTAGTTAAATACTAACTATCCAGTAAACTTATACTTTGTTGTTCTCGTGTCTCCCTTTATATTAATATCAGTATAATTACCAGCAATTATATTAGTATTAGTTAGTTTCAATAAATCAAAGTTTTGACACGGCAAGTGTAGTTTCCGAAGAAAAGGGCCGAAAAGTTACCGTCCTTGGTCTGTGGTAAATAAAATAAAGGAAAGTATAATAAAAATATAAATAACAACTAGGTCCGTCTGCGGAGTTTCCATGGTAATGCACAGAAATATGATAAGGATGGAGATGAATCAGGTCAATACGATTAAATGTTCTCATGTTTTCTACTCTAATTTATACACAGCCGATTGCATTGATGACAATGCTGTAGAACTGCTTTTACCAAACGTTTTAGAGTCTAGTTGCTTAACAAGAGATTTGAGCGAACCTATTGTGGCGGAGTGGGGTGCGGATAACATATTGCATACACTCAACCATTCTCACACTCTCAGTAGCCCAAATGTTGGTGGTATATCGTACGACAACCTTTGCTGGATATTTCAGCATAATTGTTTTGTTGTCTTCTTCTTCAGGGTCTGATAGTAATGGTTTTTCATTTGGTTCTTTGATCACAAAGATTTTCCTGGTAATAAAAATAGTCTGTAGTTGCTATGTTACCTGAGGAAAGAAAAAAAAATGGGGGTGGGAAAATAGGTAAAGCCTCTCTTTGTTGTCGAACTAGAAACCTATATTCATAATCCAAAACATTGGCAAAATATTCCGCTACCTTTTAACCCCTCTTTTTAAGATATCAATACAACTCTTATTTAAGCATTACCAAACAGGATTCCTAGAAAATATATTCATAGTTAATAATGGGAATGTCGATTGTATTAATCATAGATACTACCCAAAAACATAACCTGACAGGCATTGATATAGCGTTTGATCAAAAAAGAGCTTACTACAGAGTTTATCCCACAAACTTGCATCAATATCTTACTAGACTTGGTTTTCCATCAACTTTAATTTTAGCCATAGCAATTTTGTTCTTCAACTCAATATTTGGATTAACATCAGCAGGTACCTTTTGGTTACAGTGAAAAAAAAAAGAAGTCCGTGACAAGATAATCCACTATTTTTCTCTTTCTCTCAAACCTCTCCTTCACAAAATCCTTGTTACCGAACTTCTTGTATTGTTCTCTATATCGAAAAGTTCCTTTCTATTGCTCTAACCTGTTGGCGAGTCACTTCCTATTAAATAATTACCTTATACGGATGATGATATATTATTCATAAGCACATCCCGGAGAGCAGCGTAATGATGTGCTAGCTTCAAGTCTATTGCCATTCTTCAAACGCTCAAATGAATAGATATAAAGCACCTGTCACATAATGGCTTAGTAATGACCAACAGGCATAGAATGCTCATCTCCAAAATCGCAAGCGATATCCATTTGTCCGTTTTGACCCGTTACTCATCCAAGAAGAAAAATCGAGCTTGGAGTACCAAGCCAACATGTACAGCACTCCTTGCCACAAACTTTGATATATTACCTCACCTGCTAGAACAGATCATTCTCTTCTTATATTTAGGTGAGATTCTTCCTTATTTGCTTCGAAAGTATTGTGATATGAGTGGACCGACTTCTCTTCTAGTATTTCCTGGACTACTATCACCTTACATCAACAAATCCAGTGTATTTCCTTTAATTTTTACATACTACGAAAGATTTTTTTTAAAAATCAATTGCTACTTTTTATTGACTGGCTGGTCCACCTTTAATACTATTCTTTTACAGGACTTGGCTGTTACAGCTATACCCAATCCATATTAGCACTTTGCCGATTCTTATTACATGTGACAAAATAAGTGACATGAATGGTTTGATATATATCTGGACCATTAGTAATATATACTGAGGCTGTGAATAAGAGCAAAAGGCGAGCCAGGTCTCGCATCTTTTGATCTGATTGGGCTTCTAGAGCATAATTGACATCTACTTACTTGAATTGTTTCTTATTCACTCATAGTTCCATTGCTATGATATTTTGATTCGGAGTTGGTCTCTTTCTTTCTATTTATCTTCTAGACTCCTTCTCATCGTTACTTAATAGATATTTCCCTTTCCTCTGGCAATAACAGCTGTTTTCCAGATCCACCAAATTGTCGCAAACAGAAAGAGAGATCCGCACACGCATACAACCTTTCGTACGCCAAATTCCAGATCCAAGAGTCCAGATCCCAGATCCCATATCCTAAATATTTGTTCCAGATCCCAACAACTTTCCGGTAAAAAAAAGATATACGATCTGGTGACGTTTAATTCATAGCAAGGTTCCCTATGCAACAGACAGCGACTGTTCGATAAGATATAATTATTGTAGATAGATCCATATTGTGCTTTTTATAGCCACCTTAGAAGATGGTGAGCACACCTGTTGTAAGAATACGCTCTCTAAAAAAAAACATGCTTCTCTCTAGTTTGAGCAACTTGTTCTTTCCTTTTATTTTGAACCAACTTTCAATATATGCAACACTAATATGTCCACACATACATATATATATATAGACAGTTTTTAGGATGTATCTTAAGTGTCGTTTAGAAAGCTCTCTTTCAACACATATTTCATGTTACCCACCCTTTATAATCAATCGAGTCGCAGCTAGTTTTCACTCTGATTATTAAAAGGCTATTTAGGTACTACAGCATAATCGATTGTATTCAATTAAGCCTCTCGGATATATAATACCCTCAAATAAAAACAAAATACAAAAATATTAATAATAGTAATAATAATATGTCAATTGTTCGTGGTTACTGTATAAAAAAAATAGACAAATAAGATTACAACAATTTGTATTACTTTATTTGGTATCACCATAGCAACAAGAAACTTTTTTTTTAATAAAAAAGAAAAGAAAAGAAAAGAAAAGAAAAACTTATTAATCTACCTAATAAAAAGGTCCATTTTTTTATGGTAGCTAATTCGCCACCCGTTTCTGTATCAGTGGTCTGTGTGCTTGTAATAAAATATGAAAAATAATTTTCCCTTTTCACCCTCTTTCTCTCTCTCTCTCTCTCTACAAGTAAATTATTATAATTATTATTATTTTTCGGATGATTCATAGTTTCTATGTCGGACCAGACCGGACAAACAAAAAAACGTGGTTTAGTTTTGTGAGCGTAGAAACAACTCAATACGGATTTATATACTTGATTCCTGACACATCTTGGATCAAAGGAACTAAGAAAGTACTTTTTTGTCAAATAGCTGATTAATTCGTACCGTCTTTGCTTAATTGTATTTTGTTTTTTGAAATATAGAAATATCCATTATGATCATACATGTCAGATATGTACAAGTGTCAATGAAAGTGTGTGCTTATTTATTGCGATTTATTAACAATAAAAATAACGATGAGATTGACATTAAGATTAACTGATAAATGACTTGTATAAATTCCAAGAGTTTCTTATATTTTACCTTTTTTTTCTTTTTCTTAATCCAAAAAAAAATTGCTGTAAAATGCCTTTTTTTGGTTATGTACTTACCAAACCTTTAGCCTTAATTGCTCATTATTGATTGTTCTCCTTGGCAAAATGGAAGACTAGGTATATTCTATTATAAAAACTCACGTAATAAAATAGAGGTTTGGATCAATATGTCCCGATAAACCGGTACTTTTGATATCCAATAGTAAAAAATCAAAGAATCAGAAAAAAAAATCACACACTTGGATTTACATTTATATCTATATTCACATTCACATTCCCATTCACATTAATTTAGTTCTTTGTCTTGACATCGAGAAATACAGGGTTTAATTTTCACAAAATGTGTGGGGGCAAAATCACAGTGACACCAAAAACATCTCCTCCTCCCCAAAAACAATTGAGTTTAAGAAGCCTGGATTATTCACCCTGACTTATATTATTATTATTATTATTATTATTATTATTATCATTTTACTTTACTGCTTTGATTTATAAGTTTCAAATCACACCACACTTTTCTTACCTTTGTACTTGTACCCTGTCTAATGAACGGTTGCCACGATATATGGCTAGGGAACAATACGACTTGGATACCAAATTAATGATAATATTATGCCATGCTATACCATGCTATGCCATGCTATGATATACTGTAAATCTATACATATATCTATAAACACGTGAAAATAAATAAAATAAGAAACAAAGTTGTGTATTCAGTACTCCAGGTCTTTGTAGTTTTACCCTGATTTCAGAATTTTTTTTTATGGTTTGCCACCCACTTCTTCTCACTTGAACACCGTAACAAAAGAAAAGAAGAGAATTTCATACAAAATTATGACTGGATTTCAACCCAAATATGTTATTATATATAAATATATATATTTATGTGTGTTCTTCGTTATTCTAATTTACTAATTAAGTAAATAGTTTAGATGAATGACACGTAAACAAAATATCCATTTTTAGGTTATAGACCATTATGTAGCTTTTTATTCAAATAAATAAATAGATATGTATATCTGCTATATGTATATATGATCTATCCGGGCTATTCTCGATCATCTTCAAACAGCACATACTGATTTGTCTAGTGGTACAATTGTCTTATTTGGCTAAGTGACACTAAACCAACGAGTTTAAATCCGCCATTGCCCCCCCCCCCCCTTTTTTTTTTTTCTCCTCATAGTAGCAATGCTTGAGAGAAGCAAAGAGCAAAAAGAAAGAAAAGGAAAAAGGTTCAGTAACATGAGTTAGAATTTTATATACGTACATATTTAAAACAACCTTAAATAATGTTAATATATACATGCAAAATAAAAGTATACAAATGTATGCGGCGGTTTTTCCGGGTCAGCTTTCTCTTTCTCTTGGTACAGATGTAAAAGGAAAAGCGGTCACCAGCACATTGAAAGGGGGCCTTCTTAGTTCCTTCCTTCCCTTTTTATATTTTATTTTTACAGTCTTATCTTTCTCTGGTCCTTTGTATCGTATATCATTCTTCTTCTTTTCAAAACCAATATATATATATATATACTTCTTTACCTTTTCTTACAAAATAAAAACCAAAAAAAAACAAAGAAAATCTAAACCTATCAAATGAGTTCGCCAGCCAACCAGGGCTCACATCAGCCCCAAAACATGGGATACAAACAACCTTATCAAAACGAATACCATTCTTCTCATGGTAATTTCCCCGGAATCCTACCAATGCCAGCACCTTACCCAAAGCCAATCGACATTCATCGTGTAAAGCGCACACGAGCAAAACGAAGCTGTGACATGTGTAGAAAAAAGAAGACCCGATGTGATGTTGATGTCAATAAACCTTGCACGACTTGTCGAACTGCCAAAACGGAATGTCAATTCATCATTGAGCAAAAGAAGCGTGGTCCTGCAACAGGGTAATTAAATGAATTACCTTTGAATTTTATTACTGTTTTAACCAATCTTTATATATTATTAATATTATTATTATTGCAGGTCTTATGTAGAAGCTTTAGAGTCTCGATTGAGACGCATGGAAACGCTGCTAGAAAAGATGGCTACTTCAAAAGGAGCCGAGTCTGAAACGAATAGCTGTAGTAGTCCCAAACTAACATTTGCTAACTCGCCCACCAAATCGCCATCACCATCGCCAAACGACGCAGGATCCCCGAACGATAGAGGATCGCCCGGAAGAGGCCCATCCTGCGAACGAGACCAAATCCACAAGAGTACATCAATATTAAACCTAACTCCATGTGAGGATGACCCCCAGCGCCGACCCTTCAACCCAGGCGACAGCACAGACATGATCCCAATTGTCTTGGGACGGAACCTATATTCATCCGAAAAGACCTTTAATCCGGCCAATGCATCGACTTCAAACGAGCTATCCCAGCACATGAACGCACTAACGATCACAGATTATGACAGGACACGTTACATCGGCGCCAGTTCTGGATTACACATGTTAAATCAGGAGCTACTCCAGTCCAACAAACGCCATCGGCTAGTAGACCACCCATCTTGGATAGTTCAAAAGCTAAATGACGATGTTGATGAGCATGTAATCATGAAGACCGAGGAAATTAACAAGGCCAAAAATCACAAGAGACTACCACTCGTAGTCGAGCGGTTTTCGTTTTTTGAGGATATCCCAAACATGACACAAGAATTAGCAGATGCAATGGTACACCAGTGAGTTTCTTCTTCTATTATTATTATTTTTTTTTTTTATTATTTTGTTTTATTTATATTGTTTCTTAATATGGATTCAAGATTTTTTATTGTTTTGTGTACACTTTTGTTGGTACTCTCTTTGTCTGTCCACCCCCAAGAATAATTATAATTATATATTAATACTTTGTTTTTTGGCTTCTTTTTTTTTTGGTGCTTTGAAAATAATTTTGATTTTAATAATAATAATATAGCTACTTTACGCATGTGCATGCTTACTGCCCCATCCTGAACAAAATAGGATTCTTGGAACAATATTACTACCACAATCCAAACCCGCCGGATGAATACTTGCTTTATGCAATATGCGCAATCGGAGCCCGCTTCATCAATTTTGAGTCTCAAATTGATTTGAGAGAGTATTGCAACATTTCCACAGAAGATCTCAGAACCTTACAGGTCACGCTTTTGACAAGAGCCCGCGAGATCCTTGGAGTTGTCTACAAGAGATCCAGAGTTGGGTCTGTCCAGACACTCCTTATCTTGACCATGTTTGTGGAAGACAGTGATGATGATGCAGAAGACACCAGTCATTGGTAAATTATTCCACAACAATATCAATATCAATATCAATATATATTGTTGTTTGTTTGTTTGTTTGTGTTTTTTGTGTCTAATTGCTTCAATATTAATTGATTTAGGTTCATTACTGGCATGGTAAGCATTTGAATTCATCTATTTAATACACACAATCAATCATTCGGCTGATTTTCTCACCAAAATCAAAACCAAAATCAAAACGAACAACCACAACAAAAAGGCTATTCGAATGGTAAGTACCCCAGCTCCCCCCCTTTTGTTATTTGTTGATTTTGATAAACAGAAACACAAACAAACAAACAAATAAACAAACAAGACCATTACAGTAAAGTAAATTGTAATACGGATTTTTTTCTTTTGTGTGTGATTATTTTAGGCACAAGACCTTGGCTTACACAGGAATTCTGGGAGATGGCAGATTCCTGAACACGAAATCGAACTTCGCCGTCGTATCTGGTTTGCTGTCTACGCAATGGATAGATGGGTAATATATAAACATTTAAGTATAAAAATATAAACATGTTACTGATATTTTTACACACATTGAAACAAAAAGGTTGCTGCAGAAATGGGTCGTCCTATTACTATCCTAGATCACGAATTTGACGTCGAACTTCCAACTCCATACGAAATTGAAACAACACACCGTACACCGACTTGTAGTACACAGCATATGGACTATAAACCAACTCTCATATGCGAGGCCGAAAAAGCCATCAAGGAAAAACGGCCCATCTACGATCCGTTCTTGTACTCTGTCACCCTTTCTCAAATCCTTGGCCAGATCCTTGTCGGCCTATACTCTCCAAAGGCGAAACATACCGGAAGACGCAATGCAAGTCTGGTAGCCTTTCTGGATTCTAATCTGAAGAACTGGAGGATCAATTTGCCTCCAAGTATCAGAATTGATTGTAGTGCAGGTGAATCTCTGAACTTGATTGCAGGTGAGCGCAATCCTCACAATCTACTATTACTATTACTATTACTATTACTATTACTATCATTACCATGATCATTACCGCTATCATTATCTTTATTGTTATCGTTGAATAACTTACCTAGTAATAGGCATGCTAAATATGTGTTACAATTGTGTTCTCATACTCCTCCATCGTCCGTTCATTGTCAAGGATGAAAATGAGAATATGACATCTGCATTTCAGTCCCTGAGTACATGTACAGCCGCAGCCGGCCAACTTTTAGATGTAGTAGAGCAAATGGAGTGTGAAATATTCCAGTCAATTCCATGGAGTATAGCTGTATAGTAAGTAAAGTTGTCCTTTTTTCGGCTTTATTCATTTGACCTACAGTGTTAACTTAAATCAACCCTAAATTTAACTATAACTATAACCATAACTATAACTTTTGTTTACTGACTACTGACTTCAAATGATAAATAGTTCCATTTTTCAAGCAGCAATCATATTTTTGCACAATGCAAAGGGGGAAAATCCTTATATTAGTATCGATGGCACAAAGAACTTGAAACGATGCTCCAGATTGTTTCAAAGAGATATCAACATTAGTTCGACCCGAATTGCAAAAGTTCTTTCGTCCTTGGTTGCCACCTTTTCTGTGTTTACAGACGATGAGGATATGTCTGAATGCGACGATACGAATTCTGACGATCCAGATCTAGGCAACAAAAGACAACTGGTAGTCAACAATTCGCAGCAAACCCAATTCCGGAAAAAGCGTAATTCTTCTCAACAGCTAAGAGAGAATCAAGCAACAACAGGAGCAGGAGGAAGGAATTCTACTTTATTATCATCAACAAAAAAGCCAAGCATGTCATCACTACCATTAGCATTGAAAAGTTCTTATGCCGGCGATGAAAGTTCTGTGTCAAGTGAAACTCACTCTCATGGTTCACCTCATCATTTAGAATCCTCACCTGAACCAGCTTCAAGGCATTCACTACAATGTCCAAGAGACGACTATCGATTCCCGCATGTTTCTGTCGACAGCCTTTCTGCTTCGACGGCATTTTCAAGTACACAAAACAACTACTCATCGAATAGTGCTAGTGGAAATAATTCACCGCGAATGATGGGCTCACAATATTCGGCCCAATCGCTCGATCCTGGAATTAGACCTGAAGACGTGTTCCTTACTTCATTATCCTTAAGCCTGGGAAATGATATTGAGAACAATCACCAACAAAAACAGCAACAGCAACAACAGCAGCTACAACAACAACAACAGCAGCTACAACAACAGCAGCAGCAGCAACAACAACAACAGCATATCCAAATGCAAATGCAAAATCAAGAAACACCCAATTATGCTCAATTTCCTTGTGATCAACCTAACAGTAGACTCTCCATGTCACCATCAACTCATTCAGTCTGTCCAATTCCAGATAACAACAATAATGATAGCCATAACGCATCATCATTTTTTCAGCGTGCAGCTCAAAATAGTCTTTACACTAGTGAATTGCTGGGGAATCCGTCAAACCATGAAGTATCGACATCATTAAATAACTCAAATAATGGACCTAGACCAGGACAAGGGTCAACGTTAACACCAACACCAATGCCAACACCGACTTCATCACTTTCTACATCGTATCCATTCTTGACTTCCATGATGACAGACACACCTGATCCACAGTTTGATATCGACTGCCTAAATTCCCAGGTTCCTTTATGGGATTTACCAAGTGGCGTTACATGGGATGAATGGGATTCTTTTATAAAGTCTAATATACAGGGGAATGGATCTAAAAGGTCCTAAGAAAAAAGAAAAAACAACCAAAACAGATATGGAGGAGGATGGGGTATGTATGCATATATGCGTATGCGTATGTATGTATGTATGCATATATGCCTGTATACAAATGGAAAATTCAATGCACAACTTCTTTTTTTTTTCTTTTCTTCTTTTGCATTCATAACTAGATAAGATACATGCACAACTCACAGCACACAGAACACAGAACACAGCATACAACATACAACGCACACCAAACACCAAACACATGTACACATTATACATTATACATATACTATAAAGACTTGTCAATAAACACAATAAGCCATGATAGTGAAGAACTAATTAATTAATCAGTGCAATAAATAAATAAGCAAAGAAAGAAAGAAAGAAATAAAGGAAGATATGCACAGTATTATGTACATATATACAGATATATTTATACAATAAATATATTGATTTAAATAAATAAATCAATCAAGGGTTTAGCTTGAATTATGATTGTATGCAATGAGTGCAGTACAGGACAATGAAGTTACAGGGTAGTGAAGTGAAGTGCAATGTATAGTATATATATATATGGGTGTGTGTGTGCATTGTTTTTCTTTTATCTTGGCTTCTTTACTAAGGATCCTTCACCAAATGAGGTCCGTTTGAACGATACTTGCTTTGATCCTTGAGATAACCTTGAGTTTCTGGTTGCAGATGTTGATGGAGTTGGTTTTTTACGATTTTGGGATCGAGAAGGTTCAATATCTATAAGAAAAAATACCAAAAGAAGACGGACCATTTCGTTTTAGATATACACCATTCAATTCCATATGTTTCTTTATCAGTTACACGATAGCTTGTCCATCTTCAAGATATTGTTCATACCAGTCTTTTCTATTGGTCGTTTTTTTGTTGGACTAGATGTCTCTCGAGACTTGGCTTGGTCTTCCTTTATTATTTGAGCAAGAAAAAAAAACACACACACACATAGTTAACAGAATGATAAATGGTTTGTAAGTTCATTTGATAACATTTATATATTGCCTCAACATTACAAGTACTTACTGCCTCTTTTCCGTGCCAGTCTGGATCTTCTAAAAGACGCTTTGTGTGCTCTGTTTGGGACAATACAGCAATCCATCTGTCAAGCAATTGCTCTGATTCATTTACTGTTTCTGCCAGTTCCTAGAGAAAATTTGTACATTAATTATATATAATTATATGGTTATCACATATAAATATATAGCTATTTTTGTCAAGAAATAAACCTAGTAGCTTTTAATATATTTATTTATTCTTACCTTGATGTGTGTACTGCTTTTTCCAAAGTTTTCAATCACTTGTCCCATCACACGATTGATACCTTTGATTGCTTCATATTCGTGCCTCCGTTGTGTATTGATATGAGGTGGGTTTGAAGGATCTTCAACTGGAGGTTGGGTATGGTCCATTGTGCGGTAGAGTAAAGTCGCACGTCGATCTGACGGAAGTAAATTGTTCTTTCTTAGAGCATGGTTAGATGAATCCTCTCGAGATTTAGCATTAGATTCGTCTTGATTCATGTTGTATTAAATAGTGGATTCGTATGATGAAATTTGGGCATAATCAATTTTTCAATTTTTTGTGCACACACACATAGATACACGCATATCTCTCTCTCTCTAGAGAGAAAGAGGTACTAAGCCTCAGATTCTATTGGCTATATATATATCCAGAGCCAGCTCTTTCCGATCCCCCAAACAGATTATTCTTGTCCTATACGAATTTGAGTGAGTGCTATCATCAACCTTATATTACCATTACCATTATTATTATCATTATCATTATCATTATTCTAATAGAAGTAGTATTGATATACCTATAATACCAAAGAGTACAATGAGTATCCAAATGTAGAATATCAAATATAAACAGAGACATAAATGTATATTAATTGATATTAATTGATATTTACTAAATAGACGATTTTGGGTTGTTTAGCCTCATATTTCGATTTCTTTTATACATATATATATATATATATATATGTATCTATGCATATTTATATAAATTTATATATACATATATACGAAGAATTATAACCGATTGCACAATCATTAACCTTGGTTATTTTAATATGTATATTAGGATTTCCCTTTTTTGTGTGTACAAAGAAGTGTCTCTGTGCCTCTCCTTCTCTATATATACTTTTATGTCTGTGTATGAATAATACTTGCTACATAGTATTCTGTATAAAGATGGTCATATTTATTTATTAGTTTCATTTATTCATTTCATTCATTCTTTGTTGGCGTAGATTAAATATGTCTTTTTCTCTCATTTTTGTTTTGTTTTGTTTTGTTTTGTTATTTTTTTGTGAATCCATTACAGGGTTGAACAAAGCTTCGGTTCTGAGCCGCCGTGGTTGGACGGATGAGGACCAAATAGAAATAAGTGATTATACAGTGCAGGAGTCTGCAAAACTAAAAGTAAAAGTAAAAGTGAAATGAAATGAAATGAAAATAAAACTGGTGATCGCCACTTGTAACATCTTATGGATACTTTGTTCTACCAAGGCCAATAAAATAAATATAAAATGGTCAAGTTGAGATATTAATACTGTATTACTAATGTCTTTGCCAAAATGAACAAGATTCTTTTGATTTTTGGTTCATAAATTCTCTCTGGCTTTTGTACATTAATTATAAGAGGAAAAAAGCTTCTTTAAACTAATTAACCCAAATGGAAATATTAGTGACAATCGATCAATTGAGGAGAGTAATAAAAAAAATCCCATTCTCTTTCTCACACACATAATACGTACAGTACATGATTATCCAACAATTCGATTTTTGGTTGAATTTTGCTTAATAAATAAATGAATAAATAAATAAATAAATAAATAAATTTCCATATAATTCTATTAAGCAGAATAATAATAGTAATAGTATTAGTATTAGTAGTATTATATGTGCTTCACAATACAGATCAGAAATATATACATCTGTACTCACAAATATTCCCTTTTTCTCTATGCTTTCTCTTTCGCTCTCTCACTGCTTGGCTTAAGATTAACGGGATTCAAATCACACATCAACTCCGCCATTACAGCACTGATGTAAATGATCATTTATACAGAATTATTATAAAAAGACCGTTGCCTTCAAAAAACGACTTAACAGAAAAAATAAAAAAAAAACTCCCTTTTTATCCCTCATCATTTCCTCTCTCTCTCTCCTCTCTCTCTCTCTCTTTCTATCTATCTAGCTCTCTTTGTTCAATAGCTTCTTTATACTCATCGCCTTCCTAGATTATTGATTTTAGTCTTTTATTGATTTCTTTTTAATTTTTCATTCTTCTTCTTGTTAACTTTTCTTCTTACCTTACACGCGATCCCACGCGAAATTGAATCCTTTTGAAGATGTCTGATTCAGAAGATGATAAACCTCTTTACAAGAGAGTTGCCCCAAAAGCCCCAACTCGTACGTATTATCTTATATTTCTTATAAAATTATATACATAGATACCTATATACGTATATATATATATATAATTTCCAACCAACCAACAGACACACACACACACATATATATATATATAAATATATAATCATAATCCTAATTAAAATTATAATTAATATATATTAATAATTTATATTTACATTTGTATTTTGCATTTGTGTTTTGTAATATATAAATATAAAATATTATTCAATTCTGTAGCAATTCAAACACCAGTAAAGATCGAAACACATGATCAAGCCTTTCCACAAAAACCTACCAATTCTTCAGCTGATGGTTCAAAGGTTGCAAATGTCAAGCGATCAAATGATCGCCCTGTAAAGCGCAACGTAAAACAAGAAGCCGACCAAGATAACACCCCATTGGTACGTTATTCTCCTGGTGATTTATAAACACATAAATACATACGTACATACATACATACATACATACATACATACATACATACATATACATGTATGTGTGTATGTAATTCAAGCGGCTGGCCATATTTACTTAAAGCAAGGAGCACATTTTAATATTTTGAATGGAATATTAATAACAACAACGATATTATTCGATCTTAGGCAAAGAAGCGTAAACAATCAAACGGAACTACTGTCAAGAAAGAGGTACATAACTCTTTATTTTTTCTTTATTTGTATTTTCTTTTTTCTCATGATTTCAATTTAATTTTTTATAGTCTAAACCAGTCAAGAAAGAAACCTTGGCTGATACCACCTCGGCTGCTGCTTCTCTCAAGCGTTCTGTGTCTTCTACTACTTCCCAAAAAGCTACTACTGCCAAAAAAGCCAAGACTGCCGAGCCAGCCGTAAAGGAAACAAAGAAATCCAAAAAAGCCAAAGAAGAGGAGGAAGAGGAGGTCTACAGATGGTGGGAAGAAGATTCCCAAAAGGCCGAAGATGGTGATGATAGTATCAAATGGACTACCTTGGAACACAATGGCGTTTTGTTCCCACCAGAGTATGTCCCTCACGGCGTCAAGATGAAGTACGACGGAAAGCCAATCACACTCACTCCTGAAGCCGAGGAAGTTGCCAGTTTTTTCGCTGCTCTTCTGGAAACAGATCACGCCAAAAACCCTACGTTTCAAAAGAACTTTTTCAGAGATTGGCAGGAAGTTTTGAAACAGGATCCAAGGGTAAGAAATAGTGTCTATATATACAGGTGTATATACTTGCGCTTGTTGTTGTGCATATTTATATATTTGTGTGCTATAAAACCTCGAACAAAAAAGTCGTTCACCCCACCCACTTACTTACACACTCACTCTCTTTTCCCTTTATATAAAAGAACCCTGAGATCAAAGAATTCGACAAGTGTGACTTTAGACCCATCTGGGAAAAGTTTGAATTGGACAAGGAAAAGAAGAAGCAGGCAACAAAGGAAGAGAAGCAGGTGTGGCTCATATTTTATTTTAATTCTTCCATTTTCTGTTGGTTTTGCTGTTACTAACATGACATTATTTTAGAAAGCAAAAGAGGAGAGAATGAAGACCGAAGAGCCATTTTTGTATGCATATGTCGATGGAAGAAAAGAAAAGGTCGGAAACTTTAGAATCGAACCTCCAAGTCTCTTCCGTGGTCGTGGTGATCATCCCAAGACTGGCACATTAAAGGTATAATAGACAAATATTAATGTTAAATATTAAATATTAATTATAGTAGTAAAATCAGTTAGTTAGTTAGTTAGTTAGTTAGTTAGTTAGTTAGTAGTAATTTTTTCGGTACTCTATCTATTATTTTATATGTTCCTGTGTGTGTGTGTGTGTGTGTGCATGTATATGTGCTTGTCTGTATGCCCGCGCGCGTGCATGCGTACTTGTATGCATATCTGTGTGTATGTCTGTGTGTTTCTGATGTGTCTGTGTTTGTGTCTGTGTATTAAATTATGATAGAAACGCGTTACTCCCGAACAAGTCACTATAAACATCGGTCACACTGCCAAGGTTCCTGAACCTCCAGCAGGTCACAAATGGGCTTTAGTTGCCCACGATCAAACAGCCACTTGGCTCGCAACATGGAAAGAGAATGTCAATGGCTCTTTCAAGTATGTCTTTTTGGCAGCTTCCTCGGCATGGAAAGGACAGAGTGATATGCAAAAGTTTGAAAAGGCTAGAGAATTAAAGGTAAACCAAAAAAAATACACGTATAATATATATATACAAGCAAACATTTACACAATATACTAAATACAAAAGCAATTCTTTCATATATATTTATACACATTCTTGTAGAAATATGTCAAGAAGATTAGAGAAAATTACACTGCTGAGTTAAGAGATAAGCTTAGTGAAACCAGACAACGTGCCACTGCCATGTATCTCATCGACAGATTTGCTCTGAGAGCCGGTAACGAAAAGGGTGATGACGAGGCTGACACTGTTGGCTGCTGCTCTTTACGTTATGAGCATGTTGATCTTATTCCACCAAACACCCTCAAGTTCGATTTCCTTGGTAAGGATTCGATCCGTTACGAGAACTCTGTCGATGTGGATATTCAGGTGTTCAAGAACATTAAGATTTTCAAGAAACAAGTCGGTCCTGGCCACATGATTTTCGACCGCTTGACGGTAAATTATTGAGATATATATACACATACAAAAAGAGATAAAGTGGAAGAGATAGAGAGAGTATATCAGACACTTATTATTATTTTGTTATTGGAATTTAGACTGTCGGTTTGAATAAGTATCTCAACAGCTGCATGAAAGGCTTGTCTGCAAAGGTCTTCCGTACATACAATGCATCACACACTTTTCAGCAACAGTTGGATAAGTTGACTGTGCCAACCGACCCTATTTCCGACAAGATGCTTTCTTACAACCGTGCCAACAGAGAAGTTGCTGTTCTGTGTAACCATCAACGTACAGTTTCCAAATCTCACGCACAACAGATCGAAAAAATCAAGGACAAGGCAAGTAATTTTAGGATTTTTTTTTCATGAACCCAATTAAGTTGATCGTCAAACTAACAAATGTCATTTTTTTCTTGGTGTATTGTATGTAGATCCGGGCACTTAAATATCAAAATATGAAGCTCAAAAGACAGATTCTTACTTTGGAGCCTGCTTTGAAAAAGAAGAAGCCAGAACTCTCTGCAGAGGATCCTGATCTGACCGAAGAATGGATGATTGAATACGAGGCTAACCTTGTGGAAAAGGAGCGGGAAAAGATCAAGCAGAAGTTTGAGAAACAAAACGAAAAATTAAAGGCAGATGGTGAAAAGCCTCTGCCGGAATCCGAGTTAAAAGAAAGACTCAAGGCAGCAAATGAAATGGAAGCACGTCTCAAGAAAGAACGCAAGACCGGAAAGGTGGCTTGCAAGCCAACCATGAATGTAGAAAAGCTAAAGGCTGCTATTGAGAAAACGGACGCCAAGATTAAGATGACCATTGTTCAAGAAACAGACAAGGTAAATAAGTATAAAAATATTTATATGTGTATTTTCTCTTTATTTCTTTAATGTTAATGATATATATATATAAAAAAGGAGGAAAACAAGGAAATTGCATTGAGCACGTCCAAGATGAACTACATTGACCCTAGAATCAGCGTTGCATGGTGCAAAAAATATAACGTACCACTGGAAAAAGTGTTCAGCAAGACACTTATTGAGAAGTTTAGATGGGCTCAGAATATTGATGATTCATGGGTAAGTTATTTCTTTATTATTTCTATACTGTAACCTTAATTTTAATTTCTCACTTTACGTATCTTGTCGGTTTTTTTTTATATTAGAAATTCTAAATCCTTTAATTCAGCAAGAAGAGAGAACGAACCAAAAGAAATGAAAAAGAAAAAGTGAGAGAAAAAAAAAGAGGGGCAATGAAAGACAAAAGACCCAAGAAATTTTTGCTGTAAAAGAAAACAAAAGAACCAAAAAAAAAAGAAAAAACCTTTTGGATTTAACAAGCATTTATCATACGATTATAAAGGTTGGATTATTAACAAGAAAAAGAAAAACAGGCATATAATTCACATTTAATCCTCTGGAAAAAATTACATGAGAATTGTTATAAAGAAATTATTACAAATCAACAGATTTACAATGAATGAATGTGTGCAAGGGAATTATAGGAGGAGTGAGTGAGAAAATGTGCTTGTGAACGAATAAATGAATGTAGGATTTGGTGTATATTATACATGGTGTATTTTTATATATTTTTTTAAAAATATATATATACAGACGAAAAGAAGAAGATTTTTGCATGGTGTCGAATTTGTAAACTTTATCCAAAGCACATGTGGGCTATGGAATAAAACGATCAAATAAGATTTTTAAATATGAAGTAAAGAAGAGGGAAGGAAAGAACTAAAAGAAAGAAGAGGGTTTACATTGGGCATAGAGGCCAGGGATGTTGATGTGTACTATTATTATTATTACTCTTGTCCTCGTTTTGATTTGGCAATTGAGTGGAAGATGTTTTTATAGGTGTAGATGTCGATGTAGAGAAGCCTTGTTGCATTTCTCCTGGTAAAAAGTAGGCGGCCCAGTCGTCGAACTCAATACTACTTGGCACAGACCAGAACGGATTATCTGGTCGGTTACGGAAGAATGTGTTTTCTAAATTATTGGCGGATGAAACGATTGGAGCTTGGAATAAATGAGGTTGCTGCATAGAATACATAGAGCCAAAGTCTGCTGCATTGTTAGAATTTGGCAATCGTTGTTGCTGTTGTTGTTGTTGTTGTTGTTGTTGTTGTTGTTGTTGTTGTTGTGGTTGATTTTGGTTTTGGTTTTCATCCACGCTTAGTTGTTGTTGGACTTGTGGTGTTTGATTAGTCGTGGAGTACGTATTTGAATCTTGTTGCCATGGCGTCTGGAATCCATCCATTCCAGTGCTGTCTAATCCAAACATAAATTTATCGGAAAAGCTGGGTGCCATAACCAAGCCGTTCCCTAGGTTGTTTTCAGATCGATGTTGCTGTTGTTGCTGTAACTGCTGTTGTTGCTGTTGCTGTAACTGCTGCTGATGTTGTTGCTGCAATTGTTGTTGTTGTTGCTGCAATTGTTGCTGATGCTGTTGTTGTAATTGTTGTTGGTGTTGGTGTTGCTGCTGCTGCAATTGCTGTTGCTGTAATTGTTGCTGTGGTTGGAGCTGGGACTGTTCTTGTCGGTTGACTGAAAGGCTTTCAAGTGGAGTGAACAACTGTCCTGGCAATAACCCAAATTGTCGTAGTATGTGAGGATCAGTGTCTAAAACATTATTTGCAGAAGGACCTTCTGCTGCCATCGACACAGCTAAGTTCAATAAAAAAAATACAAATAGACATTACGTTGATTAATCAAAATTGACACAAATTGAATTGAATTAAATGTAAATCTACAAAAATATGTGCCTGTTGTTTTACCTTGAGTATTATTTTTTTGCAGTGTAGGATAAAGTCCATTTATCCAATCGCCATAAACAGCTGATGAACCTGACCCTGCACTACTGGGTCTTTCTACAGATGTTTCCATTGGGGATACTGAAACACTGATCTGACCATGAGGCGAATCTCCTAAAACCAGTTTGGTTAAAATATTTCCGTAACCCGTCTCCTCATTAAAAGAAGAAGAATAGGTCCTAATTTTTATCCTATATTTCTCTCTATCCAGGTGCATGTTTTTTTTTTGTACGCACGCACGCACGCACGAGCACATACATTAAATTATATAGGAATTTCATGTAATTTCATAAATCGGTTATATTTCACATATTCATATATTTTACCTGTGCTATAGTCATTTTGACTCTCTGAGCTACCACGTAGCATATGTTTTCGTTTTTGATTTCTTTTCCTATATGTGATACGTGTCTTTTTAGGCATATTTCCATCTTGTGCCGCTCTCTCTTCTTGGTCCGATAGATCATGGTCGTTAAATGGAATTTTATGAAAATCCATCAGTTGTTTCAGGATATTGTAGAGACGTTCGGCCGAAGATGTCATCTTTGATAATCGCTTGATTACCAGGACAGCTCTTACCAGATTTGCCCTTGCAACCTCTGATACAATACTGTCCGGATTGGCTGCATTGTATATGTGAATCACAGCAGCTGTAAAAACTGGATAGATAGCAAAGTTCCAAGACACCAAAAGGAAATCTCGATAGTGCATCTTTTTGGCAATGTCAGCACAGCGAGTCGCAGCACTTGTACAAATACTGAGTGAAGACAGTGAGGACCTAGTCTTTTGCTCTCCATCTTTTTCAATAAATGGCCGATGAAGTAATATAAGTAGAGTACAATATGAAAGGTATATTAAGCCTATATACACAATGTTAGTCTACATTATAACTTTTATTTTTTAATTAATGGGATGATCTATTTGAACCGTTTAGTTACCTGACATGGATAGCAGAGGTGTCTGTCCTCTGCTGTCAAGACGGTGTACATTAACATTTGATATCTGAAGGGCAGGAGGAAGGGCAGATTTCCACTCGGACAGCACACCGTCAAGGTATGAGATAATAGAATCACTTCCGTGTAATGCACTGTGTTTCTTGGCTTTAGGCGTGTACAGACCTTGAAGGACTTTTCCGAGTATCTCTGACAGTTTGACTAGCTGTACAAAGGGTTGGTAGATCGGTATCTTTTCTCCTTTGATTTTGCGCGCTGCGCCTGTGTCCAGAGAAGGGAATCTTGGACCATCTTCATCACCTGTTTCAGATTTGTCAGGTGTGTCCATGACTTCATCCCACGATGCGGCCTCACAAGGATACTCTTCGTCACAATCCTTTTTAAATTGGAAACAATTGCAAATTGTTATTGTTTTTAAGAATAAAATAAAAGTCAAAATAGCAGCAGTAAATAATAATAATAATAGTAGTAGTAGCATTAGTAGTGGTAGTAGTAGGCATACTACGGTATGCGCTTTTAGCTTTTAGCTTTTAGCTTTTCTTACCTCGTCAAATATAGTTTGAGGCCTTCCAGTACTAGCCGATGACCACTTGTCCATAATATAGACTGCCCACCATACTCGTTTTCTAGTTTCCTTTTCACTTTCAGGGATGTCCCATTTTTCACTTGACCGATGAAGACCAAGATCTTGAGCCTAAAGATACGTTTAATTTTACGTCGGCCTTGAATTGACTGGATAAAAATGTGTTACCATACGAATAGCCTTTTGATGTAGAAGGTACACAATATATATATATATATATATGTTAGAGGAAATCACAGAATAAAAAGAACAAATTAGCATGTGATACAGTTGTATTGGTCTTTAAGCGTATCCTTTTGACTTTTTTCTTCTTCCTTTTTGTCTTACCGCCGAATTTAATAGCCACCCACTCGTCATTTTTTCATCCACACTTGCACGATGATTATGACCAACAACTATTGCCTGAATTGTAGATATACATGGATTGTATCTTCCTTTGACGTACACAATCAGGTTCTCGAATAATTTCTCGGACCAGCCTTCTGGAATGGGTTTGTCGTCGCCGTATTCTGGAGGAGCTTTGTCACCAAACAGTTTACACATCTCAATATATCGTACGGCCGAACCATAGATAGCATTTAGAAGCGGCGCTGAAGGGTAACCACCTACATTTCCTCTGTACTGCTTCAAGAAGAGCTTTTTGTTAATCACTGGAAGCCCAGGGTGTATATAAAGGAAATATCTACACCAAAACAAAGAAAATCGAATACGTATGTGTGTTTAAGAAAGGATTAAATATATTAAAACAAAATACAAAAAGTTTTTCATTGTTGAAAGAAAGAATGTATATATGGATATAAAATAAAAATAAAAATGATAAAGACTTACATCTTCATGAGTCTATCACTCATTTGCTTATCTAACCCTGATACCCTGAAGATCCAATCGTTCATTCCTTTGATTGTTTCGCCCGGTCCCAGCATTCCAAGTTCTCTCAAGATATTTTCACTCAAATGACCATTGCTCTGATCTTCACATTCATAGAATACTAAACTTTGGCCGAATTTACGAATCTGCATCCCAAATTGATTCGAAAATCGAGGGTCTTCAAAATTTATCTTATGGGCCAAGAACGGTAAAGGGCTCATGTCACCAACGAAACGTGTCCGTGCTTCATTGCTAATTGAGGACAGGCCAACAGCAAGTGGCTTCTCGTCATCTTTTGTATCCACGGCAGCCCGTTTCCCCCCATTGTTCTGACCAGTGGCGGGTGACTGTGTAACTGTGGCACTTTTGAAAGAATCTTGGGTTGCCACAATTTTGTCTAAATTTTCTGCCTGCTTCGCAACCTTCTTTTTCGGTTGCCCGTCTTCAGAACCCTCGTTGTCGGACAAACCGCCGAGAATTCGCTCCATTCTCTTTAAGCGATTCTCAAGAATATCAATGTACCTAATTGTCGATATTTTCGCATGTGTGTGTATGTGTGATAAATAAAGAGAAGACAAAAGAAGACAAAAGAAGAGCAGATTAATTAATTAAATAAAATAAGATAAATAATAAAAAGGAAATTCAGAAAAATCAGAAAAAGGAAAAAAAGACTTTTCAAAAGTACAATTTTGGAAATCACATAGTCTTAAATTGACTCTATTAGGAAATACAATTTACCCTTTTGGTGGTCCTCGACGTTTTGCCCTTTTTGTGCGTATGAAATTAGATTTTTATATTTGTATATAACATTTTTTTTAAAAAAAAAAGAAACGTTGCATTTGTAAGTAATTGCTGTCTTTGTTACTATAATTCCAAATGCATCCAAAAAGGAAAGACCAAGATATATATGTATATTGATGTGTCGAAATCGTTACCTGTCGTTGTAAGTACATTCTACGCATGACTGAGTACAGTTTCTGCAGGGTCCACTATTATTATCAGTTGTACATTTGATTTTCTTTCGACGACAAGCATCACTGTAAAAGAAAATGAAAATGAAAGATAAGATATGGCAATTATCATTTGTTTATTAAATAATTAAAGACTAACCATGCTCTACTGATCCGTATACGTTTGGATTCAACAGACTCATTTGATCCTCTATAATTTTGTCCAGTTCCTGGTGCTATGGGTTGTATAGGTCGTGCATAACCCGAGGGGTGATAAGGTTGCTGAAAATATGGTTGTTGTTGAGGTTGGTGTTGAGGTTGGTGTTGAGGTTGAGGTTGAAGTTGAAGTTGCGGTTGAAGTTGTGGTTGAGACTTTGGTTGTAATAGACCATACTCTCGTGGAACTTCCATCTTAAAGTACTTGTCTGTCCTTGCGTATTGCTCTTGTACAGTCGCTTGCGGTGTCAGCTGTGATGCCTGTTGGGCTGGTTGGGTTGGTTGTGATGGTTGGGTTTGTTGAGCTGGTTGGGCTGGTTGTGGTGTATGTTGAATTGTTTGTGGCAAGTGTCGTGTCCAGCGCGTTGGCGTCGACATGAGGAGAAGAGGCGAACGGACAACTTGACAATGAATGCGAAAGAAAGATGAATTCGCAGCTCAGATCTATAAAACAGTAATCTACTTGCCAAAATGTTACAGACAAAAAATAAAAATATAAAAATAAAAATCAGTCGAGCACAGGCAAAAACTGCCTTGTCTATTCCTTTCCCTCCGGCATCGGGGACATATTTTTCCAGCCAATGATTTTTCTTATCCACGTGTCTTCATCGCCAAGCAAAGAATTTGAGAGCCTGATTATTGTGTTTGACAGTCGGCTTGGTTTTTCAAGTAAAAAAGAAAAAAGAAAAGAAAAGAAATGAGAAATAGACTGCACTCAGTTCTCCCAGCCACTTGAAGGAAAGCAAATTTTTCATACAAGTGCTGTACAAGTGCTATACAAGCGCTATACTCCTATAATTTTTATATCTTTCTTATTACTACTACCACTGTTAATTAATATGGCTGGTAAATAATAGCTTTGTACTAGGCAAAGATAAAGACTGCAACATGGGGCTGTACTTTAAAAAATGTGTGTGTGTGTGAATCGGAGGTAGAGAGAGAGAGAGGGAGAGAGAGAGAGAGAGGGAGGGAAGGAGGGAGGGAGGGAAAAGGGGACGGTTTAATTGATCCTTGTTCATTACACTTCCATCAATAGAAATAATGACGCCTGAAGATGTTGTGTTGCAGTTGAAACGCAAGGGCACCTTTGACAGTCTACGTAAACGCCTCTTGTCAGAGTTTCAATCTGCGGTAAGCGCAACGGTCGTCTGTCAATTAATGTACAATTTCATCCTCTCTCTTTCTCTGTGATTCTTTGCCAATCAATAGTTTAATTTATATTTATATATTTTTTTATTTTTATTTTTATTTATTTTACCTGTAAACTTTAGCCTACCGGCCAGAGTTTTCTTGAAAATACAAATGGATTCATGGAAGATATCGTGAAAAAAGATGATTCCTTACTAGACAAAGACCGCACCTCGTTTTACGAGCATGTAACAACTGAACTAGAGAGGTACGATGGTGACCGATGCCTAAATGTGCAAACTCATTAAATCACATTGCAAGAGCCAAATTTTACGATAGTATCCGGGAAGAGATCCTTGAGACATTACTCAAAGATGAGTACTACCAAAAACAAGTAGACGACGCCATTGAAAATGTTATGAGTGAGATGAAACCTACTAGTAGCACTGTGACCGAGACGCAAATACGTTCTGGAAAGGAGGACACGAAATCTTGAATTATTTATTCTTCCATACATTCCATCGAACCATAAGCATTCATACGCCTAATCTTCCCTTTCGATAAACAGAATGAAGAGGGAAGAAAGGTGAATGAATTGATCAAAAAAGAGAAGAAGAGGTTTTCCAAACAAAACAAAGCTAAAACTAAAGAAAAAAAACAGAAAACACATACATATTACATATACATGCATACATACGTACATGCATACATAAATTTATTTATACATACACACACACATAGACAAAAAGAAATAATAGTCTCTTTCACCCACAGCTTCTAGCTCTCAGTGTGAGACTATAGCAAAATGCAAAACAAGACACACAAAGCTTTGTTTAAAGCCCCATCTAGTATTTCATATACATGTATTTTTCCATCCTTGTCGTCGTATTTTTTGGTGCTTGTATCCATTGAAATATAGTTGGGTTAGTCCCTATGGATATAATTTACATATATAAATATGCGTATCTTTATATTTATGTGTATATGTTCATCAAAATCCTAAGCTCCAATTACAGGTTTGTCATGGTAACCCAAAAACAAAAAACAAAACAGAAACTCCAAAAATGATGATAATAAGAATATGAGCTTGTTACACCCTGCTAGCCTTTGAATTTATCTATAATAGGATGAACACAATATGTAGTTAAATCCAAGGCTTAATATATACCGTAATACCATATGTTCCTTCTTTGAACTTTGGCTTGGATCTTGGTTTCTCATTGGCAGGAAAAAGGTTTCCTGGAATAAAAGCAATGTACAAAAGCCCAATGCTTGCATTAGTTCCAAGAATGGCAATTAAACGCTCTTTTTTCGTTCTTGTGCGTAACATTGTTCAATTGCCTTTATTTGCTATACAACATTATTTCATTTATTCTGGTTGAGTGTAACTGAGGTGCAATATCAACATTTTATAGTATATTCCATTCATTATTTTTATTACTATTACTATTATTATTGTAATTTTAAACTTCTAGTAGAATCTTATTAAATATTTTTTGTATACAACACATACACACATATATATCCAACAATTGGTACTTACCATGCTGGCTGCATCAATCACGGATAAAGCCTAATTATTTAAGCGTTTATTCTTCCTGTTAAGAATAACTACCCTTGCCGTTGAAATAAGGCAACATAGCCCTTACTTTACAGACCGGATCCGACACGAAAATAATTGGATGATCTTTTCTGACCTTCATAGTCGCAACACTCTTTTGTTCCTTTAAGAAAAAAAACATGCGTGTTTCAGTCACTTATTATACAAATCCTGTGTAAGTGATATTTGATTATCTGCTTTGATCTATCAAATCTTTGTGTAAGTTGTTCTTACTTGCTAAGAAGTATATAACAGCGCATACTAGTATATTATGGCAGTCACGAGTAGTTCATATATGCGTACATGTAGAGAAAGCTGTTTTTTTTTGCCATGATGATAGACAAATATATTCTATAAAGGATTCACTAGAAACAGGGTATTACTTTCTATATATTTATAGCGCTCTATACGCTCCTAAATACTTATATAAGAAGTCTTTTATATACTCTCATTATAAAGTAGATTTTTCTTGATTTATTTTTATCGAGTGTGAATATTCAACAGAAGACATTTAGCAAAATCTAATCCAGAATTTAGATACAAACTTCTACCAATGGACATGGATTGTTTCAATTTTTAGCACATCAAAAGAATTAGTTTCTTTAACTTTCTCAACAATATCTATCCGGCTTTATTTATAAGCAGGTCATTAAGAGCAATACAAAAAAAACATGAAACTAATTATTAAAAAATAAATAAATAATACAATTACTAAACATTTAAGATTTTGTATAGAAAAAATTATGTAGCTGTAACTGTGATTGAAGTTGTAGCTCTTTGATGGGTATTTATTGTCATTCTCTAACAATTGGTAGATATCTGATTTTTACTATTATTGACAGTAATATTTAACATATCTATCAATGTTATTATATGTTTCTTTGCTATTATTGCTTATACGCTTCTGTTTAGTTTTTTTTCTATAGATTTTTGTTTGGGGCTATATTACCGCTTTTTATACAATATTTCAAAGTAATATAGATATATAAGAGTTACCCAAAACCTTTGTGCAAACCAATAATGAAGAGAAACGTAATATGTACATATGTATTGATTGGATATACACAGCTTTAGATATTATGGTTCCATAGACAATATACATTTATAAGCTTGTTTTGAAGCATATTATAGCCATCATTTAAACAAATAATATAATTCTACTTGGAATAAAGTAAGAAGTCATATTTCTTTTGTTAATGTAGTATTATAGAATTATATATCTAATCACTTTAATTATATTACATTACATTGCAGAGAATAAGATTTCTATGTAGATAGGCTACATATTCTGTAGATTAAAAGTCTTGACAAACCTTTCTATTCCACTCTAGACAGAATACATTAGGAACATATTACTTAAGTATAATAAACTATTTTTGATACCTCTTTTCTAGTTACTGAACTTAAGGTCTAACATAGAAAAATGAGCCGTTTTGAGAGGTAGAAAGTAAGGGAAATATATCCCATTAAAAGAATATTGTTTTACTTGAAAGAAAACACGGTGTTTTTTGCAAGAATATTTATTTACAATAAATATGAGAACAGAAAAATGTTATCGATACAAAGATAATAGATACAGAGATATAAGAAGAAATACAAAAAAGCACCCTTGTATACAGAAAGTCTTGACATTGTTTCATTGGATTCACTTCTTGAGATGATCGTCATGTTTGGTGGCAAAAGTACTTCATTATCAATAAGACCTGTTATTGGTCTGCTGCAATTATGAGCAGGAATAATAGAGTTGGCAGCTAAATAAAGCAAGTAAAATATATTAATTTATTGTTGAAAGGAAAAATATTATTGATAACTTACCATTGGAGCTAGCGATATTGTTGCAAGAAAAAAGATTTGCGTTGCTGAACATTATAAATGAGATGAAAAAGCATCTAAATTTTTGAATATTTGCCCTTTATATACTTTTTCTTCTTCTTTTTCTCATATTGAATGAGCGAATTATTATGCTAATCAAAAATAAAATGCGTGTTTGTTTCAGAGCTATATGTCATTACAGAAAATAATATATTCATTAATTTATATTTCATACACATATTTTTTATAAAGTAGGTATGTATTTTCTTTTCATTATCCACTCATAATGTGAATATAGACTTATTATGTAATTCTCTATGTACATTATACTCTATTTAATCTATAATGTGTGGCAGATTTTGTAAAAAGAGCAATTGAATAAAAGCAAAATGAAAGCTAATTTAGATGATTAGAATAATTTAATTGAATCAAGTAAGAGTCTAAAAGACTACCAGCATTAATACAGTAGCTATGAGATACTACATAACTAATATATATTATATTATATAATTCTGTTTTTATTTACTAGGGTGTATGATCATAGAGAGGATTTTTAAAGTAATTCATACAGTCAATTACATGACATAAAAAGGTTTAAATAATTTCAAGACTGCATGAATATTTTACATGAGAGATAGTCAGTAATCACTATATATAAAATACTCTTTCGTAATACCTCTTTAATATATTATATTTTATAATAGTAAAAATTATGTATGAAAATATATATTAATAATAATAATTTTTATTGATTTCCTCTTTTTCAAGAAGCACTTTTATTTTGCCAAAAAAAACAGAAACATATTACAACTAAAGATATAATACATTTGTTTCAAGTGATTGACAAAGAGGAGTAAATGAGCTACTATAGAGTAATGTATTATACAGATAAATCTAGCTGTAAAAGATATAAATAAGATATACATATTGATAAATATACATAAATCCATATTTGCATGTGTTTTACATGGTCATTGTGCGATACTACAATTTCTTCTGCTCTTGTTGTTTGCTTTTGCAGAGACTTCTAAACCCATACTGGTCTTTTGTCTTTCCAGATTTTTACATTTGAATGCTTTAATAATACTCCATATATAATAAAAAGAGCTCTTTTGAATTAAAGAGTATTTGATATATAGACTATATAAATATCTCTTTCAATTCTACAGCTAAAATGTTTTAACAAAAAATACTTACAGTTGGTTTGAGATACAGTCATATTAAAAAAAATAAAATAAAGATTCAGTAAAAATTCATAATATTTATGAGTCATACCTTTTCTACTTGAAATAATAACCTTGCTTATAATATTTTACCTATCGGCATTTTATATTATAATATCTAACAGACAATAAGTATATATCTAAGACTATTTTAAAGCAAACTAGAAGTCTCACTCATACAATTGATTCAAGACTATTGAAAGCAAATCCAAACTATATCTGTCTTTACTACTATAGTATTTCAATTGCGAGAATCCAAAAAGATGATTTTTATTTTGGATAAAGAATAGAAATTGTTTATATATTGAATATTTATAATATGTCTTACAATAGATGTAGATCCTATTTGAAGATTATTATAAAGACCAAGAAGATAAATGTGCGAGTAGTAATAATATAATATATAAATCTTATATAGCCAATAATTAGTATAACTAGCATTAATTCCGACATACACTTATTCACAGACTATATTATAAGAGTACAGTTCTTTGCTATTATTAATATACAATGCGTTTCCTTCTGGATCTTTCTATAGTCTAAATGGCTTAGGTAAATTCTAATATATACCCATGTCATTGGGCTATTCTACAGAAATTGTATACTTCTTTTGCTCTTTGCTTTTGCTATAAATATATAGAAAGATACTAAAAAATATAAAAGTGAATATATGTAAATTATATAGCTCATAAATGAAAGTGTACTTTATTTGTTTTATAGCAGATATCTGCATGGAATATAAAACATAATAATATAAGCCTCAAGTCTACAGTCACTACATATGACATAGTATGTGACATAAGTTCAACGATTAAAGCAAGATGTTTTTTATGCACTGCTGTAAACAGGGGTTTTAAGATATATGATAGATAAAGAAAAATATTTGGTTCTCTATATAGCAGCAAAAATAAAAAATGAGACAAAAACAAATGGAAAGCAGTCTTTGGCTCAATTTCCATTTTAATACTAGTTTTATAGTCATAATATGTTTTTTATAATGATATTATGTGAGACATACTTTGACAGTCTTTCAGGTCTTCAAAAGACATCATTATATGTCTTACTATTGAACTATCGTTTTTGAATGAGTTACAATATGTATCATTTTCTACTATTGTCTTGATCCATACTCTATCTTTACATCTGACAAAAGATATTATTTAACTATTAGCTTTAATTCTCATATTATTTGTATAATTATTTAAGAGAAAAACGCACATAGGATATTAGAATAAAAAAAAAAGTCGATAAGTATATATTTTGTCTTGCATAGTTTTTGCTTTTTTAAAACACCTTTATTCTTTACGTTATAATTAAACAATAACATTTGTGTTTACATATGCTGTATTTTATTATATTAAAGGATTGCCACAGCTCATATATAACGGATTTTGTAGTATGAGACTAGAAAATCAATACAGAAATACTAAGCATTCTACAAATAAATATAATAAAGCTAATATAAAATGTATATTCTATATACGCGTTAAGCTCAATTATTAAATGATTAGTATGAATTATTCGTCTACTATATATATATTTTTTAGATATAGTAGTTGAAGATCATAATACAAGTCAGTTTAGCTTTATGAACCAGTCAATGCAGATACTTCATTATATTTTACATGATATGCTTTCTAAAGTACTTCAAAAAATCTTCACAAACATTCTTAATGTTATATCCTAATACTTTTTTTAAAATAAAAAGCAAGCTTAATACCAACAATACTATTATATTATATTTTGAAAAAAAAGATCCAAGACAAATATTGTAAAAAAAATGTTTATTATAACAAAAAAAATACAATAGAAAGAGAGAGGACCAAAGAGAGAGAAGGAGGGCCAGAGAGAGAGAGAGAAGGCCAGAGAGAGAGAGAGAGAGAAGGCCAGAGAGAGAGAGAGAGAAGGCCAGAGAGAGAGAGAGAGAGAAGGCCAGAGAGAGAGAGAGAGAGAAGGCCAGAGAGAGAGAGAGAGAAGGCCAGAGAGAGAGAGAGAGAGAGAAGGCCAGAGAGAGAGAGAGAGAAGGCCAGAGAGAGAGAGAGAAGGCCAGAGAGAGAGAGAGAAGGCCAGAGAGAGATAGGGAGGGCCAGAGAGAGAGGACCAGAGAGAGATAGGGAGGGCCAGAGAGAGAGATGACTGTTATTCTGGTGAACAGTTTTTTACTCGAAAGCAGGGTCGCTTTTTTGGTGGTAGAGATTTCTCGCTGTAATCCGAAATCTTCTTTTTATTCACCAAAGTGATCTTTAGTGCATTACTATTGTTTGCTGCACAGACGCTTCTGGTGACTATGGATAACAGTTATAAAAAAATTAATTATTGAATTTTAAAGAAATTAGGTGTAATTAAAGACTTACTCTGGAGCTTTGCGAGTTCAATTGTTAGAGAATTAGGTGATGTTTTTGAGAACATGTTGGATAAGATAAAAAAACAGTCTTTCTTTTTGAAAATATCCTCATTTATATAGTTTTTTTTTTCTAGGCGGATTTTATTTTTCTTATATACTAAATGAACGATCTGAATAGCTGTATTAGCATAAATTGTGTTTTTATTATATTATATTTACATAATGATATTTGGAGACCTATATGACTCACTAGTACTTTTTTATGACTCTATGACATATAGATATGATCTTTTCACAGATATGATGACGGAATGAAACCTTTGAATGCAATACCAATACATTTGACGTAGAGCTTTGAAGAGTATGAAGCAATAACCAAAATCATTGTGTGCTGATACAGTCACAACTAATGATGCTAGGTAAAATGAGAAAATGATATAATTCTGTAATTTATATGGAGTAAAAGCTCTCATATATAAAAAAGAACATCATTGATTTACCAATTAATATTATCCAATATTATGTAAATACAAGACACGTCTGTGACTTATATATGTTATGAGAGGGAGAATATTCTGAGGGATATTTTATATTCAAAGAAACAATATTTTGCTATGAAAGATTAGATCCCTTGTCATAAGAATACTGTCTAGTATACAAATAAACAAATGTCATATACAGAAATATAATGGCAATTTATCCTCTAAATAAATCGATGCGCTTCCAAAAAGAATTAAGAGAGCATAGTAAGATTTGAAATGACTATGAGATTAAGCATTTACCTTGTATAATTAGTTTAAAACCATATTAAATATACTGTCATATAATATATATAATCTCTTGAATTCATATGTTCTATTATTATATACAGAAATATCACAAAATAGCTATTGATTCTATAAATATATATGCTTAAATGTACCAGTCTTTGAATTTACAAGTTTTTACAGCTTCTATATACATAATAAATCAAGCAGTTGATCTTTAAATAAAGGCAATGTCTATTCACACATTCTAATTTATTTCAATTTTCTTTAATATTACTTCTTGGGACTATACCTACTGTAGTCCGTTTTCGCAATAGTTTTATATATATGATATATTCACTTATTCTAACTACTGACATATAAGTGGTTCATTTAAAAGATGTATAATGTATTAGTAATATATGTAGTGTTTTATTACTTCCTATTTAAGAGCTCTATTTTGGCTTTATATTTCACTTTTCTATAACATATATTGCAGATAGACATAAAAAACAATTTATTGAGAATAATAACACACTTAATTGTAGAAGTGTAAATTACAAAGCAGAATTTAATTTCCGTGTATTATCTGCTATGGTAATGGGCTACCATTTTTGCAAGACTTTGGACTTCCTTGGGTAAAAGGCAATTGTCTTTAAAAGGCCTGCTTTCTTTCATTGCTCAGAAAGGTCTTCCGGTTTTCCAGATTTTAGCGTTTGAACGCTTTAATGGGGCCCCATAATGAAGGGAAAGTCATGTGTTGATACATGCAAATTATAAAGAGATGATTTATTTAGATCTAAATATCTTTATTGTTATTTAACAGAAAATACTTACATTGGCTTGTGTTGAGAGCATTTTATTTAAAAAAATTAAGTAGAATAAAAATAAAGCAGTAAAAAACCAAATTATTCATGAATCCTGTCTTTTATAGCTTGGGTAATAGTCTGAATGACAATATTTTATATATTATCATTTTATGTCAAGATGTCTTATAGAGAATAACCATCGATGAGTCCCTTGTAAAACGAATTGCAAGTTTCACTCATACAAGTGACGCAAAGATGTTAAGAGTTAATTCAACGTCTACCTTCTTTTGCCAATATATTACTTCGATTTAATAAGCCAATATTGTTATTTATATTTTAATCCATAAGTTAGATTTATAAGTACATTTAGCATGTATAATGTATTAAAAATAGTCACATATGCTATTTAACTGTCATGATAAAAGCTAGAAAGATAAATGCACGAGTGGTAATGCTACGAGAAAGAAATATTCCATAGCTAGTAATTATAATTATCATTGATTCTGGCAGATAATTATGCAGAAACTATATAATATGTAAGAGTGAAGCTTTTTTTAGAGTACGAGTATCACGTATATACTAACTCAATGTAAGTCTTTTCAAAAGAAGCACGAAATACTATAATACAAGGGAGAAAATCTTTACGGATAATATACTATACATATACAAACAAATTATAAAAAACAGTCAACTAACACTAGCTTTCGTAGAGTATTGTTAAGTAATAAATATATTTAGTCATTGGAAAAATTAGTACCAAGTAGCTTAAAAATTAAGGTAATATAAAGATATCACTTCAAAACAAACTCTAGGATTGATTAATACATATTACATATAGTACATATAGAAAGTTCTGTATATATAAAGAGCTATAAAGAGATAGTAAATATATATATAATATAGATAGAAAGAGAAATATATATAAATAAATAAAGATAATAATCTGTAATATTACACGCTCTAGCTTTTTGGCTGAGAACGTAATACACTTGCACTGTCTTAGTAGTGAGATGTGATGTTGTGGCTTGTGTGGTGTAAGGGTTGGTGAAAAAGATATAAATAAAAAAAGGAGAAAGGGGTGGTCAGATCAACTCTTGTAGCCTTCGTAGCAAATAGCAGTGCTATTCAGATCAAGAACCAGAGGAAAGAGGAGAAGAAAGATATAAGTATGTGAAAGACGCCCTTTATTGGATTGATTTGTTTAGAGCTATATAGTTTTTCTGAAATAAGTTGATAGCAGGTCATTGAGATAATTTGATAATTTGGATAATAAGAATATGGGAACTTGTGACGTTTAGAACGGAAAGATAAAACCATGGAAAAAAACTTTGATATGAGCAAGTCATGAATGAAGTAAAGATAAGGAAATACTTAAGATAGAATAAATTTGGAAGCTTGTTAGACTGTTACTTGCGTTGGCCAGGTATGAATAGATCAAATGAGTGTTGCCAAAAACCGATCTTGTCCAAAATTGACTGTGTCAGTAGCAACGAGTCATTAGCAAACTGATATATCAAATTAGGTAAAGCATATATATATAAACAGATATCCTATCTTTTCTTTAATAATTGACACTCTTGCAATACCTCTCTTTGCATTTTCAAATTCTTTTCTTACCGCATTATGTACTATAATACTAAACAATTTTCTCACCGTCACTTGTCTTTTTTGTACGGGCATACTCTCAAAGAAGCTTGGAGCTCAATTATTTAGCTACTTTTATTTTTGTCGATGTTCTTTTCCATGTTACATAAACATTAACACTAGAATCTCACACAAATATAAGTTGGAGATATCCTAAATATATGATATAAGTAAAATATATCTGTTGGGAATAGGAATTAACTTAGCCAGCGAAGCTTCTCAAGATCAATATAACGGTGGGATGAAGTTCAGGGGAGCAGTCCGAACAAATGGTATTGTCATATTTATTATACGCCAGACCCATTATGTTACCCTAATATCTATTCTCAGAAAGGTTAACCTTATGGGCTTGAAGCTAAATGATTATGCTCATAACTTATTACACGATTAGTTTTAAATAATGTATGGGCTATGTATTCTTGTTAATTGAAAAAGACACATTTTACTACATATATGAGAGCTCTACTATGGATAGTACAAGCTCTTATCGATACACCTTCAGCTAAAAACAAATAGTTAATTTACACCTGAGAATCTTTTGACTTTTACTCATGTTCCTGCTCTCAAACATCGAATGTACCATTTCCCAATCTTCTAATGTAGCCCTACATATAAAAGCGGTGATCCCGGTAGTTATTTTGAGAAATGTTTATGGTACTTCCCAAAATCACCACCGGAACTACCACTCATCTCCAATAGTCCAATACTACTAATATATTTTAGTTTAGTACTACTATTATTAGTATTCTTGTAATTTTATACTTTTAGATCTAAATTGCTCAAAGAGCATAACCTTGTTACAATGTGAACATATTTTGTATAATATTAATCTTGCGACTGTATTGAACTTCCAAAACGTCTTCAATCTCTTGTAGCATGATAGTACAATCATATATTCACTTTTTCTATTTAATTTGAAAATAGCTTGAGACTAAGCTAGTATGTTTTGGAAAGGTATAGTTTGAGAAGGAAACTGACAATCTTCAGAAGAGTGACAAGGGCAAGAAGAAGAATACAAATACTCTAACTTGATTATCAAAGAATATTCTTAAAATGCAATCTGGTAAGTTATTACATTTTTTAAATAGCTTGGCAAACTATTTTACTACTTCTATTATCGTACTACTTTGAGATAGAGAAGAAACCTTTACTTTTGGACCACAAGAGCAAAGAAAGATAAAAAAATAAAATTTAAATATAAATAAAAGAGGAAAAGAAGTGCTAAATCAAAATATAGCTTAGAAACAATCCCTGAATCTCCTGAAAGGTTCGCAAAAAATAATTTACTGATGTATCTGTCTTTTATTATACTGTAGCTCTTATATATATATCACAATATTATACTAAATGCATTAACCAGTTTGGGTATTTATAATAATTAATTAATTAGATGTATCTACAAATGAGGTCTGAATTCTGTTCCAAAAATTAATATCTTATATAAGTATCAGTAAGTAATAAGGGTGGACAATAGGAATTTTTTAGAAAATTCGCTTCTTCTTTGAGTAAATGTATTTGTTAAAAAAATAAAACTCAGAAATTTTGAATTTTTTAAAAGGATCCACTTTTTTGTGGGTTTTTTTTTTATAAAAAAAAGAATTTTTTTACCAAAAAGAGATGATGAAGTTCAAGGCGTTGCATGTCATAATTTTTTTTCAAAAATTCGCTAAAGATAACCGCTTTTTTACCACTTTTTCATTTTTTTTTGACTTTTTTTTCTGCAATGTTATTGGATTAGAAGGAATTAAAAAAATGGAATTTTTTCGAGAAAAATTCCTATTGTCCACCCTTAATATTTTAAAGTTGCTTAGGATATTAAATAGGTTTTTTTTTTCGTAAGATAATCTTTCAAATGTCATAAGATCAAAAGGGTCTTTGTTTTACGTAAGTTTTTGGTCTTCTTTTACATTATAAGTATCTACGCATATTACAATCCAATTTCATAAATATACTTATTAGATTATAAGATGCTATTACATATATGTGTGTGCAAAACAAGAAAAAGCCTGTTTACTTTGGTTATAACAAAATAGAATAGAGATATTAAGAAATAAGAAGTATTTTTATTAAGATATTGAGTGGAGGGTAATTTACAAAGGAGAATACATATATAAGATTAAATATTAATAGAGCTTAAGATAAATAAGCATTTTACAAAGGAGACTTTTCCTCTGACATCTCTCCCTTGGACTTATCAACAGCAGCTCTGTTGACTTCCTCACGAATACGTTCAATTTCTTCGTGATGGGCGGCAAGGTACTCGGTATAGTTAAGGTTGGTAACAATCAAAGGACCTTTGAAAATGACTTCCATTTCTTCGAGAGAGAGACCCTTGGGCTCAGGAGCAAACAGAATTACCCACACAAGCATACCAATACCAATCGCACCGTAGATTAGGTATGTACCCCAGGTGATACTGTCCATAAGTACAGGTGTAACCTGACCGACAACAATATTACCAATCCAAAGTACGGAGGATGCCAAAGCAAAACCCTTGGAACGGATACGAAGAGGGAAAATTTCGGCAATGTAAATCCAAGCAACGGGAGCCCATGTAGTGGCATAGAAAGCGACAAAGATGAAGATAAAGGCAATGACAGCGTTCTGAGCATTTGGATTTTCAGACATGTTGACAACATGACTCATGCTGGCCTCGTCCCATTCTTTGTACCCACAACCACCGTACAGACCAGCGATAATAAAGAAGCAGACGCACATTCCAGTAGATCCCCAGATCATCAGTTTTACACGGCCCACTCTGTCGACAAGAAGCATGCCAGGAATACAGAAGACAACCATGACAATATCTAATTAATAGCTTTGAGTATATTCGCTAATAGGTTAAATTAAACACTGGTTTTAAACTTACAATTGATACCGTTTGCCATCAAAGACATTGATCCTTTAAGACCGGCTTGTTGGAACATAAAAGCAGCGTAGTACATAATAACGTTCGCACCAGTAAGCTGTTGAAAAATAGCAATGGAGCATCCAACCCAAAGTACACGATGATTTCTAGAATCTTTCAAAAGATCTATATAACTTCCGACAGAAAGATTATTTTCGAGGACAACTGAATCTTTGATTTCCTTGAATTCTTGCTGAACATATGGGTGATTTTGGTCGCCATTTCCATGAACTTGAGCCAGGACCAGCATGGCTTCATCGTATCTACCCTTCTCAACCAACCAGCGGGGAGAACGAGGTAAGAGAAAGGGACAGAATGCAAGCAAAATAGCAGGTAATATCTGGACCATGTAAGGGATACGCCACGACCAATCACTATGGATGTAAATGGTTCCAAAATCAAGCCATCCAGATACTAAGAGACCAATGTCAACCATAAGCTGCTGAAAACCAACAAGACGACCGCGGATTTCTTTGGGTGCCAGCTCGGCGTTGTACATTGGAGCTACCAAAAGAAAATAGGTAAATGTCTGTCCGATCAGATAAAAATTAATGTTTAGAGAAACTTACACAGTACGGAACAAGCACCGACGGAGAGACCAGAGACGAATCGACCGATCAACTGCATCTCAATGTTCTGGGAGGCTGTCTGAAGAATACCACCAACAATAAAGATCAAAGCAGAACCAGCAATGGTATCACGACGACCGAACCGATCAGAGAGAACACCCACGATCAAGCATCCAAACACAGCACCACATCCCATAAGAGAATTTAAGGCACCCTGAGAAAACAAACTTTAATAAGAGTCTAACAATATATATATATATATAATACATGCTACCGCCTGAATTGCCTACCTTGATTGCCGGTGTCAATTCATAAAAGTATTCTTGGAAGTAAGGCATAGCCATCACACCACTGGTTACACCGAAATCATAACCAAAAAGGAGTCCACCAAGGGCTGCAAATGCAGTGATACTATTAATTTACAAGAAAATGGAGCGATTAATAAGAATATTGATTTATTAATGTTTTTTTATATGCATGTTTTGCTTACACATAAAGAATGAAGCCAGCTTCTGACCGAATGTTAGGGTCTCCTTTTCCACCTGAGACTGGTATGATTGGAGACATCTTTTCGAATGTTGTTTAAGAAAAAGATAGAGATAAAGAGGTAGTAAATATTGTGCTTTTTATATACCCAAGATTTGTCTTCCCTTCTCTTCCTGGTTTCCCGTCATGTAACTCTATTAACTATACTATCCAAAAGTCAATTGAGGAAACCCCTTTTCTCCATATGGCCATTTCTCCAACCATAATCTTCTGTGTCGCTCGATGGAGAATTTCATGTGGGGAAAAGGACTGGGTGACCTGAAATGGGTGACCATCTTTATGCTCCGCGTGTATTCTCAAAGATCCGTTCTTTCCCCGCACTTCTCCACAAGTCAAGAAAGATGGGGTAGAGTTCCCCGGAAAAATTACAGCTAAGAAGAGTAAAGTCCATAAATCCGGTATATTCAAGACAAGATTCTATCAAAAAAATTTAAAGAAAAATCGTTGCTTCTGTCTCCTTGGCACTCCCTTTGTTCAAAAAGCAAATGTAAAGCTTTATATTTACTCGTGCCTTGCATTTCATCTTAGTTTTCTCATGGTGTGACTTTCGGAACACATCTGTCTTAATTAGAAAAGGGCTTGATGTCATGCCTGCTACTGGACAGACCACAGCTTCCAGTGTTTTCGGAAAATTAACCAAATTGGATTTTTTTGTTAAATCCTCCGGTAAGGAAGTCTAAACTTTATCCGTCTATTGGGCGGAAAAAGCAGGGCATGACCTTTAACAAAACACTGGGAGGATCTTGTTCAGAAAACCAGAGGATATAAAAAAAATAAGGCTCCGATATTCTCCTAATATATACTAGAGCTGTTTTGTGCCATATTATAGCAAGCCATTACTTACTCAAGTAAGAAAGGGATTGTATATATATATATATTATATGTCTATGAGTGTTAGTGAGTTGATGTCTGCAGTGCTCCAATTTAACTGATCCATGTTAGTTAGTTAATCAAGTCAAGGAGCTCAATTTTGAATAACAATACACTAGCTGCACTTGACTTGTAAATGAGTGTACGACATGGAGTTAGTCATTTTGGCCGCGGCTCCAATTGTACTTGCTTTGATTCCTCTTGAAGCGAATATAAACCATAAACATGAATCCCCAATTAAAGTCGGGACTTGACTGGGTCGAATTTGGACACCAACTAAATAGATCTTGAGAGTGTACCAAGTTATGTCGGGTACTTATTTAAAGCTTATTTGATCTCTTGTTCATGGATATTACTAGAATGATTGGTTCGACCTTTGAATTGTCTAACGTTCCTTTACAGGCCAAGAGTATATAAAATGTCTCGTACTGTGTATGCAAGAAGGATATACGAACCTTCAAATTTATGAATCCAACAATTGTTGGTACTTTATATGACACATCCTTTGAAATATATTAGATCCCTTCAAGTTGTAGCTCAGCAATCCCCTTGTCAGGTTACTTTAAATGTGCAAGGGTGCTGAAGTATAAACATACGATGAATAAACAACTCGATGGTGTGGCAAAAAGGGTTTGTGTTTTCGCAACTTAAAGTAGTATAAGTGGATGGTGTATTAAGCTTTTTTTCTCAAAAAAAAGTAAAATAAATAAATTTAAAATGGGATCCTATCTAAGGATATTTTCTTTAAACATTCCTGTATACAATTATATCTTGCTTACATGACAAAATAAATATAAAGGACTAGTTGTTAGGATGGTTCTTATTATCCATAACTAAAACAGTCTGGAAAACGAATGGGAGAAATACTTCAAAAAGTACCAAAGTATTCTACTATATTGTTACATGTCTTATTTTGACGTATCTCTATGTACATTTTACAAAATTCAGATACATTTTCCGAAAATAAAATATGTATAAAAAAGAAACTTTCTGTAACTCACTTAGCATTTTCTTGCAGCACAAAACTAATTGGCAGTACAATATTTCATACAAATAATACACGAATAATAATAATAATATATATATATATATATATAAATATTCTACATATATATGGGCAAAACAATTGTACATATTAATACAGACGTCATTCTGTGTGATATATATTGAGTTACAGACTTTTTATGGTGCTTTATGGATAGATATATTTTTCTTATATAGAAAAGTGATATTTAACACTGTAAGCTATACCAGGGATAATATAAAATAATGAAGTATGGTTTAGCTTTATGGAGAATTTTATCAATTTTATTTGAAAAGGGTCTAACTCAATACTTTGAAGGGTAAGCAAAAGTAAAGTCGGACAGAGAGCCTCTTTGATAGCCCATTAAGATTTTTCACAAGGCAAAAAAGAACGATGTTTTCCAATTAGAATACTTCATACATACACTTTTTTATTTTACAAGGATTAGAATTGTAATTAGATATAATTCTAGTTTTACGAATAGACGTTGCTTAAATCTCAATTTCAATAATTCTGTCTATTTAATCATTATAATTTTCGGATTTTCTTGTACATCCTCAAGAGTGCCAGTGATAGAGAGAATAAACTACATAGACACAATTTTGTTAAAGTCAATATGTATTATTATGTAAGCCTATAAGATATTTCCAATGTTTTATCATTATTATAGATTGTATTACATTCAACTAAAACCCCCATTATAGATATCTCTCCTTTAAAAATATATCTTTTGATACTTCAAAAAAATTGCTATCTTGTTATCGGAGCAATATCTTAATTATCACCTTTTGTGTGTGGGGAAATAGTTAGTTTGTGTTTAGCTAAAAAGATGAACTTTGAGAATCAATTCACGATTTAATAGACCAGTTTATGAAAGTAACAATAGTATCCCAATGAAGAAACGCACTCGTTTACGTCTATTCATAGTAAACGATGGTATACATTATGAATTATATATAGCATTTAAAAGTAATCGCACACTCATGTATATAGACATACAGAAAGAGATAAATATTCATGAATTAACCTTCGTACATAATAATGTAGCTTACATTTATAGAGATTCTAGAATACATGTCTGGTATGAGTAGTAAAAAAATGTTAGCAGAGATTAGTACACTCTACAATCCGTAGAGATATTTTCTCTACACTATATACTTTACTGACCTCGATGAATCAGAATACAGCGACTTATTTTAATCGCAGAAGAGTGAAATAAAGGCACATACACAGGCCCAAATTATATCCTTCCACCTCTGCAAGTATAAGGGCCTCAGCTTTCATTATCCTCCTATTATTTTGTTGTGAAAAGATTTTTTTGCTTTGTTTTCAAACACCATTAAATGAATTAATGAGATGGGATACATGGTATGCTCATTATTATACAATTAGCTACTAATGTTAACAATGAGCCCTTTTTAAAGAAGCTGCTTGTTTTTTCTAAAAAAAAAAAACAAGCGCAAGTACATTGTGTGTTTGTGATTAGATTATAATGCAGTGATTCTTCTCCAAACTTGGCAGACTGTAAGTTAGTCTTTGCCGTGTTTTTCAAGTAATCTCTGAAATTATTCAGCTCACAACTAAAGGCAGAGATAAATTCAAATGTGTGTTTGAATGGGATGTGAGTTTATCATTAGTCAGTGTCAAAAGTGATTTATTACTTTTGTTAGTTATAATGCGTGTAATTAGTCTATAGACAAATACATTATACAATATGTTTATGTGGGTGCGTAATTTGACTGCATTAAGAATCTGTTATTTAGACTGTATCAAACCTATTTGTTTCTTGATTGTAATCTCTGCAGGTTAATGCTTATAGAATAGTACCAAATGTAATTTGGATTGTAATGAAAAGAGAGTATGATGATGTGGCCTGTGCATCTTGGTGTCGCGTAAATTCAAATAAAAATAAAGCGCCTCTTACTTGGTTGGTGTTACTGACATGCAAAAGAGAATGAACAATGAAGTGAATGGTAATCTTTTGTATTGAAATGTAATGAAGGATTAGCAGCATTAATACTCATATGAATAATAATAATAATAATAATAATAATAATAGTAATAATATGAATAATAATTTCATGAAAAAAATAAACAAAAGTCACTAATCATTAATGAAAGGAATAATTATTATTTAATGATCAAAGGGAAAAAAAATAATAATGATTCTATTAATTAGTGAATTGATTTTCACCATTCATTAATTGAAGGGAACAATCTTTTATTAATGATCAAGGGGGGAAATAATAATAATTTTATTAATTAATGAATTGATTTTCACCATTCGTTAATTGAAAGGATTAATTTTCATTTATTTTATAAATGGGTGGACTAAAAAGATAGTCCAATTTATGGCCTGATCCACGTATCAGCCTTTATCCACCACACCTCCACCTGCGAAGAATGCGATGAACTGCCAATGCCACAGTCGTGCCGGCGCCAATTAGCGCTTATTTATCTGCCAGAAAAACTTTGCAGTCTTAATGGGTCAGAAGTGCAGTATTAGGCGAGTAGACGCAATCTTAGCGCCCCTCTTTCCCGCTTAGCCCTTTATGTGAAGAAAAAAATCTGAAAATTTGGACGGGTTGGCCCTTCTTTTATAGTTTTTTGGCCAGTTTTTTTTTTCTTTTTTTCTAGATGAGATGGACAGCCACATCTATTTTCATGTGATAGTGATAAGATGGAACCCCATAGAAGCTTTACAAGATAGCTTTCTGCCTTGTATGAAGAAAAGGTATTAAAGAAGTGTTGAAAAAAAAAGTGGTAAAGAAGTCCTCCAGTCTCCCCGCATTCCATATTCACTTTTCTGTGACCAAAGTACTACCGATCTTACAAAAGAAGCATTCCGTTTAAAAATATTTTGAGAGGAGTGCGATAAAGAGAAAAAAAGATGTGTACAACGAACATATATACTAGGCATTATAAATTGGGCCAATCAGGATATGTCATTTTACAATACACTTGTGGGTTTCTGCACTGACTCTATTAAACAGTTACAAAAAGCAACAAAGAATATGTTTAAATACACATGTACTCGCAAAAGATTCTGTAAAAAATATTACTGTATTGGCTAGGGAAGACACATCTTTAGCTGGATTTCTATACTTAATCTCCACTTTGAAATAATAATAATAATATTTAAATAGCGAGTGCCCTGTGCGCTGGTTGTGTTTTATCAAAAAAATGAATTTCGAGCAAAATGGCAAATTAAATACCGAAAATCCGATATATATCAAAATAAATCAAGCAAAGCTCTGCTGTATGTATAAGTAGCCTGGTAGGTCATAGTAAGATCCACAGGTTAAAAGTGATTTAGTAACAATTGCTCAAATATTGATTAAAAGGTCAATTTATTTCATTCGGAAAAGTCAATAATACTGAAATTTGGAGTATTCTTGTAGTAAAATGTATAGGTTAGAATTTGATTTCACTGTTAGTGGCAGGTGGTGTAATAACTTAATACAGTGTGTTTGCAAAATAATTCAGAAAATACTATTGGGATTAACATGAGCGTGTATTTTGTTTATCATTTTACGGTTTCGGTAACATTCGATTAGATTAGGATTTGTGCTTGAGACCATAGAGTGAGTAGGAGAAATAATGATTGTTGGATATTTTTTATGTAAGTATAGACTAAACGGTTATTTAGATTGAATGTGATATGGGAATACAAATGAGTTGACATACTTCATCTATACATATTGTAATAAATAGACATTTTTAAATAGCTAATATTAAGAACTTGTATTATTAGAGCATATCTTCTAGATAATGTTAAAGATTGGTCAGACGATATAGACCATATGAGTAGTATGGTATAAATACCACAAAAAACCCTGGTGTCTCTTCGCTAATGAACTGGTTACATAAAAATACTAAAAGACCTTGCTTGACCGATTTTGATGAAGGTCGGATTTTCGGTAATAGCTGTAACTGTATAGTGAAATAAATTGACATTGTGATCAATATTTGAGCAATTGTTACTAAATCACTTTTAACCTGTGGATCTTACTATGACCTACCAGGCTACTTATACATACAGCAGAGCTTTGCTTGATTTATTTTGATATATATCGGATTTTCGGTATTTAATTTGCCATTTTGCTCGAAATTCATTTTTTTGATAAAACACAACCAGCGCACAGGGCACTCGCTATTTAAATATTATTATTATTATTTCAAAGTGGAGATTAAGTATAGAAATCCAGCTAAAGATGTGTCTTCCCTAGCCAATACAGTGATATTTTTTACAGAATCTTTTGCGAGTACATGTGTATTTAAACATATTCTTTGTTGCTTTTTGTAACTGTTTAATAGAGTCAGTGCAGAAACCCACAAGTGTATTGTAAAATGACATATCCTGATTGGCCCAATTTATAATGCCTAGTATATATGTTCGTTGTACACATCTTTTTTTCTCTTTATCGCACTCCTCTCAAAATATTTTTAAACGGAATGCTTCTTTTGTAAGATCGGTAGTACTTTGGTCACAGAAAAGTGAATATGGAATGCGGGGAGACTGGAGGACTTCTTTACCACTTTTTTTTTCAACACTTCTTTAATAACTTTTCTTCATACAAGGCAGAAAGCTATCTTGTAAAGCTTCTATGGGGTTCCATCTTATCACTATCACATGAAAATAGATGTGGCTGTCCATCTCATCTAGAAAAAAAGAAAAAAAAAACTGGCCAAAAAACTATAAAAGAAGGGCCAACCCGTCCAAATTTTCAGATTTTTTTCTTCACATAAAGGGCTAAGCGGGAAAGAGGGGCGCTAAGATTGCGTCTACTCGCCTAATACTGCACTTCTGACCCATTAAGACTGCAAAGTTTTTCTGGCAGATAAATAAGCGCTAATTGGCGCCGGCACGACTGTGGCATTGGCAGTTCATCGCATTCTTCGCAGGTGGAGGTGTGGTGGATAAAGGCTGATACGTGGATCAGGCCATAAATTGGACTATCTTTTTAGTCCACCCATTTATAAAATAAATGAAAATTAATCCTTTCAATTAACGAATGGTGAAAATCAATTCATTAATTAATAAAATTATTATTATTTCCCCCCTTGATCATTAATAAAAGATTGTTCCCTTCAATTAATGAATAGTGAAAATCAATTCACTAATTAATAGAATCATTATTATTATTTTTCCCTTTGATCATTAAATAATAATTATTCCTTTCATTAATGATTAGTGACTTTTGTTTATTTTTTTCATGAAATTATTATTCATATTATTACTATTATTATTATTATTATTATTATTATTATTCATATGAGTATTAATGCTGCTAATCCTTCATTATATTTCAATACAAAAGATTACCATTCACTTCATTGTTCATTCTCTTTTGCATGTCAGTAACACCAACCAAGTAAGAGGCGCTTTATTTTTATTTGAATTTACGCGACACCAAGATGCACAGGCCACATCATCATACTCTCTTTTCATTACAATCCAAATTACATTTGGTACTATCCTATAAGCATTAACCTGCAGAGATTACAATCAAGAAACAAATAGGTTTGGCACAGTCTAAATAACAGATTCTTAATGCAGTCAAATTACGCACCCACATAAACATATTGTATAATGTATTTGTCTATAGACTAATTACACGCATTATAACTAACAAAAGTAATAAATCACTTTTGACACTGACTAATGATAAACTCACATCCCATTCAAACACACATTTGAATTTATCTCTGCCTTTAGTTGTGAGCTGAATAATTTCAGAGATTACTTGAAAAACACGGCAAAGACTAACTTACAGTCTGCCAAGTTTGGAGAAGAATCACTGCATTATAATCTAATCACAAACACACAATGTACTTGCGCTTGTTTTTTTTTTTTAGAAAAAACAAGCAGCTTCTTTAAAAAGGGCTCATTGTTAACATTAGTAGCTAATTGTATAATAATGAGCATACCATGTATCCCATCTCATTAATTCATTTAATGGTGTTTGAAAACAAAGCAAAAAAATCTTTTCACAAACAAGAGATAAAAATGATTATTATGAGAGGTCATGTCATTCCACTTGTAAAAAAGGCAAGGATACGGATTGTTTCTTTTTGTCCTTATCCGTGGGCCTGTGTGTGTGTGTGTATGTGTCTGCATATACTTCATTTCTTCTATAAGAAGAGTAAGCTGTAGTATTATGGTTACTTTAAGTCGGCAAAACATACAGTGTAGAGAAGAAGTTGTTTTAAAATTATTGGATTAAATTATATTTGTTAACACTATCATAAAGAGGTATGCCAAAAGGACTTTACATACTGAAGTCTCTAAACTTAAAAAAAAAAGACAAAATTAATATAGATACATATATATATAAAATGGCTTTGCTTTTATCTTACTTTTGATGTAAGCAACAAATGATTTTATACTTCAACAATAATAAAATCTGGATTAAATAGCTTCTGTAAAAGAATTAGGGGTGTTTCTTTAATGTAGAATATGACGATATTTGCTTTTGTACAGTCAAAGCTCGATATAGTGATACTGGTGGATTCAAATTTTATCACTATTGTGGTATACACACCACAATTGAGTGAAGAACAGACCCCACAACCAAACACTGGTTCCTTCTTGCTAATGAACCTGGCAAGTTAACAATCTCCGGAACTGTTACACACCAGACACACGTACACTACACACTCATACAGTGTAAACCAACCATTACGCAACAGGGATTTGAATTACAGGGATTTGAATAGTAGCAGATATAAACAATATTATTTTTGTCTCTTTAATAAATAACACTCTCACAGTATCTACTTTTCCCATTATTGAGATACTAACCCATAAACAATCCCGAATACCTCAATTATCACTATATCAAAAAATAGTGATAATAAGCAGGCACGGACCCAAATTTTCCAAAAAATTATCACTATATCGCGATTATCACTATATCAAATATCACTATATCGAGCTTTGACTGTATCGAATATCACTATACCGAGCTTTGACTGTAATGATTATTATTTTCTAATTTGCGTTATTATTTTGTGCATATTGGGCAGATACTTCTTTGAACACACATTAAAGCTAATTACATGATCCACTCTGAAGCGTAAAGCTTGCGTCTAATTCAACTTTAATGGGTTTCTTCCCGATATGTTTTTTTATAAGTTCATTTTTTCATTAGAGAACCCGTTGTCGAGTGAAAATTCTAAATTTTCACTCACTTTTGCTTTACGCGGCGATGTAAATTCCAATGAAAAGATGTAAAATTTTACTGAGGGAGGCCATTTCACCACCAAATCTTTATTAAGAATTGAGCTTGTTTTTCCACCTTCGAACATAAATCTAATATAGTCAAGAGCCTTCTCTATATATCTACTTAAGAGAATAAGTCTCGGAAAGCCAAGTTTATTAAGATGTATCTCTCTTATGTTTGTCACAGTACTTATGTTTTCATCAACTGTGGTTGAGTTTTTTCTTTTTTTTGACTGGGTTTCACTAATAACTCTTTTTTAGTAGTCTAGCAAAATATCACATCCCAACGGGTTCTCTATTATACGAATTTACAAGTAAAGTGTTGATTAGATTAAAATTTTCGCGAAAAACGAATTGAGATAAAAGGTAAAAAAGAATAAAAGAAAGGTTGATTTTAAATTTATATATTTTCTTTTTGTATGCTTTTGTACATGCTTCATTAGCAAACAAAACAAGATTTAGATTCGATTGACTTATTTTTTCTTGTTTACTCACTGGCTTGATATTGGGCTGCCACTAACAAATTCTGTATTTATAACCAGGATGTGGTTAGTGAACAACATTTGTATCCACAGCCTTTTCAGCTTTGATTTATTGTCCTTTAAAGAAAATATAAACCAATATTAGGTACAAAGTTAAATTCTGTTGTGATATGTCTAAAAGCTTAACGGTTGAACTTTTTCTGTTTTGTACTTCTTTTGAAACATTTACGATTGAATTCCCCTTTGTTATAAGAAGTTCATCTTAAAAGTTCAAATTTTTTATTTAATATCTGTATATAAACAGTGTATCTTGAATTACTATTGAACCTGTCAGGATCCTATCCTTAGGAAGTAACATATACCAAGTGCTCATACACTTCACACAGCTTCAGTGACAGCCAAGAATTAATCAAAGTGAATATTAAATTAAGAAACCAAATATCTATATAAACGGTTACCTTCTTTTTTTTATTAAGTAAACAATATCCGCTTATCTCAATCTACACCTATAATTTTTACTATATCTGGAAAATTAATTCTGAAAAATGGCTTTCACTTTGTAGCAGAGAATTGAAACACTAAGAGCATCCACAGCGGTGTATGTAAACTAAAAAAAATGTGTAGATTTAAGAAAGTACTTGGATCTTATTTTTATAAGCAGAAACTAAATGGTCTTTACATTACCTTAATTGAGAGCATTTATAGCTTACTTGATAATTGTACATGCTCATTTATTCTTCAATATACCACTTTTAAACCAGTTTAAAGACATTCTGTAGAAGTAAGGCATGTTAATTGGTGCATGAATTTCTCCTATATATATATTAACATGTTAAGCTGTATACTTATCATAATAAGAGAAAAATGTATTGGGAATTTTCCAAACTAAACTAATAGCATCTCCTTGTCAGTGCACAGCTTGTATATTGTATGATTATTTAAATATTCGAGCTTTAGAACATATATGGCTTCCTCTAATAAAAACTTTCCTACCATACTTTCACTGTTATAAATTAGGTACTTCAAAATAAGAGCTACTTAGTGTTTATTTGTTTTTTTAGGATCTATTTGTAGTTAAAGACCTCTTGGCCTATGCTTTTTTTTCAGAAATTAAATTTGTGCAACACCGATTGTACCCAGCTCACGTGCCTATAGTAGATTTAATGAATATTGAACGGTACCAGAAATATAAAAAATACGATTTAAGTAGCTAAAGTTTATGTACTGAAAGCTTATGTAGTCTAGTTCAGCTGCAGTGATGAACATACATACTCTAAAGTGGCAGTCCACATACAAGATCGGCTACATACCCCTTTGTGCTCTTGAAGGACCGATTATACGTGACGTAGAATAGCGGGTAATGAATATTCTCCAAGTGAGATTCAGCCAGCGCGTCACTCGAAAGGTGCCGTTTGGTTAGAGTTTCCCTTACCTGGATAAGCCCTATTGTATTTCAAGCATCATCATGGTAATTTCAACTATTAATTTATTCTCCAATCGCTAACAATGTCTTTCTGTTATCTAGGTCGTTTTAGCCGCATCAATCGTAACCAAGAGCGGAAAAGGTGAGCACTCCTTTATATATACCTTAAGAAATAGAAGCCAGCAAGAGGTTCTCATCCCAGCTCATTCCTGCCAGCCGTAATTTCTCGCCAATTTCGTGAGATGCAGCGTTCTCGCATTGAGGGTCTCTTGGCATCCTTCCCAAAGCTCACCAGCACTGGTCATCAACACACAACAGTCGAGACTGAGCACGTTCGTTATGTCTATCAACCCCTGGATGATCTCTTTATTGTCCTGATCACCAACCGTCAGGTAAGAAAGAGAATCCGCATTACTCTGTCAGCCTATAAAAAAAGAAGACAGAGAAGAAGAAAAGTATTCAAGTCTGACGCATGAATATAGTCCAATATTTTGCAAGATATCGAGTCACTTCACTTGTTTGCACGTGTGGTAACAGATATTTGCCGTTCGACTGATGAGCGTGATATCTTGAGCAAGTCTTTTGAGTTGTTGTGTGCTTTTGATGAAATTATCTCGGAGGGTTACCAGGAGAATGTTAATCTGGCTCAGGTTAAAAGTATTATTGAGATGGAGAGTCATGAAGAAAGAATCCAAGAAATTATTGCTAGAGTAAGTTTATACATACTAACGATTAAGGTTGAATGTATTTTCTACAAAATACTAATTGCATGGTATTGGGAGTAGAACAAGGAACAGGAGGCAAAGGAAGAGCTCAAAAGACGTGCAAAGCAATTCGAGATGCAGAAAAAAGAGGCTGCCAAGCGTGGCCAGGGATTCATGCAGGGAAACTTCAGTGCCAACAATTATATGGGTGGACAACACTCACCTTCTATTGATCCAACCATCCAGACTTCTGTCGAGTCATCGACAATGTCTTTTGGGTAAGAGAAATAGCTGTTTTTACTTAGAAGAAATACTTATGCAAGTATGCGAGTAGAAGATCATCCACACCCCCTGTTACTTCCAAGGCCAAGGGAATGCAATTGAGCCGTAAGCCAAAGACAGCGGATCTTTTTGAGGCCATCAAGACAGAGGTTGAGCCTGTAAGAGCTGTACCCAGTGCATCTAGTGCGCCTACAAATTCTACTGGTTTTGCCAAACACCAGGAAAGGTAGGCACAATGTTTGCTTTGTTTTAACAAGTATGGTAGAATAAAAAGTAAACGTGGAATAAACAATGTCTTTTTTGTTCAAGTGTTCACATTGATATCGAGGAACGTGTTTCTTTGGCTGCCAACAAGGATGGTGGATTAGAACAAATGGATATCAAGGGTGTTTTGACTCTCCGTGTGGTTGACAATGCTAGTGCACGTGTACGCATTTCTATCCGTGCCACTGAAGATTCTGCTATCCAGTTTAAGGTAAGCCACATCTATATAGATGTAAGGGTTTGATAGGATATATAATTAAACATACTATTTGATCTCTTCCGCTCTTTCCAAAAAAAAAAGACCCATCCAAATGTAGACAAGGTTGCTTTCAAGAATGAAAATGTTGTACAAATGCGTGATTTAGCAAGACCATTTCCTACAAATCAAAACCTTGGCGTTGTCAAGTGGAAGTACACTACTCGTGATGAGACTGCTGTCCCATTGTCTGGTAATAAGTCTATTGTATAAAATGCTGAAGTGTTAGGTACTAAGACAATTTTATTAAAAGTCACTTGCTGGCCTTCCCCTGCTGGCGATGGCACTTGCGATGTGAACGTTGAGTATGAACTTGAGGCAGATCATCTTGAGTTGCGTGATGTAGTAATCTCTGTACCTCTTCCGTAAGTATACTTTGTGGTTGAAAGGCAAGAAATTCTATTCACTAATTTCAACTGCGATGTAATGTCTTTTTTAGTGCTCAACCTATTGCCAACGTCAACCATGTCGATGGCTCTTACTATGTGGATCATGAACGTCATGTATTGGAGTGGAGACTTCCTGTAGTTAGCAGTGCCAACAAATCGGGTTTGTTGGAGTGTAACATCCCTGGTGACAATGCTGATTCTTTCTTCCCTGTTATGGTATCATTTGTGAGCGACAAGCTTATCTGTGATGTTGATGTAAGTATAAAAATAAAAATTGTGAATATTATATATGCTAAAGCCTGGATTTTGTGCTCTATACAGGTGTTGCAAGTTCAAAATCTGGATACAAATACCCCGGCCTTATTCTCTAAAGAAGTATTACTTGTAGCAGACGACTATATTATCGGTTGAAAAAGAAGAAAAAAGAAAATACTATTCGAAAATAATTATGGGATGATTAAAGAAGATAAACACAACAGCCACACTTGTATAAAACACACAGAAAACAGCAAAAACTCTTTACAAATTGCTCTTTAGATCAGTGCCAAAGAGCCACAACGGATCACACCAAAAAGTCTCTTTATTTCTCAATCTTTAATTTTATTCTTGTTTTTCGTAATGGATTCGGCCACTTGGCTTTCTCATTAACTTCTAGTTTTGCAATAGTTGAGGTACACCCTTTTGTGTACATATTTTTGCCCTGTGCCTTGAAGTACATTAAATTCATCTTATTCTACTTTTGCCCTAATTATTATTATTTTATGTGTACAGTAATGATCCGAAATATTATAGATAATCATCTTTATTCTTTGTTTTCCTACTTAGGATGATGTTTGAGTGCCAACACGTCCGTATAAGACAGCTTGAAGGCTAATGTATTATTGGAAGCAATATATATGTGTGTGATATAAGGACCAGACGCATTAAAAATATGCTAAATAAGAATATATGTTGCCATCAGATTATAGCTTATTAGTTGAAAATCAATTAAACCATTCGTTAATTATACTACTTTATAGTTAGCGATTGTAATTATATTATTGTCGCATGTTTTTAGACTGACAGGGTAGTCCTATCCAAAGACCAAAAAAAGAAAAATAATATATATATATAAGGTGTGACTATGGTCCCAAAGGAGCCAACAAGCAAGAGGGGGCGGTGTTTCTAAATGCGTGTTTTTGGTTGAAGCTTTCAGGAGTGGAGCGGCTGCCCAGAAAAGAAAGGGGAGGTTCTATACTCAGCAATCGCAGGTTTCCCTTTCCTGACGGCTCAAAAAAGGAAAGAAAAAAAGAAGAGAATAATAATGGCAACGGATGCGATACGTCAGGCCATAATCGCCAGTTTATTTTCCTCGGATACCGGTGGCAAGTGATGCCAATGGAGTTGAATTACGACCAAACACACAACTCATCCGAGAAAGGTTGCTGAATTATAGGAGGAGCAGAGAGACTCTTGATACATGTTAAAGTCTTTGAAGATGTCAAACAGACAGATGGTGGTGGAAATGTCCGATCGCCAAATATTATGGGCAAACCTCGATACCTCTGCCTGACGCGTGAGTTGATGATGAAGTCGGATGATCTTAGACTAACTAGTAGCTTAGAAAAAAGAAATAAGGTTCGACTTTACAAGACCAAACGCAACCAGGCAGGAACTTTTAGTATAGGAAAGGCATGGTCATTGGATGATATCCGACAGATCGAAGTTATTGATGTAAGAAAATATCCTTGTAAATAAGTCGATGCTTATGAATCGTTATAATTTTAGGCAAATCAATTTGCTATGACCTTAAACAAGCAGTATCTTTGGGCAGTGGAGATACCGCGCGACAAGATGATTTTTTTGGCACATGTAGTAGATGTAAGAAATATTGTTGCGTGTTTGTCCAGCAAGACAAATTGAAAGAAATGTCTTTTTTTGTGTTATTTGGATCAATGAATAGGCATGCCAACGATTCTTAAGCAGAGTACCAAAACTAGTCAACGTAGATGAAGCATATCTTTTACGATGTAGGCCTTGAAAAGAATACATATGCATTTATGTTTTTCTTCTTCCTTGTCTTGATTAAACTAATATATGTATATTTATACTTATACTTATATTTATACCATTCATAATAGTTCTTAACAACTCTACATCTTTACCCGTGTCCCCAACGACAGCCTCTCCGCATATTCAATCACCATCTATCAACAGTGATGATGCATCGGCTAATATACCTTACTCACAGCACGATGCCTCATTTCAATCTCTAGCACCTCCTGCACCATATGGCCCACTTTATCCAGTCCAAAATTCAGATCGAAACTTGGGAATGGTCGATAGCCCTATGGCAATACAATCTCCTATGTTACCCCCTCCACCAATCATTTTAGCACCTCCTCCTCCTCCTTCTCCCTCCAGTAAGTACATAATATGAAATGGTATAACAAGTACTTTTTGTTTAAATAGAACGGTTTTAGCCCGTATAGACGATTCTCCGCGTATATTGATGGAAGCCAAAGAAAGAGAACGAGAGGAACGTAAGGAACGAGATCGTGCTAGAGAATTACGACGAGAACGAGAGAAGCGAGAAAAGGCTGTCGAAGAGGAAAAAGGTAAATAAACTAAGAATAAAATCATAGGGAGAAGAAGAGGAGAAAAGAAAAGAAAAAGAAGTTAATCTTTATTAATGGGAATTATTAGCAAAACGAAAACTCATGGCTGACATGCAAGATAAGATGGCCGAACAGGCTTCGTTGATGAATGTGGAAGAATTGCTGACGGACTTTAACTGGAAAGCGAGCGGTAATGCAGCTGCACTTGAAAAACGATTATTGGGTGAATTACATGCTCTGGAGGCTGTAAGTTTGACCTACACAACCGCAAGTACTTGAATATAGTCATTGGCGATCTAAAATTTGGGATTATAGGCAAATGTACACGCTATTATTCAATCAGATGAAAGAGTACGCTCAGTGGTACAGCACATAGATAATGCACTGGACGAATTAGATAGTATGGAAAGCTGGCTATTACTGTACAGCGCTGAATTGAATGCAAGTGTGAATAATATTAATAGCAATAATAAAAGCACGCTTGTCAGTACTAAATTTATTCAATATAGAGTATGGGCGATGATATTCGTGAGATCGAATCTCAAAATAGAGGTCTTCAGATCCTCACTTCAAATCAGCATCATCTAATCACGGAGCTGGATGAATTATTGGTAATACTTTGTTTTCAAAAAAAAGTATAGTATATACTTGCTTGATCTCTTTTGACAATGTCATCATGTTATTTTCTTTAAATACTAGAGTGCTATATCTATTCCACGAGCATGTCTTGAGAGTCTCAAATTTGATCCAATGGATACTGTAGATGATATTGAACGTATACAATCTTCAGCTGAACGCCTTCAAAAAGTTCTCAAAATTAAATTGGATGGTGGTCTTCAGGATATGCATGCAGTGCAGGAGAAGTTAGAGACCTATAATGTACACAGTAACACGTTCTGCTCTCGCATCAACGATTTCTTAAAGAAACAGTTTGATCAACAGGTAACTAATCTTAATGCATGGCCATCTAATCGACGACTTGTCTAATAAGCAATTGACATATTACTGACAAACAAAAACAAAAACAAAATATAAAGGCCAAAATCCTAGCAGATTCCAGAACAAGATCTCAGCCTACTGTATCTGTGCGAAAACCACAATCTATTGTAGCCCAGCCTCACGAAAGTGTTGAAGATGGATTAATCCGATACCAAGGATTTTCTCTGTGGGAAAAAGAGTTGGAACCACGCATGTACAATGAACTACAAAGAGTAAGTTTAAAGTAAGACATTAAGAAGAGACGGAGATTGTCTAATCCGAGAAACTGGCTGTCATTAGTACTATGCACAAACCATGGCCCCTTTATACGAGAAAGATATTCGTGAATTAATGGATGCCACCCGTGGTTTTTACTCTACATTACGTAACCGAGGTCTTGATGAACTTGAATACAGTAAGTTCTCTGTGTAGCTATTGATATTTAGAGTTTTCAGTTTCTGTGTAAGGGATTTTTACACTACTTTAATAGTTTTTAGACCAGAAGAGTCGAGGCCAGTACGTGCACTTGCTTATGGGGCGGATAAACTTCGAGGAGGAGATGAATCACGAACACATCGCTATCGCCATATATTACGTGGATCTGTCGAAGGCATGAATTCTCCCGGGCTAACCGCAGCAAGTGGAGGTAACACTCGTGGCGGATTGGATGAAGAAGAAAAACTGGCAGATGATGTAAGTCTAGATTATATATATATATATAAGAAAATTAAACGTAAATTCTGCTTTATTTTGTTCAGGCATTCTCTCAAATGATTAGTCAAGGAGCTATGCTGGTCGGCCGAGAGCAAAATTTTATGAGTGATCTCTTCCAGATAGCACCAAATGCACCAAAATCATTTTTGGAGCGTGGACCAGTCTTTACACAAGTTCCAAGTGTAGCAGATTTGTGTGAACGACGAGAGAAGATTCGAGATGTCAAGATTTCTAAGAAAATTCTGTAAAGTTTATACCAGTATAGCAATACCAGAAGGAAGTTTAATATACTAATTTTCTTTCTTTATAGGAACTGGATGGAATTGCTATTTGAGACATTAGAGCCAAGTCTTGTAAGCTTGATTGAATACGGTGTTAAGAGTGATCCAACGTAAGTAGAAAGGTCAACAAAGAGAATGGCACCATAAGTAATCATTTGCTTCTTAGACAAACTGTCAGCATGATGTCTTCAGTGGAATTTCAACAGGAAGAAAGAAAAGAATCTGATCAGGAATTTATGCTCAGACTGTGCTCTTCTTTAATGCAGCGATTAAAGCGCATGTTTGAGCGTTTTATTGTAAGAAGCTCTCTAGTCACTATGTTGCATTTTATGTACTAAATGCACTTTTTATTTTAGACTGATCAGATTCGTATCATTGAAGAAACAAAAGTTAGCTCAAAGAAACGACGAGGAATTCTTCCGTTCTTCAGGACCTTCCCTGTATGTATATACATTTATCTCTTTGTTTATTGTTCATATAAAGATTATCGAAAGTTAAACCGTATATATAGATTTTTGCATTACGACTTGAGATAGCCGCTGCTACAATTGAGCCCGAATCTGAGACCCGCAAGACGGTAAATGAAGCCTATGAAAGAGTTATCAATGGTATGATGGCCAGTCTGGACAGTATTGCGCGGGAAAGTGACCAAACAGGCGATGACAAGGAACAGCTGAATGCAAACATTATGTATATTGGTATGTTATCATTCTTATGTATATATGCTTTTATATTAACGAATCGCTTTTAATAGAAAACATGCATCATTTTTATCATGAACTGAGAACTCATAAGCTTCATGTTTTGGAACGATGGATCAAACATGCAAAATCTCAGTATGATAGTCGTCTAAATGCTTACATCAAAGTCATCATTCGGCGACCTTTGGGCAAACTTCTGGTATTTTATTCTGCTTCTTCTTATAAGTTTCTGATTAGAATGGTGATATAAATCAAACTGCCTTTTATTTTATTTTTTTTAGGAATTCTTTGAGGGTGTTGAGGCAATGATGCACACTAGTACACCTGAGGAAGTATCATTTCACACAAATTACAACAAAATCCAACTTCGTAAAGTTATTATGCTATATCCGGCAAAAGAAGTAGGTTTAAGCACAAAGTAAATTTATGATTAGTATTGACTTTAATTCTTGATTTAGATAAAAAAGTCTCTGGAGCTGCTCTATAGACGAGTAGACAAGCATTTTTCCGAAGAAGAAGGATTGTTGCAGGTAGTTTGGCGTGGTATCCAAGAAGAATTCATTCGTCAACATGAAAAAATGGAGGATTTGATTCAGAAGTGCTACCCAGATGCAGGTGTTCACCTTGAATTCACTATTCAGGACTTGCTAGCTATGATGAGTGAGCTTGCTCGCAAAGTAAATGGCTAAACTTTATTCCTTACCTTCTCTCTCTATATATATATATAAAACACAAGTTTATACGTTACAATCCATAATGCTAAATAATATACTTCTAGTAAAGGGTTACATAAAGTATAATGCTGTAAAAAGTTGCTACATTTTAGCAATATTTAATTCCAATAACACTGAATCAAAAATAATCGTTCAGCTTATATGTAAAGTAAACCTAAATGCTTTTGAAAAACTTTCCATATATATATTTATTGAAAATTCTATATTCTCTTTCACTGTTGAAGAAAACGATAATTAATAGTACAAAGTAGAAGGCCTAATAATAATGCTAATAAAAATAAATATCTTTTTAAAGAAAAAATAACCGCTACAGATTCTCATAGTCTACATTTACTAAAGAATAATTGACTCGGTCGTTGTAACTGATATACTATCACTTTAACGTTCTTCCTTGGTAAACAGTTGCTTATCTTCTACTATGAGTCTCTTAAAGCTTTATCGTTATGTAATCAGAGTCGCTATTTAGTGTTTTGCACACATACGTGCTTCGTAATCCAATATATATGCAATAGATTGATCTCCAAGTCCATCAAAAATCGGTCTTGTTTTACATAAATCCATCGCAACAACTAATCAAGTTTATTTGTCAGCCCCAAACCATACACACGTAGAGATCATGCCCTGATTTGCTATTGAGAGGCTGTAGCTATGTTTATGATTATACTTACCTACAATTTATATACTTTCATATCACACAAATAATCCATCTTCTGCCCAAGATTTGCTCTTTATTTACTTTTGTTCTTAAAAAGTCTATCGTACAATTCATCCCAAAACTCTTTGTCTTTTGACGGAAGTCCAGGAAGAATAGCTTTGGCTACGTGGCCACATCTCAATTCAACATATTCTTCAAGAAGATAATCTTGCCAACTTTCACAGGAATCATATTTGTTACGCAATCCAGTGCTTTTCGACACTTTGGGTTTTTTTTTGGTGTGGCTATCTTGGTGGTGTTTGAGGGTGGTGTTTGAAACCTGTCTTGAAAGACGTCTGATATCTGTTTCGGAATTTCTCTTATGTGCAATATTGTGAAATGTGTGGAGCCAAGCGATGTGATTGGTGTGATCTACTACAGTAAATTTTAAGCCCGTGAATTCCTTTTGTTTGTTCTTGTTTGGGGAAAGAGAGTTATTCAACTGAGATAATAGCAGTAGGTTTATGGCAATTTGATCGTCTGTATCATCGTACAAAGAGTAATATTGAATATTGTCGAGGCGTAATACCTTGAATAAAGTGTGAGACATATCGATGAGTAGGTTCCCAGTTTTCTTAGAAATCGATTCAACTATGGTTAAAGTGTCCAAGTTCATATATTGCAGATGTCGACACCTAAAAGAGATGTGTTTGAATACACTATCACTTGTAAGAACTTCGTGTAGCTCCAAAATATTGAGGCCGTGGTGTTGGTGATCTTTTTGTCTCTTTGATTTTTGGTTTGCTGCGTCTTGGCTAATACACAATTCACCGTTATAAAGCCGTAATCGTCTCAGGGATCCACAGTTGTCCAATATATTGCTAATATCGATCGATAAACCACAGTTGCTGATTCTAAGATCCACCAATAACGGACAGTAAGGAGAAAGTTCTATTTTTGATGTATATTTACTATCAAAATATACATTTCCCTCGACCGAAAGAGTCTCGAGCGTATCCGCAAAAGTCCGCAAAGCACCTTTAATAATCATTTTAAAAAAGTGTCCACCGCCGTTCTTGTGTTTCATTGTGTATTTTAAGTGCTTGATCTGGATGTTCAATGGACAGATAAAGTCCCATAACGCAACATGGCTCGAATCTGAAATATCTTTAGTAATAAGATTAAATGTTTCCAAATACTGCATTGCGTCCGGATTGTAAAGAAAAAGAGCCGAGTTTCTTCGCATAACTTCTTCAGGTATCTTGCACTCCCGTACATGCGAAATATCCAATTTAATAAAACGCAAGTTTGGATATTTATGACCAAAATAGTACAGCCACAAAGGATCCCAATCGCGCAAATTTAGATCAAGCCTTGTCAAGGCCAGTGCTGGGATAGTATTTGGAATCATGAGTTGGGCTGGGTGCAATATATTGCCGAGAGATATGCTGGCTTTCATACACGACAGCTGCTGTAATTTTTGGTGAATTTTGTCAAAGTCATCTAGCATATATTTTATTGAATTGTTCCAGCTACATTGAATAAGTTCAATTTTCTGGAGTTTGCTAATATTTGTCAAGAATTCAATAATTTCTTCAGTTGTTTCTTCTATTCCAGAATGCGGAATCTTGATTCTTAGGCTTTCGAGCGACATCCATGTATCGTTGATCCTTGTCATTTCCGGGTTGATCAATTTGTAACTCATGCGCCCAAGATCAAGATGTTTTAGGTTTGGTAGAGATCTTAAGAAATGATCTTGCTGTATACTTGGTATGATGCACTCTCCACACAAACGCAAGCTACGTACTAATGGGCCATATGATTTAGACATGATTCTGGAATCCTCAATTGTATTAAAGAGGGTTTCAAAATTATTCATGGAATCTACATGTATGTGTTTCCATAAGAACTCTTGAAACGGATATCTCCATCCCTTACAGGTGAGAGCACAAGAGCGTCTGTCATTTGTCAATAAAAGCTCGGCGATTTGCAAAAGAATCTCAAGTGGTAGTTCTGATGCTGGCATGATGAGTGGAGATAGTTGTACAAAAATAGGGTTGAATAATTTGAAATAATTTTTTTAAAAAAAAACAACAACAAAAACAACAACAACAACAACAACAACAACAACGTAATACTCACTGGTACTGTGATTTACAAATATAAATATATTTGAACCAAAGGAGTAAATATAAAAGAATACAAGAATTAATCAGGTATTAAATGATACTATTAACTTCTTTTTTCTCACACGATATTTTATCATCAACAATGCATTGATGTATACGGTTTCTTTACCTTTCTTTGGGCAGTATGAATTGCATTTCTTTTAAATAGGGTGTTTCAGCAGTTTTAGATGTTTAGATTTTACTTTTGCGGTAACTCAATACGTGAGCCAATGATAATTGATATGAAAATAAAGCTGTAGAAAGCTTTCGTATTTCCTTTTGCTCTTAATTTTATTTTCTTATGAAATATTCATAGGCAAAATTGGAGAATCTAAATTTGCATTCTATAAACAACTAAGGGTAGTCCTTAGTTGTTTATAGATTGAAAATATCTCAAATTTAGATTAGTAAGAGCCAATCATTTAACAAATTAAACCACCGCAAAAGTAAAATCTAAACATCTAAAACTGCTGAAACACCCTAATATATACACTTTTTCCGGAAATTGTTGTTGTAACAATGGAATGCACTAAATGCACCAAAAAAGATGAATTAAGCAGAGAAATGGTAGAAAATTACATACAATTTTATTTTTATTTTTGCACCAATAATTTCCGGAAAGAGTGTATAAAATTACAATTCTAGGCAACGGCCATATTATTCGACGGAAGGCTATTTTGATCCCCTTGGAATATGAAAGCTTCCGTTCCTAAGCGCGCACGATTTATAGTAGGGATCTCTGCTATATATGAAATCTTGCATAGCTTCCTGTCTCTTTATTATAGATGTACAGCTATTTATTCTTGGCATAATATTAGTGGCAAATCTTATAGTGATGATACGAATCTTTTTAGATCGAGCTGCCCAACTCCTCTTCCCATTTACCTTTCTTCACATCTTTTCTTTTTCTTTTGTATAAAACAGCTTTATTAGACCCTACTCAGTCATGGATCATAATGGCTGGCAATGCTGGAGGCCTTACTGGCCTCAGGGAGTATGGAAGAAAGTTATGGAAATTGATGAAAAGAAGAAATAGGTAGTTTCATTATCTGTTAAATATTATACTTTGTGTAGACACGTAAAAACATTGATCAAAGATGACATAAACGACAACAATTTAAGCCATATTATTGGATCGATGATTCACCACTAGTGAAATTTCTTGTCTAACACTTGCTGTAGGAAATGGCAGGGGGCGCCTGCTGACTCGATCCTTTGTTTTTCAAAAGACTGACAAATTTATCCACGACATTTGCTGGTACTTCCATCTGCAGGCACACACAAGCTCTTGCTGTGGCCTCTACAATACATGCCATCTGGCGAGCTCAATGGGCCTCTGTCATGGACGAAAAGTCCTTCCTTTCTGGTGTGACTATACCCAAGGCACTTGTGGTGATAAGGCGCTTCTTGGAGTAGTTTTTCTCTTAATCTCTTTTTTTTTCTACCCTTTCCGTCTCATATAAATATTGTAATACTAAAATTTAGGCAAAATCACGGATATATCCAAAATATCCAAAATGGTTCAAAATAAACTCTGCTTTAAATAAATTGGAATTATACTACTTGTGCAATTGATAAACTTTGTATAACTCCTCTGTTTTGCATTGAATTTTAAATCGACCAGTTCATGACATCTTTTTGTCAATTCTTTTTGTCACACTATTCTCAATTACTGTATCTGTCTATTAATCTTCTATTATATAATATATACATGTAGTCCAACATGGAAACCGAAAACTATGAATTATCTGTCGTTTCTTTCCACTTCTCCGAGTTTGTCTTCTTCCTTTTTGTCCTCCCTTAAAAGAATAGAAGAATGTGGTACAAAGGTTAACTGAACAAGACAGTTGCTTTTTAGGCTTTATAGTAAGCCTCTTTTGATAGTCGAAAAAAAATTGAGCCGAAAATATTAAACTGATGTTAGTTCTATGTATATATATATATATAAAGTCTGGCGAGAGCACTTTTATACACTTTTTTCCCACATCTTCCGTTATTTGCGTGTTGATAGCTGACTGCGCCTTGTACATCTTTATGGTTACCTCAATAAGTCATGTGCATCCAGATTTGTAACTCACAATATCAGTTTCCGCATTATCTTTTTTTGTATTTAGTTTTTTTTAAGCTTCTATGACTATTAAAGAAGGCTTTCAATCAATTTGCTTTTCACCTATCTTTTTTTAATTATTTATTTTTATAGTTATTGTTATGAAAGCGTCAGAACTACCACAGGAGATTCTTACACACATTGCTGATAATCTATCGACAAAGGACAGGTTGTCTTGTGCTCTTACGTGCAAGGGATGGAGATATTCGTTTCAAAGAACTCTGTGGAAAACCGTACAAGCTAATACACTTAGACTCTTCAAAAACATACTCGACACTATTAGATCCTCCCAGAATTCATCCATACCATACGGTATCTGGGTTCACAGTCTATGTATGCAGAATTTCATCCTTAGTCCATACCTCTCGGATATTCCTGTTATCGAGCTATTCAGATGCCTACCAAACCTGAAGTGTCTGTACCTAGGTGATATAGGCTATAAGAACATCTACAGAGGTATAGTAAGCTTGGGAAAAGTATCGGAGTCTCTAGAGAACCTGACAATAGAAACCCATGAAAATGAAGAGATAGTGCCAGCGCCAAGCATCTTGGAATTTATAAATACATGTAGTATGCTCCAGAAACTAGAAATAATTGCGCCTAAAAAGGGTTACCGTATCGAACTAAGCTTGGATGACTTTGACAACTTGCATCAAAACCTGAAAAGACTATCGTTTATCAAAGCTGCCGTCAACCTCAATTTTGACTTTACGGCTACACTTAACACAATCCCAAACACAGCTCCAGCTTACTCTGTCACGACTCTAGATATAGACACCAATCAATGGAACCCTTTGTGGCTATATTATTTTTGCTACAAGTATCCAAACTTGCGTTCCTTGAAGTTAGATGTCTGGGATACAAGTCACGAAGCGTTGAGTTTCGATCAAAAGCAAAGGATCATATCTCTTTTTCACTCCAACCCCAACGCACTCCAACATCTGGAAACATTCAAAATCATAAGCAATATACATTTCGAGCCATCTGATCTTGTTTTATGGGAGTTAATTTGTGCGTCAAGAGTTCCTCTTAAACATTTGACGGTAGATGCAATGATACACGAAGACAGAATTTCTTTATATGTAATAAGTGTCCACCGAATCTTACAAACATTTTCTGAAACACTCCAGACTCTTTCAGTCACAGGATTTCGATATAACATCGAAATCTCAAACCCGACGCTAGAACTATTTCCCTACTGTCCATTTTTAACTGATCTTTGCATCAGTGGCTACAATGGATCTTTTAATCTGGATGATATCTTGGATAACTGTATAGCCCTTCAGAATCTGAAATTTCATGGCGGGAGATTGACCATTGATCCAAACACCGCAAACGAGAATCCAATAAATCAGCAACAACACCATGAACTGCAGAAGTTGACATTAGAGTGCTGCTCTCTAGTCGCTGAAGTACTCAATCGCCTCTCTTTCAGATGTAGGAGCCTACAATATATGACTTTGAATGAAGTCTGGATTTCGGGATCTATTTCTGAAGAAACCGGGTGTTTTCTAGTTGATATGTCATATACCTTCTTAAAGTCTCTCTGCCTCAACCAAGTTGAATACCACAATACACGAGGAGAAATGCCAATACGCGAAGATATGTGTATTCACTTGACACTTCTATCTCAATTATACACGAATGATTCAAAATACCCTATTGTAGAACGTCACAATATTGCTTGGATCTACCTAATTGAGACCGTTATTGTTCCTTGGATAATGGTCGACTATGAAAACAATAAACTTAGTGAGGAGGCAGGCAATCTTATAGTTGAGTTCTATCAAAACTTTCCGTTTAATCAAAGCAACAAGACCATAGTAGATGAGGACAGGCTCGAGTATGGATACCAGGAGACTGGTTGGATGGACGAACTTTACCGAGGGTACGGCGAATTGAGACTTGGCAACATAGAAGCGTATACTCTTGGTTGACATTCAATAGAGAGTCATGAGCTCTAGAAAGATAGAAAAGCTGCATTAGTGACCTTTTTCAAAATAATACATATATAAAAAGCAACATTGACTAGAACAAATATTGGGAGTATCAACGTAAATATACTACTCTGGCGAGATAAAACACCTTTCTTTCTTTTGACCAACTCTTATTTGACTTTCTTTTTGTAAAACATTTTACTTACAGCTAATTCACTCATCTCATCAAGAAACTAAAGAAGAAGAAAAAAGAACCTGAAACCTGTTTCCTGGGCGACAGGTAGCAGAGTTTGAGTACGGCGGCTTTATTTTGGGTTCTATAAAACCAATCAAGACCGCTAGTTCTGATTTGCAGACCATAGGGGCATCTCTTGGACGATAATCTATACTAAGGTATTCGGGATTGCTTATGGATCTGCTAAGAACAAGTGAAAAAGCAGCAGTCAACAGCAGCAGTCAACAGCAATAAGAATAATAATCCTGTTATGTAACGTAAACAGTTTGTCTGAGACATCTAGATATATAGGTAAGATGTCTGAATAGATGTCCAATTTGTCTAAGCTATTTTCTCTTTGTCCAAATTTCATTCTCATTTCGGCAACAATGCGAGTGCTAAGAATACTTGTGATTATACAAGATGGAGCCTCGCTTCATCCCTGACCATAACAATATAAAGAAACGTCAAGCAGCTCTCTAATATTCTTGGTATAAAAATCGGTGTACTTCAGATGCTCAAGAGTCTTTATCTCTTTTCTGATTCCAAAACTGATAAATACTTTTATAATCTATATTACAGTCGCCAATCAGAATAACCGTTTAAAAAAGAATACACCTCAGAATATTGCAGTTTCAGTTTTCGATAACTCTTTGCATCTTTTCTACCGCTTTTCTTATAACACATGTGTGTTTTCTAAATGAAAAGAGGTTCAACTTCAACTAATCTACCGCGACCTCTAAAAAGATATAAAGCTGAACGATGGTAAAGTATTAAACAGCCATATCATCCGTTTCTAACATTAGTATAGTATCAGACGCAGAAACATCTACTGTTGAGGATAGTCATCCGAACGTAACAAATCAAGAAGAGGGCCCTCACTCTTCCAGTACACCAATTTATCCGAAAAAAAGTAAAAAAAAAAGACAAGTAAGAAAAAAGCTTCCAAGATAGTCCACTGCCCCTCGTATGGCTCAAACACTCATGCACGGTCATCAAATAGTAAATGTCCGTTCAAAAAAGTCAAAGCAGGTGAGCATGGTCCTGAGGAGAGAGTTGAGCAATTTACAATCAAAACATCTTTGCACAATACATACCGAAACAACACAATGGCTCAAGAATTTTTAAAAGCTGCCAAATATACCACCAAGGTTTTGTTTGTTGGCTCCATGTTTGCAAACTTTGTCTTTATCAAACTACTCAATTCCAATCAAGAAATTCCGGCTATTGGACAAAGCTTGTTTATCAATATGTTTACTATCATATCTGGAAATGGCAAAAATACTTCGCCGAGTTTTGTGAATCAACTGGTCTGGATTTCATGGTCCTTCGATCATTGAAAAGTGTCGGATACTCTAGTATTTTATCTATTGTCGGTAAGCAATATGAGACTCTTTCCCGAAATTACATACATGATACACACCAACGAAGAACAATACGGGACTTTCGTACCTACAGAATATACAGATCAGCAAAGACATATGTCTTTTTTTTTCTATTCTACCTCATTATTCTATTCAGCAAAAGACCGTCCAGATCGATCCTCAAGCACCTTTTAGAGTATTGAGCCAGTGCGATAAACCCAATTATCGCAAGGGATTGAAAACAGAATCTGATTTAATTGACTTTTATTACAAGTATTTTAACTTTTCAAAAATTGTATTCCGTACTCGAGAAAGTCTTACGAACGAAAAGAAAAAATTCAAGCAAGTACAAAATAAACATGATACCGCAGTGTCTAACCTAGGTCCATAATTAAAGGAACAATTGCTACAGACGGACATTTGGTGTCATTCATAACGCAGGAACTCTTAAAGATGCGACTTTTATAGTGTGTCTTACTGTAGATAGCATATTTCTTATTTATAATATATGTATTATATTACACACAGTGTAAGCGGGGTGTACAGACAAAAAAAATAAACTCCGTACAAAATAGGGTCGGGTGAGATGTGGGAATGGAAGAAAAGGTGGATTGACCTTACACACATACATACATACATATGCATTATGTATATATATAAAAGATGTATGCATGTATATATCACTATTCCTCGCCTTTGTCTTTGTCTTCTTCTCCTTCTTTTTCTTCTAAGTCTTTACAGCTCCTTGGCGCTCAACGCCTTTTCTCTCTCTTCTGCGTCGATACTCACCAATACTCGACTGGCATTGACGATTTGGATGACATTGATAAAGTTCTTGGCAAGGCAGATTGTACCGGTTAATACCAATGCAACCATCCAGAAACCTATTAATCATAATAGAAGAAGAAGAAGAAGAACAATTCAACATTTGTAAGAAGAACAAATTCCTTTTTATATATATATCTTACCGTTTATAGGACCAAAGAAGTTAAGGATGTAGAGTGTAACATAGAACAACTCGTTACCAGCACACATCAGAAACAAGACAATCTAAAGAATAGATAGATGTAAATACATAACATTATTAAGCTTTTCCCTCTTCTTTTATTCTCATTGCACACAATTTCCCTTTGTGGTTTAGATTTATATACTTGCATTGTTGTTGTAGTAAAGACGAAGGAACCAACTATCAGATTCGGACAACTTTTTGTGACTAGAGAGACCAACTGTCATGGAGCTATATGTATTTGTTTTGTGAGAATTGGTTATTATTATTCTCTGTTTTGTTTTATTTTTACATGCGTTCCTTCACTCGCTCATATCTCTCTCGTTTAGTTCTTACCTATACATGTGCATATAATGAGAGCTAAAATCAAGTGCGATCAACAATTGGAATAGAATAGCCCAGGGTTGATACATGAGTGACAGATAGCACAGAAGACACGTCGTGGTACATCTTTAAAAAAACATAAAGATAGATTGTTTAATACAATAAACTTACAAAATACTCTATTGACCCTTCTTTATTTATTTATGTTTTACCTGTCGGTGACCATATCCAAGACCGCACCAAATTTACTGCCTATGTGTTTATAACCATCGATATTAATTTATTCGTATTAACACCCATGCAATTATTCTTACATTGACCAAAATGTCTCGCTGCTACACCATCAACAGCATCCAACAGACAGGAGATGCAGTACAGAATAACGCATACTTTGGGATGCCATGGCATGAAATACAATGATAAGGTTGCAAGGACAATGCGCGTATAGCCTATTATTATTATTATTATATAAAAAGGTAAGAGATTTTGGCGATGATGAGAATGTGTTGTTCGATGACTAATGAGGATTGACTTACCAATCAGATTTGGTATGAACAAAAATACATTTTTTGTGGTCTTTAAAGACGTTATACTTAATGCGCTCATTATTAGGACTGATATACGGCTACGGACAACAGGTAGATAAGATAGAATATGTAAATATTTATATTTTTTGGTTTTTGGCTTTCTCTCTCACAGTATTTTTTTAATTTTTTATTTTTTATTTTGCTTCTTTTATTTCTGAAATTGAAACAAAAAGGAATAAAAATAAATAAATAAAATAAAATAAAATAAAATAAAATAAAATAAAATTAATATAAATATATATAATAGAGAGAGAGAGAGAGAGAGAGAGAGAGAGAAAGTAGATGGTTGGTATTTTATTTTTATTTTGAACTTTTGGGTAATTGTCTTTAAAGAGCAGAAATTCCAATGAACCACTGCACCGACATCAAAACACGAGTACAAGAATACATATATATATAAAATATTCAGAATTACTTGGAATTCAGTAGGCGCAAAAACCCTCTAATAAAAACAATAAACAAATAGGCAGATAAGCTGACAGGCAAACAGGCAAACAGGTAAGCGGGCAGACAGGCAGACAATTAGACAGGTGGGTAGACAGATAAACAAGCGGATAGACCAAAAAATAGACGAGACACGTAAAGCTGAATTTCTTAAATTGGGTTTTTTTCTTCTTTTGTAACTCACAAGAGCTATATAGTTTTTCAACTTGAGATTAAGACAAATTAGGATTTTTTTTAGACGAATTACCCTATAGAAAAAAAAAAATAGGCGATTTTAGTGAATTGTTGCAAGTTTTCCGGGGTTTAAGATGTCTTGTAGTTGAATTTTAATTAAGCACCAATTTCTCTCTCTCTCTCTCTTGTATATTCTACTTTTTTTTTGCAGTCAAAGCAAAACATCTTTTTCTTAGCCTTTTCAACCCGTTACAAAACTAAATACCAAGTTATTCAAATCTAATGGCTTACCAGCGGTAGCTTTGGTGGTTCCTAAGCGGTAACCAGGACATTTTTTTATCTTCTTTGAATTCTAGTCAGTCTTTGTCTCAAACGACAACCCTCCTGGAGATCTTCTTCTGCTTGTCTTCTGGCACTTACAATTTTAATGGTGCCGGTAAATCTATTAGGGTGGGGCTATATTAGCGAGAGTTTTCAACTTGCTTAAAGGTTCGAAGGGAAATCTGGGAGCACGAAAAATAGTGCTTGGAAGTACTAAGTGTATCAAACAAACAAAGATCAAATTCATGCTTACAAAGTAGATATCTAAATACTACACCATTGGTTGGTTCATGACTATGTTTGTGAGATACAGACCAGTCTTTTACCATTAATACAGAAGGTTAACCAAATTCAGAACTGATATTGCTTTCTGGACATTCTTTAGCTTTGGATTGGTTAATATAGAAGGAAAGGCGAAACTTGCGAAATAAATCTTTGGTTGGTTTGAATTTTGGTATTTGCGTAAAATAAGCATAGAATAGAGATAATTACAGTAATATAGGCATAGTCGTGACAATAAATAAGCTCACGATTTTATCTTGTCATTTCTATTATATAAAAGGCAGTGCTATGATCAAACAGCAACAAAGGGACATCAGCAAAAATATCCTGTTTAATATATTTGTCAAGATCGAAGAATGGATCGCGTGATAACTTGGTAAGAAATATGTATCTCATAAGTGCGAAGGTGTTGGTGACAATTGTGTGGACTTTAGCGACAAGGACTTGTAGAGGTCTAAGAAACTCAGGACTTCACCCCGTTGCCTTTATTGATGCCTTGACAGTAATGGCTCGGAATGGGGTAGCTTCGTTCATTGTCTTCTAATCCACAGTGGACTAGAGATATGAGGTTTGGGCAGTACTTTTGAAAGTGCAAATTTGTAGTGACATACTAAGATATTGGGTAAGTATATATGCTGAAGGTCAGTTAATAGATTACTTACAAGAGTAAAGAACAAAGGTATGTAGAGTTTAAAATTCTTGCCTGTCGATCGTGCTGTCTTTTATAGACTTTTATATATGTGACTTTGACATATGAGAATATAGTACATAATTGACCGGATAAATATAATGATTGATTGATATAAAGGAGAGCTGCCTAAAGATATTAATCATTTCATTATTATCCTGCAAATATATCAAAATAAAATTTAGTTCCTTGTATCTGTATTTGCGTTTTATATTCGTTGTTCTGAACTTTGTGTACCTATCACTAAAAACTGACTGGGATATGCGTGGGTATGTATAATTTATCTTGAAGAATAGTTCATAACCATTGTATTGCTTGCAAACCTTCTTCAAGCCTTTTATCATAGGAATTGAATAATAATATTAATATGATTGATTTGAAGGACTTGTAACTTTGATACTTCTAGCAGTTAGGCTTAAGGTGATATTCAATTATCCTTATCTTGGCTTTTAATCCAAAAAGCCATTTTATGTGAATATTGTATGCTGGACTGCTTACAGGTTGCAAAGTTGAATAAAGAGACCAAAATGTCCTACACAATTATGTATTTTTAATCTGAACTTAAAGAATCCTTTGCCATCAAAAAGTAATGACTGTATTACTTTTTAATGCATTGTTGCTTTTTTATTTTGTAAAAGTCTTTTTTATTTCTTTTTTTCACAAGGTCTAAATTATTAAAGGTCTTTAAAAGAAACGTACTTAATAGCTATCAAGGCTAGTACTGATAAAATGTAAATCCGTAAAGCTGACAAAAGAAAGTAACTTGAGAAGAATTGACAGAAAAAAAAACATCTACATCATGTACAGTTTGGTTGTCAAGATTGCTCGCATGCTCATTAGAAATAATTGATCCAGAGAATTGCAGGGAGTATGTCTTCTGGTTTTTCAAAGTAGGGATCAGACATGACAATGATAACACAAAGCAGGTTTATACTCTTTGATAAAAAGAATCAATTAAGCCATATACATACCTACATTAATATTATAGTATTTAGAGAATAGCAGTTTTCTTTAGATAAAGAATGTAAAAAGTATCACATAAAAATATATACATGTACATTACTTAATAAATGTATAGCTTAAGCTGCTACTAAATATCATAAAAATTGGTACTTCTTCTTTGCATACTTCTTTATGTTTAACTTGTATTATTTTGATCAATAAAAACCATAAACTTCCAATATAAAACATCGTGCATTTGTTGAACCAATCATAAAGAGAATAGAATACCTAAAAAAGATATAATTGACATATTTTGAATATTTGATTGGATTAGATGCAAAATAATATAAAATCCCATAAATCGTATTTGCCAAAAAGTAAGGTTGATAGGCTAATGTTTGGCATGTCATTGGCTATAAAAGTTGTTATTACGCAACCGAGTTGCGCATACGGAGACTTAAATGCTACCATTTCCTACAATGTTAGATTTGTTTTTAACTCTCATAATTCATAAAAAAAGCGCAACCATAAAATTTAAAAGCCAAAAACATCATATAAGCTACAAAACCTTACAAACAAATATTTTAATTTTCTCTTTTCCTATTCAATCAGAGACCTTTAATAAAATCCTGAGCTTTTTCTTCCTGGCTCCATACAAAAAAAACATAAAAAAAGCGTAATTTCTGAATGTTAGGCCAATACTATTCCGGAAAATGTGCAATAAGTTTTAATCAAGAATTTGCCTGGGATTCATTTGTTTCTTAAATAAGTGCTAAAGTTCAAAGCGCAGTACTAATCATTATCTTTTTTTAAAAAAAATTAAAAAAAATCAAACGGCGAAAAGAGGTGTGTAGGTATAATTTTCAAAGCTCTTTATCTTGACAAATTTGACAGTCTATTTACTTTTTGTTTATTAAAATAAATACTAATTATTGCTACCTAATTATGAGCATTGCTTCCACAATAAGCAGTCTTTCAGCTTCCACGGCTGTTTGGATGATCTATTAACTTTTTCCTCCGCCCTACACATGATTAGTGTTGGTACGACTTAATGTTGAGGTTGCGTTCCGTCTCTTGTCTTGGCAAAAAAAGCCCTGGCGTGACATTAAATCCTTTTACTACTGTGCTAGGCAGAAGATTAAAAGGCCATTTATGATTATCTAATATTTGTATTCCAGTATAAACAGCATCTTGAGCAACATCTGAAAAGCATGTTCCATGTTGTTCAGCCGTTTAGCTTTTATTTATTGGATTCCGTCAGTTGGTATTGTGATTAGGCTGGCAGAGTAAAGCATTTGGCTCCAAACTCTAGACTGTGCTTGTGTCAACCTTAATTTTGTAAAGCAATACACCACATACTTGCTCATTTCTCTTTGTTGTTGTAAAAACCAATAACTATCCAACAAAATATACACCAAAAACTCATCGATATCCCAAATATTTATTTCAGCACAAGTCACAATCCCCTAGGTGTCTGTGCGCATGACTGTTACTTTCTTCACCGAGTTACATCCCTTTGACTTTTTTTTTCTTTCTCTTTTTCAATCGATCGATCAATTAACCTTGTCTTAAACTGTAAAATACCCATTCTATTAGCCCCAATTTCATAATATTTTTTGATACTGTAGAACATGCTTAACTTCTTTATATTACAATAAAAAGTGTATTTTAATATATTGGCTATAATTAATTAAAGCTTATTCCTAGATACATAAATACAATAGCTAGCCTTCTTTTTTTACTTGTATTGATAAACGTTTAAAACATCAGTCTTAATATGGATCTCATTTCTACCAAGCAACATAATAATAATTTTGTACTTGCTTGAATTTTTTCTTTTCGTTCGTAAGACTTTCTCGAGTACGGAATACAATTTTTGAAAAAAGTCAATTAAATCAGATTCTGTTTTCAATCCCTTGCGATAATTGGGTTTATCGCACTGGCTCAATACTCTAAAAGGTGCTTGAGGATCGATCTGGACGGTCTTTTGCTGAATAGAATAATGAGGTAGAATAGAAAAAAAAAGACATATGTCTTTGCTGATCTGTATATTCTGTAGGTACGAAAGTCCCGTATTGTTCTTCGTTGGTGTGTATCATGTATGTAATTTCGGGAAAGAGTCTCATATTGCTTACCGACAATAGATAAAATACTAGAGTATCCGACACTTTTCAATGATCGAAGGACCATGAAATCCAGACCAGTTGATTCACAAAACTCGGCGAAGTATTTTTGCCATTTCCAGATATGATAGTAAACATATTGATAAACAAGCTTTGTCCAATAGCCGGAATTTCTTGATTGGAATTGAGTAGTTTGATAAAGACAAAGTTTGCAAACATGGAGCCAACAAACAAAACCTTGGTGGTATATTTGGCAGCTTTTAAAAATTCTTGAGCCATTGTGTTGTTTCGGTATGTATTGTGCAAAGATGTTTTGATTGTAAATTGCTCAACTCTCTCCTCAGGACCATGCTCACCTGCTTTGACTTTTTTGAACGGACATTTACTATTTGATGACCGTGCATGAGTGTTTGAGCCATACGAGGGGCAGTGGACTATCTTGGAAGCTTTTTTCTTACTTGTCTTTTTTTTTTACTTTTTTTCGGATAAATTGGTGTACTGGAAGAGTGAGGGCCCTCTTCTTGATTTGTTACGTTCGGATGACTATCCTCAACAGTAGATGTTTCTGCGTCTGATACTATACTAATGTTAGAAACGGATGATATGGCTGTTTAATACTTTACCATCGTTCAGCTTTATATCTTTTTAGAGGTCGCGGTAGATTAGTTGAAGTTGAACCTCTTTTCATTTAGAAAACACACATGTGTTATAAGAAAAGCGGTAGAAGAGATGCAAAGAGTTATCGAAAACTGAAACTGCAATATTCTGAGGTGTATTCTTTTTTAAACGGTTATTCTGATTGGCGACTGTAATATAGATTATAAAAGTATTTATCAGTTTTGGAATCAGAAAAGAGATAAAGACTCTTGAGCATCTGAAGTACACCGATTTTTATACCAAGAATATTAGAGAGCTGCTTGACGTTTCTTTATATTGTTATGGTCAGGGATGAAGCGAGGCTCCATCTTGTATAATCACAAGTATTCTTAGCACTCGCATTGTTGCCGAAATGAGAATGAAATTTGGACAAAGAGAAAATAGCTTAGACAAATTGGACATCTATTCAGACATCTTACCTATATATCTAGATG